AGCTATCCGAGATGGCCAGGGTGGCAACATCGTCAATCCACCCGTAGGAAACCGTCTTGCCTCCCTCTAGAAGGGGTAGCTGAATCCGAAGGGCCTCAATACCGTCGATCGATAAGGCGCGAATGAGGGGGGTGTTAAATAGGAGGAATAGCATCGGCGATATAGGGGACCCCTGTGGGATCCCGGTAGGGGTTGAAATAAGGTTGCTGAGATATCCGGGAAGCTGCAGCCTTGTAGAACGGTTCGATAGGAAGGATTTGAGCCAGCCGGCGAAGAAGCCGAGCCCCATCATACGTAGATTGTGGAGGAGTCATATATGCGAGACGTTGTCGAAGGCGCCAGCCACGTCTAGAAGTAACATACTGACCTTCCGGCCCTTGCCCCAACTCTCAAAGATCTGGTCAAGGAGCAACTGGATCAGGTGGTCGACTGAGATACCCCTGCGGCCCCCTAGATGGCTCCTGGGTAGGAGATTGCGCTCTTCCAGGGCCCAGGCGATCCGTACTGTAGCTACGGCCTCCAGGATCTTGCCGAGGGTATTCAGGAGCGCTATAGGTCGGTAGGATTTGGCGAGGCGATAATCCCGAGGGGCTGTTTTACGCAGTACTACAGTAGTCGATTGCTGAAAGTATTCCGGGTTATGCCCAAGACGTAGACACGCGTTAAATATCTGCGTTAGTACAGTGAGAAAGGAGAAGACCTCACCCAGCCAGTGCCAGACCTTGTTAGGGATGCCATCCGGCCCTGGTACTTTATCGGGAGGCGCCCGCCTGATACAGCGGAGCACCTCGTGCTCGGTAAGATCCGGGAAGTCGATCTGGGGAGGTATCTGGGCCGTAGGGATGTCAGAGAGGTCGGCCGGGGGTGGTTCAGGAAAGAAAGCTTTGCGAAACGCCTCTACTTTCTGTTCTGCGGTCTCTGCGAGCCCGTCATCCGTCTTCAGCGTCGGTATAAGGCCTCCGCGGGCCTCCCTGCTCCTCGCCCACTTAGCTGCCTTCCACATGCCTCGAGGGCCTGATTCGGTAGCCTTGCGGACCCAGGAACGGTGGCCCTGGCGCAGTGCCTTAGCCAATACCTTTCCTTTGCGGTTCCTGACTTTGGTATAGCGCTCCCACCGGAGGCCCGTGGTAGGGTCGGTAGGGCCGTTCGTAATAACTGATTCCGTGTACTTACGCCGGAATTTCCGGGTGATCTTGACCATTTCGCGGCATTCTGCATTGAATGAAGGGTTCGCCCACTTGCTGGGCTTCGCCCACGGGGTAGAGGCAGCGATTCCTTGGTTGACTGTCTCGATAAGGTATTCTATAGCGAGCTCAATATGCTGCTTCGTTTGTAAGGGAAAGGCCTTGGTCTGTAGGTTAAAGTCTACGAAGCTCTGCAGGTCCTTGACGCTGCAGGCTTTCCAGTTCCTTCGTCGCTGTGCCTCAGGGGTTTTAGTGCTGATATCCAGAAGAGTTCGTATAGGATAGTGGTCCGAATCTGCGTGGACTCGTTCGTTGACCTCGCAGGCAACGAGCCTAGGGGTCAGGTCCTGTGAGCCGAAGACCAGATCGATAGTGGTTCTGCTTCTGTTGCGCTCCTACGTGGTAGTGCCTGGCTCTAGCCAAAGGTCTAGGCACCTCGTATCGGTCAGTTCCAGTAATTGGTCGGACGAGGAGTCTCTTTTAGAGCGTTCTCCTCCCTACGCCGGGTGGTGGAGGTTGAAGTCGCCTAACAGGAGCAAACGCGGATTAGTAGAGCTGTTAGTAGGGCCGGTAGGGATAGTTAGGGAGGTAACGAGATCGAGAGTAGTGCTATCTGCTTCGTCAGGTCGATTATAGATGTTGAAGATGCGCACTTGTTGGCCGTCAGCATCAGTAAGCTCGAGCTCCTGAACGTCCTTCGAATGCGCTGTATGTTTCTAGGTACTGGGATCGATTTGGCGTGATATATAGAGGCACACGCGGGCCCGCTCGTCCCCTATTTCGGTCGAATCCGGGTATAGGAGCTGGTGGGAGCCGTTAGCAGGATGATGAGTAGTATCCTGGTAGGGGTTCTCCCAAGGTTCTTGTACAAAGATGAGGTCAGCCTCTAGGACCGCAGGGTCCCGGAGGAACTGTGCCATCACCTTGTCTTTAGATCGATTCGTATTATATTGGAGGATGTGAAGGGGCTTGATCATGATCGATCAGCCCTAGTGCGTTTCCGTGATACTGAGCGGGCCCTTGTGATAGGAACCGTGGTAGGTGCAGTAGTTGGCACCGGGGACTTCGGGAGGGCGCCAGAGACAACAGGGGTAGGGCGGCTCGCGGTCGCCTGTGGCAAAGCCTTAACAAGTCCGTTCGATTCCAATACCATCTTCAACCTGGCATTCCTGCTCAGGAAGTGATTTTACCCGGCCCTACTGGCAGAACCCTGACCCAAAAGGTTCTGCTGCAGCAAATATCTCTGAAGTTTGCACCTTAAGCCAGCCGCAAGGGCAATAGTATTATAGGCAATACCGCGCCAGGAAGCTCCTGGGGACCTGAGTACTAGTCAGGCATAATACTTTCTCTCTCTAGGCCAACCGACATGCGCATCCGTCCTCTCGAGCTACTATAGGGTCTCCGCAGGTCCATCTAGTAGGTTATGTTGGCGATACCACGTTGCTGCGGTCCAAGTACGAATTGGAAGCATCTGTTGAAGTGCCGGCGATACCATACAGCTACGGTCCAGGTACGATCTGGAAACACACCTTTCTAGTACCCTCTGGTTACCGCTATAATGCTACGGCCCGCTACCTCAGAGAGATAGTTTCCCGTTACTGCTAGTGGTCTCCCTCTAGTAGCCGACCATGTCTTGCAGAGGCCATCACCAGCACTACCTAGCCAGCGTACTGCTTGTGTAATAGGCCCTACTAACTTAGCTCAGTTCCTACCATATACTTTGAAACTCTGAAACGGTGCGCTGTGCCTGTTCAAGTAATAAGTAGTTCGGTCTTGGTGTAGGCCTTGCCTTTAACACATCCGGCAACTACTATCCTGCTAGACTTAACAGCTTCTATTACCTCAGAGAGTACTTAGGTTTTGTTCTATCCTTCGCTGAGACAGGATTTTCTGCCTCAATCCCAGAGCTAGCTGAATTCGAGGGTGCCCTGTCACTCCACTAGAACAGCTTTGTGTCGGGTAATTTTTATATCCCAGTATCCCTCTGGCGATCACTGACTCCTTTCGGAGCACCTAGGCCCCCTTTTGATAGATATTCAAAAGGTTTCTCGCATTACCTCAAACCAGTTTTTCAAAAGGTCACCCCGCGGGGAGGATTTTAGCATATATTTTACATCTCTTGCCTGGATGGTGCGCTGATGATTCCTGATGCTAGACATTTTTAGAGCTTCGGCCTAGGCGCCATGATTACAAGGCCTAGATATAAGCTGCTGCTAGTAGTTGGAGCTTGGCATTTTCAGGATCCCGGCCTAGGCGCCATTTTTGCAAGGCCTAGATATGGATCTCTGCTAACAGCTTATTCCTCATTCTGACTTTTTTCTTTAGCACGCTGCTGCTTACCCAGACCATCAGCTATCAACTAGTAATTAGATTTACAGCAGCCCATATAGGCATCCCAGCCTGTTATGGTACACAGTAGTACGTGTCACTAAGGCAAGTACGCCAAACGCGCCAAGAAGCCGCGTGTGGAGTACGCGCCCGGAAACGCGTACACAATCAAAATACCCCTTTTCCCCGAAGCTGGGGGAGCGCAGATAGAGAAGGAAGCGATGAAGAAAAGGAAGCGATGAAGAAAAGGAAGCGATAAAGAAAAGGAAGCGATGAGTGTTAGGGAATAGGCCTCGAAATGGTGCGGTCTTTGGTCCTTTTTGAACTTACTAAAGACCGCAAATGCATAATTCTACTATTACCCTTTTCAGCTGTAACTATCTCCTTCTTGCTCAGCATAAGCCTGCTTATTCTTTGAATGCTTTTCTTGGGTAGAAAGATACTCATAAAATAGCGCAAGTTGATCAGATTCAATATCAAATTTGCTGGTACACATAAACATCATCAAATCTTGGATTGTACGTGGCCGTAGTGAGCCCCGGCGATAGTGGCAGATATCACGAGCAGAGTTAAAAAGCCGCTCTACCGCAGAACCACTAGCTGGTGTTGTAAGAATATTTCGAGCAACACTTGCAAGGACTGGATATTCAACTTCATATGCCTTCTAGAATACAAGAGGTGTTGATTGAACAGTACCTATTGATTATATATTAGTATGAGTAAGACCGGGCTATCAAAAGAAACCTACTACTTCTAAGGTAACGTGTAAGCTCATCTGGAGCATCATTGGATGACTGTATCAGTAAAGACGGCCTAATTAATATATTAGTATCAGAGATATCACCCCGAGTCTCCGAGAGTACTACATCTGAGTATTTCTCAACATTACGCTGTTAATAAGGTCGTATATACTTCTCTATCGACCTCTTGTATCGTGGTACCCAGTGTTTCTCCCATTCTGGTCCTATAAAGATCTCAAGTTTGTTTCTTGGGCCTAGAATAGTCTCAGTTTCTCTCTTGCACGTTTAAGTGCATCTCTCATAACTGTCTTCCATCTAATCTTCTTTCGCATAAGCTGTGTCTTTGCCCGATCAATATACGTAAAGAGTGCATTATAGATAGCAAAAACATTATGCATCGTAACATCAGTAGTCGCCGACAGGGATGAGGTAAACTTAAAGAATAGCTAAGTAATTGAAAGCAGGTAATCAACCTGTTGTCATTCATTCTCATCCATAGCAAATGTAGTAAAATTAAACTGAATACAGAAAGTATCAAATACTTTCTGCAGTCGTCGTGCCCGACGGAGCATTAAAAAGGTTGAATTCCAGCGTGTCCGAACATCTTGTATTGATAATAGTATCGGCTCTTTCCTCTCTTTGTCTTTAGCTTGGTCTTTTTGGATTTTTATGAAGACTTCACGGCGTTAAGGGCTTCGGTTAATATAGACAACAATCTTCCGAACCTAGATAATAATATAGATTAGAACTAGTAGTAGAAAAAAGGGAGAGAGAATTAATATACTTTAGTCAGAGTTTTCACAATAATCTGATTTTCTTGTTGAGAGACCACATTTTTATGATCCTCCCACTCCATCTCCTCTCGATCATTTTGCGGATTGACATCTATATAGTTAAGAAGCTCTTTCAAACTGAGCTGTTTAACATGTGCAATACATGGAATACGAATCACTGGGATATAGCTTGAGATATCCATAGCCGTAACTGCTTCTTGAAGAGATGTCATCAAAGTTTTATTGTTTGAGGCATTATCAGTTGTAATTGTAAGTACCCGATTTGTGATATTAAGTCTTTCAAGTACTTTGAGAAATGAAGTAATAAGCCTTGTACCAGTATGAGATCCAGATATGGGCTTAAAGCCAAGTAGTATCTCACGATAGTTCCATTCCTGGTCAATAAAGTAGCCTGTTACTGCCATGAAAGCCTGGCGGAAAGGTGATGTCCAACAATCTAATGCAATAGAGAGTTTAGATCCTTCAGGAAACTTTGCAAGAAGAGAACTTTGATGCTGCTTCACAGTATTTTCAAGATGTGTTCTGACCGTCTTTGCACATGGTATATAGGATATAGAAGGAGCACGATTTGACATTTCGATAAGAGCGCAGAATTCGGGATGTTCAACAAGCAGGAATGGGAGCCGAGATGCAACAATAAAGGTAGTCAGTTTATCCATCCAAGCCTAAGAGGAGAAAGGTGTCTTATGAGATAGGGTAGCCTAGCTAATAGTGATCCATCAGATATTAGGGCAACTTGATGAAAGTTCTCCCAGGTACCTGCCTGACGTTTTCCTTTAAAGATATTCCGTGGGTTAGTACTTCCATATTCAGTTTTCAATCACCAATGGATAAAATCCTTGTTCACTATCTCCGTCCAGAGAAGATATATCTTCTTTCCGATAGGACCAACACATTCAAGATGTAACGAACGGCTACGCAGGCGATAAGGAATCGCGAGAATGTAGGGCATGCATTCAACGAAGAAACTAAGCTAGGTTGTGAAGCTAGTCCCGATCGGGTAGTTAGGTCATAGGGTATCACGAAGGAACGTCTTCGGTGGCTGGTCACAGTCCGTGACACAAGCTTCTCTGGGATTATAGGTGGGATGAAAGGATGTATCAAATTCGCGTCTAGATTAGAAAACGGTGTTTCGCGGCTATCAGGAGCAAGAGGTGTATCAGATACAAGATAGGGGAGATCTATTAAATTACCCCCAAAAGGAGATGAGGGATAATGGTCTGAAAACTGGGATAACCGACTTTGTGACATAGTGAGAAGAATAAGGGGAATAGAGAATATAGGAGGGTAGAGAAACTTAGAGAGACTTAGAGAGTCTGAAAGCCCATTCAAGAAAAGATGACTCCAACTGCGCCTTTCCCCCTTTATCCAATAATTCTGTCTTGTCATCCGAAAAAAGCCCCAATCTAAAGAATCAGCGAGAGATACACCACACTTCATATCAAGCATATTATTGTTCGGTCCACGTCGCGATATATCGTTGGATCTCCGCTGTGTAGGCTTTTCATATTGTTTGATGTACCATCCACTAATGTGAAGACAGGCGGCGACCAAGCATTCATTCGATGGAGTTTAGTGTTTATGGAATGGAGTACACCGATTTGCGAGATCGGATTTTTCACCAAATAATTGGTCGAATTTTGTCCATTCCGCGGATTATCCACAAATTGAAGAGTCTTCTGCGATCGACGTACGAGGATCGGCTGAAAGGATTCCAAAAAGACCAGGGACCAGAGGGTGAGCCTCAAGACCTTCTTCAGAAGATAATGCGACATCTCTACGAGACCAACATCCCCGATCTGAACCTTCACTTTGTTGCCACTCACATCATGATCTTCATGCTGGCCGCTTGCGTACAGCCCTATATGCTGACTCCGCACGTTATATTCGACATGCTGGAATCGGATCGCGAATATGGAACAATATCCCAGGTGCAGGAGGAGCTGAGCGAGGTCTTCGGTGAAGCCCGACATGACGAGCCTCGGTGGAGCAGAAATGACGCATCCAAACTGACCAAACTAGACAGTATTCTTCGCGAGTCTCTCCGCCTGAACACCCTCGTGAGCCATAGCATGCCCCGGAAAGTGATGGCCGATGGTCTACAGACACCTGATTGTTTCACCTTGCCTAAAAGCGCGACTGTCTCTCTCCTGGCAAGAACTGTCCAGACAGATCCTGATATCTATCCAGACCCTGATAAATTTGTTCCGTTTCGATTTGCTGGCTCGGACGGCAAGAGGCTCACGGTTATCTCATCGGAATTCTTGGTTTTCGGGCACGCGCAATATGGATGTGCTAGTCAATTTCTGGTAGCCGTGGAGTTGAAAATGGTGCTTGCGTACCTGTTCAGGCATTACGAGGTCGAGTTACCAGCAGAGTATGCAGGTAAACGGCCGCCGGCTATGTGGATCACTGATTTAAAGATCGCGCCGCAAAATGAGAGGATTAGATTGAAGAAGAAAGGGTTTAGTTAGACATGATACTTGTGTACTGTCGTCCAGAATGTGATAAGTGGAACTAGTTCATGTTAGAGTTGAGATTGGTGTAAATTATCATGTTTCTTGGACGGAATCATAACTCCTGTCTCATCCAAATGCAACAATTACAATAAACAAACGTCAATCAATCCGATGAAAGGAGTGTAATATCACTCGTCCCGAGCAAACAAAGCCAAGATCTCATCCCTGTCAAAGGCATCAGCCACATCCAAAGCAGTAGCTCCCTCTTTATTCTCCGCTGTCGGGTCCAATCCTAGCTCAAGGAGCAACTCGAAGATCATCACATCCTGATCTTGCAAGCCCTCCACATCCTCCCCTCGACTAGCAACTGCATGCAGCAAGGTATCCCCGCTATCATTTACCGCAAATATATCATGCTCTGCGAACACGCGTCGCATGTCATCCATATCAGGCGAAACGCGCGGCTCTATGTCGGAACTATAATATCGTACTTTGCTGACATAGGCGAAGATGGGAGTATTGCCTTTGTTGTCGCGAGCTTCGCGGCCACAACCGGCGTCGATGAGTGTTTGATAGAGCGCTGCATAATTACAGAAATAACGGTCACGGTCATTTTCCTTGCCCAGAGAACTACGCTCTTGTCTTCCCTCATCGGACAATTCCATCAGTGCTGGAATTATGCAATGAAGGACTGTGACACCGTTGAGGAGAGGATCAAGAGGGTCCGCGCCGGCCGCCAGTAGCGATCGAACGATCTTCAAGGGTGGTATTCTGAACCTGGACTCATCGGAATCGGATTCGGAACTATCGATCTCCCCGATTAATGCACAATGTAGCGGCGTTAGACCATGCTTATTGCGCACTGCTGAGCGTGCACCGTGCTGGAGAAGCTCTTCAACTACATTTGTCAACCCGGAACAGATAGCATAATGCAGAGCTGTGGAACCTGAATTATCAACGGAGTTGAGGTCAACACCACCGCGAATTAGCTCTATCGCAGCAGAGACCTCTGCCATATATATGTCTCTGGCTAATTCGAAGTTGTGGTACCCGCGCAAGTTGCATGCTCGGATGAGAGGTGTTTGGCCCTGTGCATCTCTTGTTTCAAGGTCGAAGCCAGCAGCAATAATGGGATTCACTCGTGCATTGAGCGAACATATCTCATGCAGGACTGAAGATGTCCCATCATAGAGGGGTTGGTGAGGATTAGCACCATGTGCAAGTAGAATATTCATTAGCATTTCATTTTTTGCAGAGGCCTCCTTGAGTGGTGTCTCGTGTTTGTCCCTCATCCGCTTAGATTGCATTTGCATCTTATAGACCACATTTGGATCAGCGCCTGCCTTGAGGATCATTTCCAACGCCGCATGGTTCCCTGCCCGTATTGCGGAGGCAACTATAGGCTTGTTATTTAGTTCTGCACCGTGGCCCAGCAGTATTTGAACGATTGACAAGTCTCTTTTGTTCTCCAACGCGTCCTGAAGAGGTGAACGTTCATTGTCAGCTGAGCTAGCATTCACATCTGCCCCGAACCTGAGTAGGATGTCAAATGTTTCATCGCACCAGAGGCCGAGCTCGCTGGCATCTGGCTCACCGGCAGCCAATGCAGCCTGCAACGGGGTTCTGCCTTTCCGCAAGAGCTCGGTGTCTGCTCCTGCCTCGAGTAATATGGTGAGCGCCCTAGCATACCACCAATACTTACCCGAGGCTAGTCTATGCAAGGCATCAGAGGAGTTGAGTCGTTTCTTGCTCTCCGTATCTTGGACATGATTCCCATCGTGGGGTACGCGCACAACAACTTGTGTCAAGAGGCGGATCATTTCAATGTTGCAAAGAGTCCGCTTAGTAGCAGAATTAACAAGTGACGGTAGGACATCGGACAGATTCTCAATACATGTAAGGAGGGTTTTTGCCATTGATAAAAGGCCCCATCGGGCACAAAGCTGCAGAGCGGATATTTTGTTGCTTTCCGTAAGGGTGATCTTCGGTGAGCGTAGAAGTTCTTCTAATAGCTTCACATTACCAGTGGAAACCACGCGTTTCAAAACTGTGTCATTTCCCGAGGACGCTGGCATCCTGTCGATTAATCTTGCGAAGTCTTCACAGGTAGTCGTGCATAATGCTTCTCCAAGAGGGTCCAAAGGCAACGATCTTAAACTTTCGGTCGAGGCGTAGACCCGGGACGTGGTTGGTGCTAACTCGTCCACAACTTCGGATAGACCAAGGATTAATGCAATGTCCAATGGTGTATTGTTGTCGTTGTCCCGTTCTATCGGGTCGGCTCCAGCTGCGAGTAGAAGATGCACGACCTCTCGAACTGATGGAGAATCTTCCTCGTCACTAATCACAAGCCCTAAAGTCTCTAATTTCTCAATCGAACCTTGCGAGCTATCTTCGGTGTTTTCCAGCCTTGCCTGACATGCGTTTCGCCTGCGGTTATATTGTGGGACTTGGTCAAACTCTGCAACAGCATGCAATGGTGTCTTGCCTTGTCTATCGCATATGTTCGGCCGCAAACCTGCATCGAGTAAGAGCTTTACTGACTCGTATCTTCCAGATCTGGCAGCATCATGGAGCGCTGTGCGACCCTCGACGCTAACATCATCCAGCGGCAATGACAGTCTCTTGTAAGCCTGGAGTAAGAGACCTACGGCATTCGTCTGCCCTGCCTCCGCAGCGAAATGAAGAGCGGTTCGTCCATGGATGGTCTTTGCTCCAATATATGCACCATGTTTCATTAATAATAAAACATTAAAGTCGGAGGCCGTGGCTGCAATATGTAAGGGAGTGACAAGCTCATGATCCTGGGCATTGATATGAAATCCCAACTTGGAGTCCAGCAGAAATTCGAGTCGTGTTACCATTCCTCTGCTCCTGTCGTTCGGGATTGCGGCAGCAAGGTGCAGTGCTGTTCCTCCCCGATAATTGCGCACATGAATAGGGGCATTTAGTTGAACGAGGGTCTGCGTGAAATAGCTCGCCGAGCTCCACCGATGTGCGATTGTTTCGTGGAAGATCGAATTACCGTCATGATCGACACTGTTGATATTGGCGCCAGCATCAATAAGCATATTTACCAGGGACTTTGCATGTTCAACTGATTCGACGGTTGATGCGTAATGCAGCGCTATAACTATCAGCATCTCGTGCTCAAAATGGGTGTTCAGGAGCTCTTACCTGACTTTCCCTGAAAGTCTACTGCCTTCACATCCGCGCCCAGACGCAATAGCCCACCTATGCAACGATTATCATATCTAGTCTCGGCTGATAGCGATGTGAGGAGCGCTGTGCGACCGACGAAGTCTCGCGATTCTAAGTTTGCTCCATGTTTTATCAACATCCTTAGAATAGATTCCGACTCGTGCTCATCAGCGGTAGTGTGCCACACGAACTCGGCCAGCGGCGTTCTCCCGGCGTGATTTCGGATGTCCGAATGTCCGAGAAAAATCCATTGGTCGGCCTTCTGCAGTGACGACGATGCCAGGATGCAATGCAGTGGTGTATTTCCCCCCGAGTCCTGTGTGTGAAAGTCGCCATTCAGTTCCGCAAATACACGTGGATCTATCAAGCTTCCCTCCTTCCCAGCGACATGGAGCGGTGTCATCCCATCTGTTCTTCTAGCGGCATTGATATCAGCGCCAGCATTCGCAAGTATTCTGACGATATCCTCCTCCCCTGGGTAATCGCTAAGCTGATGAAGCAGAGTTTCTCCATTGATGTCTACTATGGAGGCGTCAGCTCCATTCTCAAGAAGCCAGGAAATGAACTCGACAGCAAATTTTTTGCAGGAATGATTCGAAAAAGCTCCCCAAGCAAAAAGTGCCGTCTGTCCTTGATAGTCGGTTGCATTGATATCACACCCTGCATTTATGAGAAGTTGAAGCACCTCTCGATTCTTTTTATGGGCGCCGGTCAATCTCGGTCTTTTAATCTCAGAAAGTCCAGCCCAACCGTGGACAGGTGTAAAGCCCATGTTGTCTTTTTCTTCTCCTTGATATGCCTTTGAGTCGTGACTTTTCTTTGGTCTGTCGAGGGATCGAATGCCGATGTCTGCTCCATTTTTTAGCAAAACCTCAACTGTTGCGCTACTCTGAGACTTTGCGGCGAGATACAAGGCTGTGTCTCCGTGATGAAGGTCGTCAATTCCGCGGCGAACTTTTTCGTCTTCAAGAAGAAGCGTAACGATCTGCGCTTGGCCGCTTGATGCAGCCATATGTAGAGCTTCCCGACCCTGTGTCGAGGGATCAATATATGCTTGCAGCTCTACCATGGTCTCGACATGCCCGCCTCGGCATGCATACGAGAGAGCTGTCTCTCCTTTCTCAAAGTTTCCCCATCTTCCTCTGTAACATCCTGACTCGTCTTCTTTTTTCTCTTGTACCGCAGCCAGAGGATCTGCTCCTGCGGCCAATAGAAGACGCACAACTTCTGACTCATTGAGCTTGGCGGCGTAATGAAATGCATTCATCATATCATCGTCGACCCAGTCATACCGAGCCTTGTAGTTGAGAAGAGTTTGCACAGTTGCAGCGTGTCCCGTCATAGCAGCATAGGTGATGGGCGTACGACCGTAGCCATCGCGACACTCTATATCGGCTCCATTGATAAGTAGGTGCTCAGAAAATTCACTAAGCCCACTGTGTGCAGCCATATGGAGAGGTGTCAGGTCGCTGTGTGTGGGTATATCTCGACTATTCAACACGCCTATCCACCACGTGAAGCATTCATGGTTATTAAAAAACTCATCCAGAAGATATATTAGCTCTTCGACTTCGTCCACCATGAAAGCATGGAACGGCCATTCTTTCGATGCGTATCGTAGCGTGGGGAATCGTTGCCACAGAGCCTTCAGATTGTTAGTGGGATCTTCAATATACTGCTCCGGACATTCGATGCAGCAGCGTGTGATGTATTTTATGCAAGCGCGTGTTATGTTTGCATGAGCAGTCTCAGGGTCAAGGACGGGGAATTCTCTCATATCTTGCCCATCCTGAATGTGGCTGACGTCTCTGTTCAGGAGGAACTCGGTCATTGAGTGGTGAATTATCTGGATCACTCCATCTTCGCAGACCTCCAGGAGTGGGCCGCAGGTGCTACGAATAGCATGTTTGGCATCTTGGCCTTCGGTAAGGCCGCCGCGATCGGGTAGTGAGTCGACCATTGTTGCTATCTCCAGCAGACGCAGCGGTCTCACTGCGTATACCACGAACTCCAAGACCAACCGCTGGAATTCTCGGGTTGTCTGAGAACGAGCGGCGTGGTCACGCAGGATAGTCGTATACATGCTTCCTAAACCATCCGGTAGTTGGCTCAGTTGCGAAACAATTGTAGTCGGGTGGAGGAGTAGCTGATCAATGACTAGCCGAGCGTATAAAAATAGCCCCTTCCCCCGGTCGCATATTACCTCTTTGATTTCAGCAGCCTCGCCTTCGGTCAGGGTAGCCTCGGATTCGAGTCTCTGGGTAATGTAGATCGCGATGTCTTTATCCACGTTTCGGCGATCTAAGCGTAGGTCGACGAGACAAGACCCTCCGAGATGCTTCTCCAAGTGAGGCAACTGACGACTAGTCAGGATCAACTTGATCGATTGAGGTGACTTCCGTCCCAGGTTGAGAACGTCTTGCAGGAATTGATCGTGGCCCGGCTCCATCTCATCCAGGGCGTCAATCACGCAGTATACTTTGGGCATTGCAGCCAAAGCAGACACAAGGCACTTCCACAGCTCGCTGAACGGAACACTCGCTATATATTTATTCTGGCCGTTCAACTTCTCCAGCGCCGATTGTAGCACTGGAGAGTGGTCCAAGAGAGTATGGCAGAAATCTCTCAGGAGCGAATGTGGAGTTCGATTCGCCTCGATAATCTCTCGGAAGAAGAAAAACAGTACCGGCGTATCTCCCCGTTGCTGTAGCCTTCTCACCATACTGGCTGCAACAACTGACTTTCCACTTCCTGGAATTCCTCGGATCCAGAGATCGCCGATCTCATTGGTGTCGCTCCATCGACGGTACTGGTTTGTGTCGAGGATCCATTCTCCGGTGCCGGCCACATGAGAGTTAAGGTGCTTGCGATACTCACTGGCTGGCGAGGTTGTATCGGTCGGAGACAGCCATGCTTTGAGCTCTTGGATCACACGCAGTAACTCGCTTTTACTCCTGGCAGTGGTCTCTGCGGCCAATTAGTTGGTAACAACATATTGGTGGTATCATTATCAATTTTACCAGGAAAGGGGACAACGACATAATTGTCCGCGTCGTCGCCGAACTCATTATTCATTGTTAGCGGTGATGGGCAGGATATTGTTCATGAGATCATGAAAGAACTGGGCGATCGCAGCTATTTAGTATGGTGTTAGCTGGCTAGTCAGAGCCAGTGCCTAGCTCATCCCAACAGTGCCTCATTTTCTGTTCCTATCATTGGCTCATCTTGCAATCTAGCCTGTCGTTCCCACTCTTGAAAATAGACCAATCTGTTGTTTCTAACCTCCAAATACACGGAGTAAGGCTCACTTTCTCCGCTTTATAAAACCCACAGTGATCAAACAGAAATGAATGATCCACTTCAGAGCTTCGAGTGCCTAGAATTTTCCACTGCCTCAAACCATTTGCACAAGGTTCCTACACAAGGCTCCCACATTGGGTTATCCATTTTCAAACCGTTTTTCCGTGTTCTTGGTCTCATTAATACCGTTTGAGAAAGCAACAACGAGATTTACTGCTGGTTATGTGCCCACGCTAGCGGCCCACACTCCACTTCATTTATGTTGGCCAGTAATTGGATACATATTTTTAGGCAAGTACTTGCTAGGACCCAATGGCCCCTTCCAGCCCATTCTCTACAGGCTCAGGGAGTGTAGAAAAAAGAATAAATACTCCAAGCAGTATAATAATATTGATTGAGTTAGTGATAAGTTTCGAAATTGATCATCTCAGCGGGCAGAAGGCCAGTGCTGATCGAGATATATTCCCGGGACAAACTTCATGCGATTGATTGAACGATTCAATTCCCAATTCATACAACCAAAAAGGCAGCTGTTCAAAAATGAATAATTCATTGTCTCCCTGACAGCAATCATATTGGGGAGTAATGCATTTCAGTAAGTAATTCGCCGGGATATATCCCTACACCCATCCAGGTAACTGTGGAATGACCTGCCTCAGGTTCATTCACTGGGTGTTCTGCAGTATTGTTAGCCAGAATTCCCCCCTCGAACCTAAAATCAAGATAGGATGTTCACATACACAAGCAAAGGACTGGATCGCCGCATTGAAGCAATCCTCTCCCTCCACTTTCTCCGCCACGCCCTTGCGGCCTCGGTGTTTAAAAAGCCGGCACTCCTTCGAGTGACGGACGCGCACACTTGCGGCAATCAGCTGCTTATTTTTACAGCTTTCCTTGTGGTCTTCCCCTCCGTTCCAGTACTGGTGGAATTTCACGTGACTGTCTCCGCTGTCGAAGTTGTGGCACGTCTTCGTGTCGGTCCCGTAGTAGATCTGGTATTTGTTCGGATTTCCGGGGCCGCAGTCCTTTGTGTTGTCGTAGGCCGTGTCATGCCATGCAGAGGCAAATGAGGCAAGGGAGATGAGGGCTAGGGGAATGGTGGCAGAGAGCATCATTCTAAATGGCTTGGGGAGGTAGAAATAGTGATGAAGAGTGTGTAGTGGTATATTGTGTGTTTTGTTTTCTTGGGTGAAGGTTCTGGGCCCGCGCTTGCTTTGTATATCCCTCATCATCCATATTGAACCGCCTACATTTGGTTAAAAGAGTGCAGGCCGTGTAGGAGTTCATTTCAGCTGATCTTTTGTTCCCTCCAGCGAGTATCGACCGAAAAGTCAACCAACAGGAATGCGACAAAATAGACAGATCATGGGATATCAGCTGCTTTACCATTGTGCTGTAAGGTAGCGGCATGCCAGCTGAGGCCTTGGCCGGTTTATTAGCTCAATTAGGATGGGCACTGTCGATCATTGCCTCTCAAACACCCCGGGGCTTTATATGGGGACGGAGTAAGCAGACCCGGGAAAGGAATTTCATAGACAGAAGCGTTCGGGATCATGAGTGGTGGGGATTGGTAGACATATATCGCGCCAAAGGTTGCCTCGATAAATTTGTTGCCAATTAAATGGATTACTTTTCAGTTGACTCTGAGTGTACTAACCGATTTGTCACCAGCGCGAGCAGTTTGATTATGTAGTAAAATGTCGTCTTCCTCGCCGTCAGTCAGTCGCTATAGACGAAGTTGCGGGTTTCACTTAGTCGAGAAATCACGAGCTTACTATTGGGAAAGAATTGGTCCAGATGGCCGGGCATGTTTAGACTAATGTTGATCATCATACTGGCTGTTGCCAGCAACAGGTAGGCTCACTGATGGTGAGATCTACCGAAGCATTAGGTTCTATGAGCGAGTAGGAAACCACGCCGACGTAGAGAACTGGAAAGCCGGCTGAACATAGAGACGTCCAAAAACCTCAAGAAACTTGGTGGAGATAAGTACAAGGCCTTGAAATATATCTTCGACGACAACCTTCCATTTGGTGGGATTATGGGAGGACTTTGTATTCGGGCCGTTCAACCGCTAATTTACTATGAATCGCCTAGAGGTATGATCCTGACCCGTATCTTAGAAGTATTATGATTTGACTAGTGAGGTAGGAGTTAGCACATTATATTCGACATATTTCTAAAACTTGGAGATTTATTTGTCGTGATACTCGTCTCTTTAGTCTCGTGGATAGTTGCACTGTGAAAATACTGGAAATTCTTACACCAGAAGCGATCTACCACGCGAGCGTTATAGAGTAACTAGCAATGAAAGGTCAAATATTCCTGAATATTAACAGGGCGACTGCCCTTGACCAAATGTTGCCTCGAATTCTCCAAGTACAGGGGCGTGTTCCTTCCTTTTTCTCTTTTTTCAAGGATATACTTTATCTGGAAGCATGCACCCAATCACTCCGCCCACTACTGCCTTCCAGGCAGAGAGATGGCTTTTCGACAGACATTCTACCGGAGTTTGGCTAATACCAGCCAGTCACCAGTGATACTCAGAATCCAGACAGGATTGGATAAATTTAGACATGCTAATGGAACAACGGGTACTTGATGGTGTTTCTAGCAGCAATGCGTGGCTTCGGCGTTGAAGAACGTCAATCATATTTGGCCGTACTGGCTCTAGAACTGGGGTTTGATAACCGTGGATCCAAAGGCTTCTAAAGCAGGAACCTGACTATGTATGTCCCATGGCCTTTTTATTGCGGAGTTGTTCTATGCATCAGTACCCAATTAACATGGATGAGGTGGAAGGCTTAGCACGAGAATTGGCAGAGAGCATTTGTGCATGCGCAAGGCCGAAGGATAGATGCGACAGCCCTGAAATCTCCTGTTCCAAGGAAGTCCCCAAAGAATTACGGTGTGGCGTGCCGGACGATGTCAATTGCCAGGAATTCCAAAATGATCTAAACGTCGACACTGTCTACAACTGTAACCCAGCCCCCTGGCATCACTCAGCGTCGCTCATTTTCAGCGCGATATGTTCCTCTGCTTTTTCGGGAAACATGACATCCCAAGAAGCTTCGACAAATCACTTGAAGACTATAGAGGGGATCGAATATCGGACGATATAGCACAGGTGAAGATCAGGAGCTGAAGTTGGCGTTTTTGCTCTCACCTAGTAGAGAAATTACTTTTCGTGTATGTATCGATAGCAGGGATACTATCTCGACAACGTGACTTGAAGGGCCACGATCATAAGAGAAGCATAAGAGTACACTTATGGGCCCCTCCCATCTTCGGAGTATAGCTGATGTGATGGGGAATTGTGTTATGAATTGTCCTACTTCTTTTTAGAGTTGTGAGAGTATGAATTGAACACTTGTTACATGTATTTGTATTATTGTGCTAAAGAGCAGCAAATGTAAGTGCGGAATACTCCGTATTGTGATTGGTAGACAACACGCCGACGGTGGTCATAGGAGTTAGTCCACCTTTCTCGTTATGCCTGACCTGACAGAATAAAGAAACTAGTGAAAAATGGGCCATTATTTCAATTAATTTCAATTATAAAAATTCCGTGCCCGCCCATTGGTCAGTTCCGGCAGGGGTATAAACCAAGCAATACGATTGCGTTGCATCAACTAAGAAATGCACATTTGCGCCTAGGCGCCTTTTAAATTGACGTTCTAGGTTTTTCCTATTTAAAGACAATAACCCTCCGTCCTATTGATAGCTTTGTAGGTTCACAGCTGACAATCCGCTAGAACTGCCGGAATCAACCCAACAGGCCATCCGAGAGGAATACTCACATCAACTCAGCTTTACGGATGGTGATATCTATCGAAAGATCAAGCTCTACGAAGGAGTACAAAATGGTGCCGAGGCAGAGAAATGGAAAGCACGCCTTAGCGACACCAAGGCCAGAAACCTTAATCGGTTGAGCAGCTCTTTATAAAAAGACCTACAAAACGCCTTCGATGAGGTTCTTCCATTCATAGGGCTATGGGATGGTTTCCTACCCGGGTCATTTAACCGTCTATTTCATATGGATTGCCCAGAGGTACGGCTAGGTCATCTTAGAGATCTACATGCACTAAACTAGACACAGGAACCGGCCCATTATATTCGCCACATTCATAAGACTTGGAGTTTCATCTGTCATAATCCTGAAATCAGCGGCCTCGTTGACGGTAACACCGTGAAGCTCTTGGAAACTCTTACCCCAGTGGCGACATCAGATCAGTCCACTATCAAACGGCTTGCGCATAATGGCGAGATATTCTCCAGCGTCGATAGCCTGACCGTAATGGAACAGATTGTCCCTCGTCTGTTCCAAGTTCAAAGGCGGATTCCGTCCTTTTTACTTTTTTCGAAGATACAATCTATCTGGAAGCCTGCATTAAATCACTGCGCCCATTACTGCCGCCAAAGCAAAAGAGACAAAACAAAGTATTCGACAGTTCTTCTGCCGCTATTTTACCGACATCGAACAATCACCAGGTATAATCAAAATACAAACAAATAATAGCAAATTCAGGAGTGTTCGTGGGGAAACGGACCAGCGCAAGGCGTTTGGCTACCTCACGATATTTCTTGCAGCCATGCGTGACTTCCCCGTGCTGAGCCGGACTGCCCCTCTACAGTCACACGGAGAAAAAAAGCCCCTGGTTGGAGGGTCCATCGAGGAGCGTCAACCACATCTAGCGTTATTAGCGCTGCAAATGGGGTTTGACACCTCCTAGATCCTGGCCCTTGCGAACAAAGATCCTGACATTGCAGCTGCTAAAGAGTTTATAAAATGGTGTCGCCCTACAGACCAGCATGAAGCCAACAATTATGAAGCCGAGAAGCTTTTACGGTACATAGCAGGAAAAATGGGGGTTATTGAAAGTCCAAAGGACAAACGTGCTACTCCTCAATTTGTTGGTGTTGTCAAAGTGCCCAAGAAATTGCGGTGTGGGCTACCAGACAATAGAACCTATAAAAATGGTCGGAATCATTTATTTCTCGACACAATTTACGACTACAACCCGCCCTTTGGACAGTATTTGACGTCGTTAGCTTTTCAGCGAGATATTTTTGTCTGTTTTTGTGGGATGCATAACATCCCACAAGAGGTCAGCAGAGATTGCGCTGCGGTTCAAATCACTCACCAGTTCAACCCTCAGGCTTAGCACTGGAGGGAATAAGCGAGAACAACAGCTACCACTGGCGAAAGGTGCAAAAACGGGACCAGCGGAGGTAGAGTCACGGGTATTCAAGGGTGCAGCGGTGCCAGAGCGGCCCTTAGGGGCAGACGATGAGGTGCCAGAGGGGGCAGTTCTTGCTAAAGGTGAAATTAACTTCCTTGTTGCTGCGCTCCTTGCGCCGGGCCATGTCCAGTACGGCAGCCACGGTATCAAATGTCTTATAACTAAAGGATTTACTGATGTAAGGAACTAGAGTGTATTAGAATTTGGTCACACGCTCCTCTTCAGGGGTCTCGGCGCAGATCCACAAGGGGAGAAAGCGCTAATAGTAAGCCGATATAGATTCATTTCTGTCTTGTTTTACAGTGATTAACTGCCTCTTGGCGTATCCCTTGAGGAAGTAGATACCTAGATACATTTCGAGCTCCTTCATAAAGGTCTGGTAGGTCACGAGACTTCTGCATCGAATGTCTCAGGATATGATATCATCCAATAGGAAACTTCTGAACTGACCTCCAAAAAGAGAAATTCATGGAGCTTCTGCCTTGATGAAATGGACCGACAACCTTTACCTGACTTTTTGTCAATTTGCCCATCGGCGCTTTGCCTAACACTGAAGTTCCCGATGTGATCATTTTGTAGCGTCCATGGGCGCAGCACCTCCTTCCTGCAGGGTAAATCTTTAGAGTCTGAGCCATGATATGTTTCAATTGTGCAGCGGTGGCACTTTCGCAGTCAAGTAAATCTCACGACGACCACCTTGACCCAGGACCACCGATGGACACCCTAGACGGCACATGAGGAAATGCAGTGGAGAAGTGGAATCTAAACTTGATCCGCCCTGTGGAGGTTGACTTTCGATAACATTTATAACCTCCCATCCGTCCACTTCAGCTTTCATATCTCCATTTTCCTCTACTACACGACAGTCTTTACACAGTACTATCATACTACTTTCGCTCACAGTGAAGGTCTTCGCCCTAAGTTCTCTCGTCCCTCTGGTCGCCGCCATGCCCGGCCGCCGCCAGGAATCTGCTTCCACCGGCTCCTTCGGCGTCACTGCTGCTCGCTCTGGCTCGCCCATCCACTTTCTGCCTCTGACTGCTGCCGGCTCGTACATCTATCTCGGTGGCAAGAGCCAGACCTATATTGCGGAGGGCGTCCCGCTCAGCAAGTCGACCAACGACACCATCCTGGCCGGCTCCCGTTACCTTGTATGTACATTTCCACATCTCGCAGCGCAGCTCTCCCACTAACGATTCAAAGAAGTCGTTTTTCCCGGCGGCCAGGAGATCTACGTCGATGCTTGCGGTGCTCTGTCCTTCACCACCTCCCACTCGGGCGACATCCCCGAAGGCTCCTCCGAGGGTCCCTTCAAGTACATTCCCGGCAAGAACGGCGGCCTCGGCACCTGGAGCTACGGCTCCAGCTTCATTGCTTGCCCTACTGCTTCCAATGCCACTACCACCCCCTACAGCCGCCGCCGTATCGCTGCTGCCGCCCCTAAGTAGCAGGTCTTCTCTGCTCAGAAGAACGCCACCGTCCCCACTGGCAACATCAACGACTGAGATCCTGGTGACCTGATTTCTGAAAGGTTGAGCTAATATTGAATGATTGTAAATCGAATTTCTTTTCTGGCTTCTTCGTACATATACATTCCTTTGTGATTATATTATAGACATGCCGTAATGCCGTATCTCCACATTGATAAATAGTTCTATTATCCAGGCTAACCTAGAAAAGGTGTGAATTTCTTGCAAAGTGCTTAAAGTATCCAGGGATCAATATTAGCGAAATCGCCATTGAGCCACTGTGACATGTAGGCCAGATCTATGTCGTTGGAAAGAATATTCGGGTTAGAAAAACAGGGTGCGACGCCCCTTGAATGATTGATATCCGAACCCGCCGGTTGAGGAAGGCGAGTGAAATCAGGTTCTGGAATCTCTGATTCCTGGCTTAAAAGAAAAATAATCCAGTTAGTAGAGGAACAAGAAGTTATTGAATTCGAGATATACTCAAGCCATGGAAACTCTTCGAATAGACTCGAACAGTGTTGCAGCTCCTGGCTGGATGACTGAATAGCCTCTTTCACGCACTCCATCACATCGATACTGAGCTTTTTGCCCGTAGTTGGACCGATGTGCTCCATCTGGTCAAGGCAGTGAATGCCTCGATTGACATAGCTCAAGATATCTTTGGCATATTCGGGGTCAACGCCAGGTCCAATGACATCGTAGAGTAATGTCACACAGGCGGCGATGAGAAACGCAGCAAAGGAAGCATCGTTACGTATATCGGGGAAGCGTTTGAACATTACCTCATTGCAAAGTGTTACAATGCCTTTGGCTGCACTGATGCAGGCAATGACCGATTCCTCGAGCTTGACAAAGCCAGAGAAACTTTCTTTCGCTTCTATTTTCGTTTCGAAAAATGATGTAAAGACGAGAGCAGGCCGATGAATGACCATACGCATCATGTGGTGATTGATACCCAAATGAGCGCGCTGAATCTCCTGCCACTCTTGGCCGATGACGCACTTTTCGTCGAAAAAGTGCAGATATGAGGGCAATGACTGTGCAATGACATCGAGCGTCGTGTCACATTCCTGAACCACGGGGTCAATCTTTTCCAGATTCTCCACTGTCTTCATACTCGTCGATGAGTATATGCTCTGAGCGGCTTTCTCAGCTAGGCGACCAATCCCTGCCATTGATCGGACCCATGCACATTCTTTTGTAGGCCTACCGCTAACCAGGTCCTCCAGCGTGTAGATATTCTCGACTTCGGGAAGATCTTCTGGATATGAGACATCGATATAGTCATCCAGTAAGCTTGTCGGACGACCTGTGAAAAGCGAGCACATCCTTTCGTTGCTGTACATGATCCAAAAAGTTACACGTAGCCGGTGCATACTAAAGCTGTTGCCATTGGCTACCTGGCTCCGGTTAATTCCCAGGGACAAAGCTGTTCGGGCAGCATGCCCCAGGAGTAGGTAAGTCTCATTGGGGCGCATCGCTTGCAATGAGTCCATGGCCTAGAAGTTTGTCAGTTTTCAGAGTAAATGTCAAAATGCAGGAAGCCTTGAACAGACCTTGAGCAAAAGGAATTGAAGAATCTTGAAGCTGGGCTCTTGAAAGACAAATGAAAAATCGCTACTCTGGGAAGAAAAATATTCGGCCCATTTTTCGAGATCGCTCGCCGATTCATTTGCTGTTGGTCGAGAAACGCGGGCTCCCAAGGCCAATATCATGAAGATAATGTCTTTCGATACCATGTCATGTCTAGAGCCCGGTGGACCCCAATAGGCTTCCCACATGGAGATTGTTTCTGAGCGAGAAATAATGGGTATCAAGGGATGGACAAGTCTGAAATATGCACTGAGAAAGGCATCGCACTTCGATTTATCCAAAATTGCTTCCTTATTGGTTCTTGCGCCCATTTCATCTTGTCGTGCGGAAAAAATGAAGTTTTCTAGGCCCCATTTTTGCAAACCATCAGGAATAGGCTTCTGCTTTTGGTCCAGATCAGAGCCGTGACTTATTTCATGAATACGCTGGTAAACGCGTTGAACTAGGTTTAGATAAGAGGATGGACCTAATATTGTAGAATGGTCAAACACTTTCCCATCAGAAACTCATGATAAATTTCCCAAAAAAAGGCATACCGTAAAATTGGAAAGATCCGTTTTTTGTGTTGGAAACTCCAATCCCCGCACGCATCTCCGTCTGCCTTTTGAGCTGAACTGGATCGTATCGCGCGCGGTGCGAGATTTTGACTGGAGAGCGCCCCGGTGTATCTGTGGCTCTGGGCTGCAAATTTAGCCCATGAGGAAGAGTGACAGGGCGTTTTCGTCGAGATGGTCGGCCTTCTATGCGATATGTGCAAGGAAACCCATGCTGCCAACAGTTGGCGCAAGGTTTATTACCATCGCATTTCACCTTCCGGGCCCGGCAGGCTTCACAAGCTCGACTGATACGAGACTTTTTCGCCAATACTGTAGAAGGCCGTAGACTTTCAGGGTCTTCTTCCATTCCCAGAAAGGTCCACGTCCTAGTCCCAACGAAGCGGTTGAATGCGGATTGATCGGTTGAGCCTGAGTATCCACAAAACTGAGCGTAATTTGCAATGAAGTGACTTGTGCTCTACAAAAAGTGATAAATTGAGGACTGAGAGGTGCGACAAGAGATGCCAGCCTATCTTGAGGTTGCAGAGATTTTGGGTGCCTAGCGAATCGCGATTTTAGAAAGGTAGATTGCAAGGTTCCCGAAGTTGGAGGCAAGTGTCGGAATGTGTGGAGCATTAGGTACTGGCGTGTTAATTAACGTAGGTAATCCACAAGCGAGTGAAACACCACCCGCATTTTGACCGCAATTAAAAACCTCTTCAATTCAACCACCAACCATGCCTCCAAAGGCGCGTCAAAATTCAAGAAATTCAGTAGAACAAGAGGGAAGGATCTTATTAGATATTTCTTCATTTAAAAAGGAAGAATTCAAGCCAATTCGTGAAACTGCACGCGTCTTTAACATCCCGCATACAACTTTATCTCGTCGGCTTAATGGAACAACATACCGCAGCGAAACACGCGCAAATAGCCATAAATTGACTGAAAACGAAGAATATTCGCTTGTACAATGGGTTCTATCATTAGACGGACGTGGAGCAGCTCCCCGACCCTCTCATGTGCGAGAAATGGCCGATATTCTACTTATTCAGCGCGGTACTACACCTATTCAATCAGTCGGAGAGAACTGGGTATACAACTTGATTAAACGGCGCGATGAACTAAAGACACGCTTTTCTCGAAGATATAATTACCAGCGAGCGAAATGGGAAGACCCAAAACTTATTCAGGAGTGGTATAATCGCGTGCAGATTACTATAATGCAGCACGGTTTCTTACTGGAAGAAATCTACAACTTTGACGAAACTGGCTTTGCAATGGGTCTAGTAGCAACTGCAAAAGTAGTTACTAGAGCTGAGATGTCTGGCAAACCCTTTCTTATACAGCCAGGTAATCGGGAATGGGTTACATCAATTGAATGTATCAACTCTGCTGGATGGGTCCTTCCACCATGCATTATCTTCAAAGGGAAGGTCCATATAGAGGGTTGGTACGAAAATCCAGATCTACCACGCGATTGGAGGATTGAAGTCAGTCCTAATGGATGGACTACTGATGAAATTGGGCTTCGCTGGCTTAAAAATATCTTTATTCCTGCTACTACAAGCCGTACAACTGGGAAATATCGTCTTCTGATTCTTGATGGCCATGGCAGCCATCTTACGCCTCAATTCGACCAGATATGCAGTGAGAACAACATCATACCTATCTGTATGCCTGCGCATTCTTCGCATCTACTACAGCCTCTAGATGTTGGCCGCTTTTCACCACTAAAACGCGCATACGGACGTTTAGTGGAGAATAAGATGCGTTTGGGATTCAACCATATTAATAAGCTTGACTTTCTTGAAGATTTCCCTCGGGCGCGTGCAGAGATATACACTACTAGTAATATTAGTAGTGGATTCTCTGCAACTGAGCTAGTTCCATACAATCCAGATAGGGTACTTGATCAGTTGAATATTCAACTAAAGACCCCTACACCACCAGGGAGTCGACCAACAAATTCAGCTCCTAAAACATCCTATACAACTAGGCAGCTCGAAAAGTAAGCATCTATTGTGAAGCAGCTGCTTAAAGCACGTATATGTGAGCGTACGCAAAAGCCCTTCATCTTCATTAGAAGCGCGATTAGACAAGATTGTTAAAGGCCATGAATTAGCCTTGAATGAAGCAATTCTTGCACGTGAAGCAATTGTCAGTCCATCCTGACCTAACAATAAAACTGCATGGCCAGGGGGACATTCCCAATCAAGACTCCTTGCTATGCTACTTAGGCCCACAGTTGCTCCGACACCCGGTTAGCTGACTAAAGTTTTCATGGGCTCGGGAGTAGCCAACCAATGAATAATCATTATCGCTACCGAAGGCCTCGGATACTGTCTGTATTGTGATTGGCTGATGAGCTATCTACTCGATGGCAATAATACCAGATCCGAGATCCCTACCGAAGTAAAGGCGAGTGAGCCAAAATAGTTATTGAATTACTTATATGAAATAAGATACGTTCCGGGGATACTATTTTTATTTAAGGTCGTTAGCTCCAGTGATTTGAGTTGCGCTGTGCTATCGTCTTTGGTCAAAAATTGCAAAAGAAATCATGAGTGCAACCGCTCACATCGAGAAAAATGTAAGCTTTGGCAGCGCTTTTTCCGCATGTTAATTTACTAACTGTGGATTTTGAATCGCATAGGGGAATCCCCCACAGTTCGACCTGCCGCTCTACCGCACGGAGGGTCGTTCGCTTGGCGTTGTGTTTGAGCATATGAATGTGCTCGGGGCGACGGCCAGTGCCAGTGGCATCCTCAATCTCCCAACCGTAATCCTGAAAATTGCGGAATTTCCTGTTCGCCTGACGCTTTCGATCTTTGGAAAGCGATCCATCCCCTCCAAGCCCATCGTTGAAGATATCAGTGGCGTTCTCTTCCCGGGCGAGACAATGCTTGTACTCGGTCGCCCGGGGTCAGGTTGCTCGACAGTCCTGAAAGCCCTAGCAAACGAACATGATCCATTCGTCGACGTCCAAGGCAAGATCTCATACGGAAACATTTCACCCTTGGAAATGTCCCGCCGCTTTCGCTCCGAAACCGTGTACGTCAGCGAGGATGACATTCACTTCCCCACTCTATCGACGAGAAACACTATGTCATTTGGCTACAAGCTACGCAAACCAGTCGACTCGGAACAATCAGATTCAGAATTTGCTTCTGAGCAAACAGAGAAAATGCTTCGCTCTCTAGGTATTGTCCACACTAAAGACACGGTTGTGGGAAATGCCTTCATCCGAGGCGTGTCTGGTGGGGAAAGAAAGCGCGTTACTCTAGCTGAAGCCATGTCAATAAACTCAGCCTATGGCTCTTGGGATAATCCTATCCGGGGGCTCGATAGTTCTTCTGCGAAGCAGTTTCTTCGCTTGTTGAAAACTATTTCAACTCGAACCGGTATGGCAAATAGTGTTTCTCTCTACCAAGCTTCTGAGTCCATGTATCAAGAATGTTTTGATCGTGTCATGGTTCTCTATGAAGGCCGTATGATCTTTTGCGGGAGAGTTTCCGATTCAAAGAGCTATTTTGAAAACCTTGGTTTTGAGTGTCTCCCTCGCCAAACAACTCCAGATTTCTTGACCGCTGTCACGTCTCCTGCTGAAAGAAAGATTCGAGAGGGCTTCAAGAACGTGCCGCTTGACCCTAACTCTATGGCTCGGGCCTTCCGCGATAGTCAGGATTATACCCGTCTCCTCGCCGATATCACCACATATTATAGTGCTGTTTCGGAGAGCCAGGTATATACCGAGTCTTTTAAAGAAAAGTCGCGTGCTATTCGATCGAAAATGACGATGTCTACAGCGATCGCACCTCGATCTGTGTTCAAACAGACAACTGTGGCAATCTCTCGCTATTACCAATTGATTTGGGGAGACAAACGCACATTCTACACAGTTTTAGTATTCAATGCTATCAATGCAGTTATCAACGGCTCGGCATACTATATGGCGCCTAAGACGGCCACCGGGTCTTTCGAGAAAAGCGGAGCTCTTTTCTTCTCGCTCGTCTATTTCTTCCTCAATGCACTTGCGGAGACATCTGCAACCGTTAACTCTCGATCTGTCTTGCTCAAACAACTCAAGTACGGGTTCCTCAGCCCTGTCTCTTATGTGATTGCACAAACGGTTGCCGATATCCCCGTTGCCGCTTTTCAGACCATCGTGTTCTCTTGTTTATATTACTTCATGCTTGGCCTCGTTCGCGATGCCTCTGCCTTTTTTACCTTTTTTCTCTTTGTCTTCGTTCACTATGGAACGGTACAGGGCATGTTCCGCATGCTTGGAGCCTGGTCACCAAACATGAGTGTTGCATTGCTTATGGCTGGCAGTGGAATGCCGGTGGCGCTACTATACTCTGGATATGCACCCACAATCCCTACCATGCACCGATGGGGCTCTTGGATTCGGCGAATCAGTCCATCTCCATGGGCCCTTGAAGCATTGATGGCTAACGAATTCGCGGATATCAACTTGAGCTGCACAGAGAGTCAACTGGTACCTTCAGGCCCTGGTTATGATGGCAATCTTCATTACCAAGGTTGCACGATCATTGGTAGTACTAAGGGCTCTGCGACTGTCTCAGGAACCACATATCTGAGTGACCAGTATGAATTTTCGCCTTCCCACATATGGCGAAACTTGGGAATTCTCCTCGTTCTATGGTTTCTCTATACAGTCATCGCTGCCGTCGGGCTCACTGTCATGACTCGCGAAAACAGTGGGTCCTATGCTCGGGTCTTCAAGAAGCCTCGATCATTGAAAAACTCAATGCAGGCAAATGGCGATCCTGAGAAAGGCACCAGCACTTTGCCAAGCTCTCGTGCATCATCTTCCAACGAAATTGACGCGGCTGGGGCCCAAAATGAAATGGGAAAAGATCGAAACCAATCCAAGACTTTGTTTACATTCGTGAATCTCAATTACTACGTCAACGCTGGGGGGTCTGAAAAACAACTTCTTACTGATGTCAATGGCTATGTTCGCCCGGGCCAGCTTACGGCCCTGATGGGAGCCTCAGGTGCCGGAAAGACAACTCTTCTAGACACTCTGTCGCAAAGAAAGTCTGAAGGGCGCGTAGAGGGCCAGCTTTTGTTGAATGGCCATCCTTTAGGCAAAACATTCGCTCGCTCTTGCGGTTTTGTTATGCAACAAGATGTTCACGAGTCTACTGCCACAATTCGTGAAGCTTTCCAGTTCTCTGCTCGTCTCAGGCGGCCTGCGGAAGTGCCCGATTCCGATAAATTGGCGTATGTAGAACATGTGCTACATTTACTGGATCTTGAACCCCTTGCGAATGCTATTATCGGCGGCGAAGGCCAGTTGAGTGTTGAAGAAAGAAAACGTGTCACAATTGGTGTTGAGCTGGCGGCTCGTCCCCCGGCGTTATTTTTCCTCGATGAACCAACATCTGGACTGGACAGTCAGGCTGCATACCAACTAATTGCTTTTCTGAAAAAGATCGCACTTGAAGGCCTGCCGATTGTTTGCACAATTCATCAACCCTCTGGTGTTCTGTTTGATATGTTCGACCATATTTTGCTTCTTGCACCTGGTGGAAAAACTGTTTATTTCGGGGAAACCGGAGAGAACTCCATCAACGTTGTGAACTACTTTGGTCGGTACGGTGCCATCATCAGGCCAGATGATAATCCTGCAGAATTTATCCTTGGAACAGTTACTGAGGGTGACAGCACGCGAGACTGGGTGGCTACTTGGAATGAGTCCCCCGAGCGACAGAACATGGAAAAACACATTTCGTCTTTGAATTCAGAAGCTGTCCAAGAGCCCGGCACTCAGGAAAGCGATGCTCGTCAATATGCCCTCAGCTATAAATATCAAACTATACTCCTGGTCCAGCGGCACTGGGTTGCAATATGGAGGAATGGACCATACAACTTCAGCAGGCTATTCAAGTCAATATTCTGTGAAATTTTCATTGCTTTCAGTTTCTTTCATACCAAGTCTGATGCTCAAGGTCTTCAAAATCATATGCTGGCTCTTCTGCTACTAGCTTGGATTATCCCTGCCACTGCCGCTGATATTCAACACGTTTGGTTTGAAAAGTGGGCTATTTTTGCCGCCCGTGAGAGGAACGGCATCTATCAATGGAGTACACTTCTTACTGCTTTGATAGTGGTTGAGATTCCCTGGCAAATCTGCTTCTACACAATCATCTACTTCTGCACTTACTGGACCGTGGGATTTCCAAATACCTCTACAATTGCAGGCTTCCAGTATTTCATGTTCTTACTGCTATCCCTTTTCGGCACTAGCTACTCCCAGGTCCTAGCCGCTCTTTTTCCAAATGCCACAATGGCAAGCTATGCAAATTCGCTAATATGGGTGATTTTGATGCTTTTCTCTGGTGTTATAGTTCCTCATTCTTCGATGAATTCGTTCTACAAACCTTGGATATTCTGGACTGATCCTATGCGTTATTTCTTTGGCGGTAGCGTTGGAAACGTTCTTCATGGACTGAAAGCGAAGTGTTCTCCCAGAGATTTCACCTTGTTTGATCCACCAGTCGGTCAGACCTGCGGTGAATATGTGTCGGATTTCCTTGCTTCATCTGCTGGATACATATCCAATCCAACAAGTACCAGCGACTGTTCTTATTGTCCTTACAGTATCGGTGACGACTACTCTGCAACTCTGGACTACTCATACGGCAGAAAATGGAGAGACTGGGCTGTCTTTCTAGGATTCTGCTTGACCAACATTGCATGTCTTTATGTCATCATGTGGTGGCGACAAGGCCGATCCCAGCGCAGAGTGTGATTTTAGCTCCAGCGGTTGGCCATTTCTTTCTCTTCGTCTTATTCTTAAATCCTCTCCATCGCTATTTCTGCTTTTTATGCCAATCTTCGGCCCCAGTCATCTTCGTCGGAAGACGAAGCATCTGAGTTTTATCTTCATAGAGGTTCGGAATTGTACATGGAAGCTCGGCTGGACATAATATAACTACATTTCTTGATCAATCTTGCAGTGACCAACTGATAATTGTACTTTTCTCACCTGCGCCGTCCTGGGACCACATCTAGAGTACCCCTCAAGCGATGGGATGAGCTCATTGAGATTAGCAGGAAGCCTATGGAATGTAAAACCCTGTGTTGTCATTTTGAGGCAAGGAGTAGCTCTGTCTTCTAAAACTCAATCATATCAGGTCGGTCTCTCGAGTCAACAAAAACAATGCCCAACATCCCATGCGGTGACTTTCATCACAACTACGGTGTAAACTACTGATAAAGACTGCGAAAACTCGAAAATTATAGCATTAATGTTAGGATGTGTATATGCTGAAATTAGTTTTCTTGAACCGGTGGAAGATGTGACGAACGGCTACGCAGGCGATAAGGAATCGCGAGAATGTAGGAAATGCATTCAACGAAGAAACTAAGCTAGGTTGTGAAGCTAGTCTCGATCGGGTAGTTAAATCATAGGGTATCACGAAGGAAGCTCATCGGAGGCTGGTCACAGTCCGTGACATCCGACGGGTAAGCTCGACACGCCCAACGGAAATACTGGAGGAACAAAATCAATGCAACTACCACAAGTTAAGAGGTGTTTGAGATGTCCAAGTGGCACAGGACAACAGGATCCTACCAGAGCCCACCAATAAAGGACCCCCTGCAACCTGACTGCCCCCCAGCAGTTAGTATACAAGAAAAACGTGATATCCTAGCCCGAAACCTCCTCCAGAATTCTGCTGAAGTAGGAGACATACCGCTAGACACACCTGCGATCCCATCTAGACCCCTGCCATTCCCCGACATATCAATGGCGCAGGTAGAGAAAGCAGTGCTGCACGCAGGCAATACAACCCAGGGACCAGCCCAAACATGCTTGTTTCACAGTAATCTCTTTATCTTAGGTACCCATGAAATGCCTGGGTCTTGATCCTTAAACTCTACAGTTTTCTCTTCGGTTGCTCTACCTGTACAAAATCTCTCTATACCATCCTCCAAACATCAGTATCGACAACGAAAACGTCGCATGTTCCATCCTCCTCCCTTGTTTTGGAAGAAGCTCACGAAGCTGTGGTTGACCAAGAGCGCGTTACGAGAAGCTGACCGACGATACTACCTCCTATCCTCAAACCAGAGCAGCTCGCCTCCTCGTCCTCACATTTTCGCTCCTGATTTCTTGCGCAACTGCTCGGCTACTTGTTTACAAGAGATCAGAAAACTTTCCCGCCGCAGAGGGCCAGATATATCGGGCATCAGGAACGTGGGTTATCGCTAGATGCATCTCTATGAAATGGACGCATAGCATACTAACTAGGCAGCCTTGCTTCTAGTATCCCGCACCAGCTGACTTCAGTCAGTACTCAATGGATCCTACCGACTCCAGCTCGAAGCGCCCTATTTCAAAGACCGGAAATACGACGGTCTACTACTTACACTTTGAAAGCCATCTGAACGACCACGGTATTTTCATGCCCAATTCCACCTACCCAGATGGGACCAAGCCATGTAAACCGGAGAATATCGCCGAGATCCAAAGACGGTTACAAGCCCCTCGCCCGTCCCTAGCATTGTCCGAAGATTCCCTGCAGAAGGAATTTGACGAATTTACCCTCCTTAACGACAGCACCTCCGACGAGCAGCTCGTGATCAAGAAAATCCTCCCGATTCTCGACGGTCCGCAACAACAATCGTCGTCCTTCCACGATGGCGGCAATCACCCCTTCACGAACCTGGCGCCGCTCACGAACGGCACCCTCGCCAATGCCAAGCCTGATATCTACCACGGCGCGCCGCCTCACCAGCTGCATCCTCGTGTCCGGGAACAGCTCAGTGATCAGATCATCCCTACCCGGCAGGGCAACCGTCCTATCACGCCTAATTTCTTCGTCGAGATAAAGGGCCACTGTGGCTTGCCGCCCGTGCTGAAACGTCAGGCCTTGTATGATAGCGCTCTGGGTGCCCGAGCGATACATTCCCTTCAGCAATATGGATATGCGCAAGAGGAGCGCCGCAGCAGCAGCAACAGCAACAACCGACCACAGGATAATGACGATTGCTCTGATCCTGCGCCTGCTCCTGGCTCTGCCCATGATTCCACTTACGATAATCACGTTTACGCGATTGCTTCTACCTTCCAAGACAGAACGCTGGGTATCTACGCGACCCATCCGACGCGGACTCCGAGTAATATTAACCCCGGCGCAGACCGTCAGACGGATTATGTGATGACCCGGGTCGGGTATTACGCCTTGATCGGGAGTCCGGAATCCTACCAACAGGGTCTGACCGCGTATCGCAATAGCCGGGACCTGGCGAATGAATATAGGGACGAGTTTATCAGGCAGGTGAATGAGCGACATGAGGCTGGTCGGTAGGCTCTCATGATGTTTGGGGTTTCCTGATGGATATGGGGGACGCGGGTGGGGAAGATGGCAAGGATCGATGGAGAGAGAGAGAGAGAGAGAGAGATAGATAGATAGATAGATAGGTGATTGAGACGGTCTGGTATGGTCGGTGGGCTAGCTGGATTATCAGAATTAGATAGAATAAATTATAAGAGGCTACCCTGGCTAGTTGCTGTAACTAGTTAGATATTTTGTGCATGAATCAGCAGTTCACTAGATGTTCCACTGACAGACAAACTCCTTCATATAATTATTAGAAGATGTGTGTACAGTAGTGAATTAGGTTGTGTCGCTATCACTATAGAACGTCTTACCGACCTCCCCGTAAGCCCTGCCTGCAGTACTCTGTACACAGAATAAAAGTTGCATATTGCACCTGAGGGACAACGGAGGGTTGCAAACCGCTTTCCTGAGTAGGAAGGTAGCTACTAGTGGCATCTACAAAGTAATCTATCTTGTTGCCTAAATGTCTAAGGGCCTAGCTAGCCGATACTTCCAGATGAAAGTAGGACATGCAGCTATCGGATCATATCTACACCGCATAAAATCTCGGGAAAGAGCGACCTGCCAAAACTACCAAGCTCCTAGGGAGACAGTCTCTCATATACTAGTCAGCTGCAGGCAATGGCAACAACAACGAGAGGTGCTATATACAGCTCTAGATAGAGCGGGAATAGCAAGGCCTTCCGTACAAGAAACCCACCCGGAAAGCAGGCTCTTTGGGGAGCCTAAAGCTACTAAAGCCCTACTGGACTTTATAGCTAAAACAGACGTGGCTCCTTCTGGAGAACAACACCAGAAGGACCAACACAGAGCAGAGAAAGAAAATGAAAAAGGCCTAAAAGCTCTAGAGGAGGCTGAACGAACCGGAGAAGGCTAACAGGAAGGGTGGCCTGGGCACACCTAGGCGTCACCCACCCTGCTAGATACCCAAGGAGAGCAAACAACCTCAAAAGCCCTGCGCAAGAAGGCGGTATGGGGCAAGGAAAAGGAACAGAGTGTATATAAACGAGGGAACAGCCCTAGGAACTGATAAGGGCCTGAGGCCTAGCCTCAGGCCGACGACACACGGTCTGTCATAGCCCTAGGGGCTCGATATGGACAAGAATCTTGATTAAATAATAATAATAATATAGCTATAAGCAGATAATGTAAGTAACGTTGTAAGCCATCGTGATCGGGTAGCGGTATCATAGTCTTACATGAATGACGTTTTAAATGCGTTTCGCTACCGTTCCTGCCGTTATTTACTCCAACTAAGAACCAATCCCCGTGAAACCGTGCTTCCTTCAAGTTTCGTCATCACAATGTAGTCGATGAATCCACCAGGGACCCAGTTGTTGCGGTCTTGGGTTTCATGTTTCCAAGCCTTAAACCAAGGAGTGCATGTGCATTCTACCCATATCAGGGCCCGGAGAGCCAGGACTTCTCGCAAGGTTTCTTCTCGAATATCCGGCTGTGCCTGTTGAGCCCTTATTTCTGGAGATTCAAACTCAGAATCCCAACATGGAATCCTTGAACATGAATTAGACATATCATAAATCAAGGGAAGGGGGGGGGGGGCATATTGCATTCGGATCTCTATAACCGCCTGAGTTAATCCCACAGGGTCTTCGCAGACAAAGACACCGCATGAATCGGAAATGTATTCAACTTCGAAATCTATCCATCCATAACGCGTCTCTGTCTCTGCGAGTTTTTTGACAATCCTCCACGAGCAACTTTCGAACTCGACATATTGTCTAATCCAGTTTGGGCCAAACCATAAATCCGCGTCACTGGACATAACAGAAATAGTAAATTATTTCATAATCTGATTATAAGACACGCAGCGTGGAACATGGATTTCCTTAACCAGACAGAGCATTCAAGAAGTATCCGTAGCCTGCAGATATTTTTTTCGCGACCATCACCCCGCAGTGGGGCCCGAGTAACCCCTTAAAGCCTCTCCGTTCGAGGCGGGTTCGGTGCGGTGCGGGTTGAACCCGCAAACCCGCACCGAACCCGCAAACTGCCCAGTCTAGGCCATCTCCCAGGCTTCACTCCCTTCCCAAACATATTCCTTATGGCCGTTCAAATATATTAGACTTGCCTCCCTAGATGACCCGGTTCTGTCATCTTTTGTCTTGGGAGCTAACTGTGCGATGAACCAAGAGATTGAATTTCTAATATCCGGTTGACCTGCCCAACGTGCTGTTAACTTCCTAGTACCAGTAGTTGATCATTGAGCAGTCCACCATGCAAATTCACAATTTTTGTATAATTAAATAGCATCCTTTAATGTACAGTATCATCTCACTCCCTCCGGTTGACGCTTGTTCTACACGTTCATATTTCCACCCAGTCGAATTCCAGTTGCACTCCTATCATCGATAGCCCTACATTCGTCATTCGACTCTTTAAGTTCAAACAGGATTTGAATTCAAGAATTTTTTGATCTGGTAGGGTGGTTAACTAAGATAAAGCTATGAATACACTTTACTCCCCTTCCCAGCTAGTACCTCCGCGAAGAAATCACGGAAGTTTATTGGTTTGAAGTCCGGATAGAGCTCTCTAGCGTTGAGATATCCTAGATAGTTGGCATATTCAGGACTGTTGTCCTGACGCACGTACTTGCTATGTTGGTACTGGGCCACATAAAGGCCGATGCGCTTCATGGGATCATGGGGATCCTGAGCTAAAGCGGCTTTGGCTTGCTCGACACTAATTTCGATATCTTTACTCGGGATCTAGGAATTGACTTGGGTTAATGGAAAGTAATACGCGTGAATGGAAGTAGAAGTAGACGTACCCGAGTTGGTTTCAGCTTCTCGCCAGACATTTCTTCCCCGATATGAAAGATTTCGTTCTCGGAAAGGACATCCCCGGACGTGTAAACATATCTGTTCAGAGTCCGATCGTCGAGTACGATACGTGCGACAAAACGCCCGACATCACGTACGTCAGTCAGAATGTTCGGGGCTGTCCCATCCCCATGAATAGCCGTCACCGGAACGATCTGGGCATAATCCACTTTGCCAGACGGGAGAGTCGGATATGATATCTGATACCAATATCCAACATCAATCACGGTATAAGGAATCCCCAAGAACTTGATGGCATTGTAGATTTCTTCTTTCTATGTGACGATTAGTCCAATTGGTCCTTCCTTTTAAAAACACAGTATCCATACCTCATCACGAAGCAGCATAGCGCCCTGTGGGGGAGCGACCGTGATGAAAGCGCACGGGACGATTCGTTTGACACCTGCATGCTTCGCGGTTTGGAGGAGCTTCTTCTGCTGGAGTAGGTCGTGGGGTCCAATAGCGCTGATGAGAATGTCAACCCCAGTTAGGGCAGATACAAGCTCATTGAAGTCATCAAGCTCGAGGGACCAAATTTTGATACCCTGTTCTCGGAGCTTTTGTACCGATGGTTTGTTCGCAGAGGCGGGCCGGACTAACACCTCCACGTCCTAAGCAGAGGATAGGGAGAAATCGGTGTCAGCCACAGAAAAAGAGGTTTTCTAGGTAGAGGTTTCAACGTACAAAGTTGCCAGATTCTTGCAGCCCGTTCAGGATAGAGCCCCCAGTTTCACCCGTAGCTCCAAGGAGCAAAACATTTTGCTTGGCAGTCATTTTGAGTCTCTTCAAGACGCAAGGCCTCCTCCCTCCTGTGGCTACTAAAGGGGGAAACTCTTGGAGACGGAGAAAGGTAATGCTTTTATAGAACACGAAGAAATAGAAACCTACCCATCATTCCATGAAATTTGTCAGCCGATTGGCGGACGAGTTGCGGACCGTTCAGCTCCCGACTCGGTTCACGGGACTTGTGCATCCGATATGTTCAACACTGGATGCATTCCGTCATTGCATTCTTTCATGGACCCACTGTGGAGCTGATTCATTAAGTGATTGATTCTTCAGTCTTTTGACACCCCTCGACCCGTAAAAAGAAAATCGCAAACCTTACGTCCCCGCAAGACCATGCGATTTAACAAACACTTGAGCTAGAATAACAGAATATAAAATAAAGCCCTTCAGAAGGGCTCGAGACAAAATCATCAAGCATATTCAAGGCCTGATTGAGCAACACATTCTGATTCACCCTCGCCTCCGGGGTTGGAAGTTGATTGCCTTCGTAGAAATCCATAGTGGCGGGATCGTTCCTGAACCACGCGATGACGGGTTGACAGATCTCCAGATCCATTCTTCGGAGCCACATGCAAGTCTCGGCACGCTGTTTGGGGGTGTCGCCAAAGAGAGACATGCCTCCTTGGGCGATCTCATCGAGGTACTCGCTGATAGCGGTGATTTCGGTGAGGACGGTGCCGTTGTCGAGTTGGAGGGTGGGAACCTCCCCGCGAGGATTGATTGCGCGGTATGCAAGACGTCGGTTTTGGAGGCTCATGATGTCAACGGTTTTAACATCGAAGGTGAGCCCGCCTCGTACAAGCACGAACAAACGGTGGGGTTTGGTGCGGCGGCATCATAGATTTTCATGGTGGCGGTTTTTCAGGATAGGACTTCGTTTTGCTTGCGGTATAAGAACTTAGGGAACCGCGAGGACCTTTATATCTCTGCGCAAGAAGAATCTGGACTTCAGGGTCGTTGAACGTGGAGTTAATGAAGCTCGTTGCTTAGTTACTGGGTGCTTTGATGTTGCGGAGTTAGCATTGCGTTAACTCCGCCCGAAGATTCAGATTTACGCCCCCTACTACGGTATACGCAAAATGCCGGTCCGTATTGGAGTAGATGGCCAATCGACAAGTTTTCCATGTTACATGGCTCAGTGTATCACAAGATATCAGGATCCCCAAAGTCTGCGCAGAAGAATTTAGCAGTTATAAAATGAGAAACTTTACATCTGGTAGCATGTCGCGCGCTAGGTGTGCTTTCCTAGAGCACCCTTCAACAGTGCCATCGAGGGCAACAAGGATTGTGCAGCATCGTCAATCAGGCACAAAGTGTATGCTTACTCCTTCGACGAGATGATCTTGCTCTCATGCAGCAAATACACCCACCTAATGAGTATGTGAGCATGCAAAGTTGTGTCTGAAGTTGCTGGCCAACCTTGAATGTTGCCTGTTTTGACTGATGCTATCATTTTTACTCCTCTCCTGTCAACAAAGACCCCCAGGCGATCCCAGAGGGCAAAGTGGGCCGTTGGTGACTTGCAGGTCGTCATCTGGAGAGCATACTCTTGGAAGGCGTAGAACAAAGACCTGCACATCAGAGGTGACCAACCTGACACATCTGTTGATGTCGCAAATGCATGATGGAGCGCAGCGAGTGAAATGGCATGTGCCATGCGCTGAAACTTCTTCTTGTGGGTAACTTGGTCAACTCTGATTGAGACTCCTGGAGTCATGGCAGCAAGGGGTCGTATTGCATGGCCAACCTCAGAGAAGTACTCGCGGACACTGTCGCACCCAGAGAGAGTGTTTCCCTGACCTTCTTCCTAGGTTTGGTGTTTTCAGCTTTGCCTACCTCTGCTGCAATGGCCTCATCTGAGTCATCGAGGGCATGGTCCATGACCTTGTTCCGCCACTCCGGCATGGTGAGCCCATTGGATAGAACAAGCCTCTGAAGATGGCATGGAGGAGCTCGTTTTGGTCAACCTTGGACAAGGCCCTGGAGTTGCCTCTGTTCATGTACATTGCAGATCGACAATCAACCCTGGTTGCATCCTTGGCGTCAAAAATGTGGAAGTCACCCGAGTGATCATACGGGAACTTGCCCTGTATCCATGCCTTGCCCCTGTCCTTCTGTGGGGGCATTGTGAGTTTCCCTAGCAGTGACTGCTTCCACCAGTCTTCTTCAGATGACTTGTAGCCCTCGACGTGTGCATATTTCGAAACCTTCCTCTTCTTCGACAGGAACCTTGCAAGGCCATATGCTTTGCAGAAGTCAATGAACTCCTTGACTGCCTTCGGGTCAGACTCATTGGCCATGCTAGTCCGTTCTACCAAGGTATCGTGGAGCAGCAATGGGTCGATGTCAGGGGGTGGCAGCAAGTGATACAGTTTGAGAAACTCTGCTTCAGCCCGCTCAGGGACGCCCAGCCCACGCACTAAAGTGTAGAACTCTGATGTGAAAAAGTAAACAGCCAACATCTCCTCCCGTAGAGTCTTTGAGCGGTCTTTATAGCCACAATCAACAGTTGCCTCCTTCTTTCACATATTGTTCTGCTAGAGGGTGTACGCAAGTTGCATGTGCCTGGCAACGTACCTCGCCATCTTTGTGTCAGATATGGCTCTTGCAACCCATTGCTCGCAGCTCTTGTACTTGGTGATGTAGTTGACTGGCTTGCTGACACCACTCAACTTGTACATGGAGAAAGCCCACATGGCATTTCTGCGTGCTGTTAGTGCGGTCCGCAGAAATGAGCAAAATGCTGCATCTATCACCAACATCTTTGACTTGACATACAACACTATGACACCAGAGTAGTTTAGGCTGAATAATTTCTCCTGCTTAAACAGGGTTTAAAGCGTATATCCTGTGCCTCTCTGTCACTGGATACTCATCGGCCTTTTCGATGAACTCCCGAATCCTTGGCTTGACCCGCCTCAATCCTGCTGCCCACATCCGATAGTACTTAACCCACATTGGATGTGCCCTGTACTGGAGGTTCTCCCCAACAGTGACCCAGGCGTCGGCGTGCATCATGTCCTGTGAAGGTGAGGACATTGCTGTGCTACCAGAGAATGCAAAGGAACATTGCCTGGTGCGATCTTCTGCCCCAGTGCCTGAAGCACCATAAAATCATTTGCCACGATGCGGGCCTTGTATGAGTCTCTGACTCAGTCCTGAAGGATAGTTCTGAGTATGACTCCCTAAGCAACCAAAACATTGCCTGCTCATCACACAACACTTCGTCTACTTCGTGCTTCTTGTGCGTTGCAATGAGGTCTTCGAGATAGATCTGAGCTGTGCGCCGGCACTTCGAAACGTGCAGCCGGGACAGGTTGCCAATCTCAGCATTGAGGAGGTATTCTTCGAGCTGTGTATCCTCACCCTAGAGCTCATTATCATCCTCCTCATGATTAATCATGTCCTCAGCATACAATTCGTAGTCGATGAACGTGGACAACAGAGATTCCTTATCGAGCATGAGGATCCGGGGAATGATCTTTCGGTGTTGCGCTTCTGATCAATCTTTCTCTCCTTCTCCATTCTATGGTTTCCTGCTTATTTTTGTTTCCTTCGGCGTTCAGTTTTTTTTTTTTATTCAAACGAGGACGTTTGACGCTTCGAGAAACCCCCAAACTGTTGCATGCTCGGTGTTCTGCATCGTTGCAACCTGCATGTAGGTATGGTAGCTACGGTTTCCCCTACTGCCCGCGCTCATCTTCATCTGCGGTAGGCAGCCCTGACTATTCTTGATCCTTAACAACTACCTAGCATGCAGAATAAACCATCGTTTTACCTACCAGAACTTTACACCAGGTGTTTGCTTTGATCCCAGAGGAATGTTGGGGGAGGCGTGGCATGCAGAGTTGAAATTTCTTGGACATCGGAGGGGGGGGATCGGCCAGTACTTAGTAAATGGACTTAAGGAAAGGCTCGGAGTTAAGACGCTGGTGGGTTAACTAACCCTTATCAACTAGATTAGGCACCTCAACATCTATATCGTGTAGTAAGATGAAACAAGATAGCAATCAAACTATGCCTGGTCTTGCTGGAAACAGGTACGTGCGGTTTTGTAAAGGGGGTTGATCCCGTCTACTTCAAGCATCTAAGCTAGATTGTATATTCTCACACCCGAAATACCCGAATCATCACGATAACTACCAGATAACGCCATTTCCTTGTCAAACCGTTCTAATCAACACTTCTATCCATACTATAGTGTATACCTTCTATTCCCTCAACAAAAGTCACCCCGAAAGTAGAAACATCCGCACCCAAACCACCCCCCACGCAATAGCCCTATACACCAGCACGCAAACGCACAATCCCAAGACATTCAACGCGCCGTTACCATCCAGCCCGTAGAGTTTCAACACCTGGCCCCCATTCTCGATCGGACAGGTCCCGTCTCCAAGCAACTGCGCAGGGGTACAGTGAAACGTTTGATCCCGCATACCATACACAGCCAGGTTCGCGACCAGATATTTGACGGGCGAGAGGTAATTCACGCCTTTCAGGACGATGTTCACGTCGAGACTCATGACGCCGCCTAGCATGGTGGCGATGGAGAGTAACGTAGAAGTGATGTTGACAGCGAAGCCGACGTGCGAGAAAAGCGTGCAGAACATGATGCCGAGCGACTCGCCGCAGTTGATGATGCAGAAGCAGTTGAACGAGACGATGAGGAACATCTGCGGCGTGCGGGTCAGGTTGTCGGCGTAGGCGGCTAGTACGCCGAAGATGAGAGATGAGAGGATCTCGAATGGGATCTCGAGGGTCGTGTATTGTACGAGGAAGGTCGTCGTGCCGTAGCAGTTGTCTTGGGCTTCGCGGTAGAAGACGTCGCGTTCGGAGGGGTAGATGGCGATGTTTTGGAGCATGCCTGGATGGGCGGGTTAGTTTGATTTTCCACCGATGAAAGTATATCTACTGGATGAATGGCAATGAAGGGGAGGGCTTAAAGGGGGAAGAACATACCGACAAAATACAACGCCGTAAACTCCTGGATAAAACCCATCCGCGACTGCACCGCGATATAATCATTCTTCAGCGGTGCAAAGAACAACGCCATGATGATCGAAACTCCCACAATCTGCATCGATCTCGCCATCACCAGATCCGGCTGTCTCCAGAAATTGATCGCCGCGCGTCGCAACACAAGCGGATATGTCGTGCGGAACGGCAGCATTTGCCGCTTCAGACTGCCTAGTTCGGCGGGGGTGGCCATCTGCGACGGACGACGAGCCGTTTCATCACCTAGGGCTACGGCTTTCTCGCCATCAATCCAGCTGTCGATAAGCGATTGGACTCGCTCGCGGGTGACCGCTTCGCGATCGGCAGCTTGCAGGTCGACGGTGATCAAGTCGAGGACGAAGTCGGCGGGATTGGTGGTCTTGGGACAGGTGTAGCCAATGCCGCCGAAGTAGGGGAGCATGCGGGCGCCTTCCCCGGCGTAGACGGGATATCCGCCCCGGGCGAGGAGGAGAACGCTGGAGAAGTGCTGGAAGAGGTCGGATCGGGCCTGGTGGATGGTCATGACCAGCGTGCGCCCTTCGGCCGCAAGGCCTTGCAGAACCTCGATGATGGATTGCGCCGTGAAAGCATCCAAGCCTGACGTGGGCTCGTCCAGGAACAGGACCTTGGGATCGGTAAGGATCTGAATGGCGATGGAGACGCGTCGTTTCTCGCCGCCACTGATCCCCTTGACCAGTTCGCCGCCCACCAAAGTGCCGGCGCACTCCTTCAGGCCCATCTTCAACAGGATCTCCTCGGCTCGTTGGTATTTCTCGCTGCGCGACATCCAACGCGGCAGCCGCAGACCGGCGGCAAACCGGAGACTCTCGCGCACTGTCAGCGACGGCATCAAGGAGTCGTCGTCCTGTGCCACAAACGACGTGACGGACCGTACTACGCTCTCTGACGGCGCTGCCCCGTTGTACAGCATGTCACCGTGTACCTGGTACCGAGTCCCCACGGACCCGTGCAGCCGTCGCGCCATGGAGTTTAGAAGCGAGGTTTTCCCGCTACCAGAGGGCCCCATGATGACATTCAGCCGGTCAGGATGGAACTCGGCAGTGATGGGCTTGAGGATGGAAAGGGTGCGTGAGGGCCGGCTCAAGAACCCTCGCTTGTGGATGTCCATCGCGTAGTTTTCCAACGAGATGGTCACTCGACGGGCTTCCTGCGCCTCTCTCACGGCGATCTTCTCTTTTCCTGCTGACAAGTCCGAATCTGACGCTCGAGCCTGAGCAATATTGACGGCAAAGGTATTGTACTGCAGAAGGACCGCGGCCAGAAGATAGTGGCCGAGCACGAAGGCCACCAATACCACGATCGGTCGCCAGATCCAGTTCGACGGAAATCCCAGATTCTCCATGATGTACCGACCGGTGTACTGCGTACAGGCCAGGTCATCTGGGTCGTCGGAATAGGGGCAGGCGTAGAACTGCCCCTCAGGAGGGCCGTCGGGGCCGATGAACTCATTGGCGCAGAGTGCCCCGAAGATGTAGAAGGTATATGCCACCCATTTGAGCCATCGCACGTACACGGGGATCTGATTCGACTGGACGAAGTACCCGCAGGCGAACGACTGCACCGTGAACGACAGATTGGCCACCAAACTGGCTCCGGGGAAACTTCGGGCGATGCTGATGCTGACGGCAGCAAAGGTCACGGCAATGTAGTGAGTCAGGATGGTAATGGCCAGGAAGATGAAGAACTGGGCCGCCGTCAGACGGTATCCGACCATGAAGTAAAAGATGACGGCAAAGATCACTGGCACCGGTAGGTCCTCGAGAGGTAGGCGTGCTGCTCGCCTGCTGAGCAAAAACGCCGGGACGCTCACCACCCCTTCGTTTCTTTCGCGGTCGAACAGCCGGATGTCGATCGTCAATCGATATGTCTCGTACAGCAGGATCAAGTATCCGTTCAGGCTACTCGCGGTGTACAGACTCCCTTGCCGCGAACGGATCCCCGCCTGGCTCTCGTCCAGCTGCAGGAAGATCCACCCGCCGATCACGGCCATTCCCACAGCCTCCAGGAGGCTGCCGGCCATCCCCATGGGGTCCCGGATCGTCGTCTTGAACGTCCGCGACGTGAGAACGCGGAACTGCTGCCCGAATGACACCTTTCGTGCCGGTGGGTGGTTGTCCAGCGCACCCTCGTCCGCAACCACATCCATCGTCGTCGTCGTTGTCCGGCTTCCCTCGTCTGCAGTGATTCGCGACCGCCACGCAGCCTTCAGCGACTCCATTCGCGCGTACGACGCCGTCTCCAATACCTCAGTGCGGTTGTCAATGGCGGCCAGATCGATTAGAAACTCAGCGGGATTCACAAACGGAGGTAAGAGGTGACCACAGCGTTCGAAATGGGCCGCCGACTCGCCCGCCGGTCCGCTGTACAGCACCGACCCCCGCGCCAACAGGATCACCCGATCAAACAGGCTCCAGATCTCAGAGCGCGGCGAGTGGATGGAGACGATCACCGTGCGGCCGTCCTGCGCCAGACGCTTGAGCGTGCGGACGATCTGGTAGGCACTGGTCGCGTCCAAACCCGTCGTGGGTTCGTCGCAGAACAGCACCGACGGGTTCGCCAACATCTGCACACCGATACTAGTCCGTCGCTTCTCGCCCCCGCTGCAGCCCTTATGAATGTTCGTCCCGATCCGCGTGTCCGCGCACTCCTTCAACCCCAGCTCCAGAATCACCTGCTCAACGATCTGGTGACGCTCGTCCTGCGTCGTCGGCGGCGGGAGTCGCAGGTCGGCCGAGTACCGCAGGGTTTCGCGCACCGTCAGGGTCGGAATCAACACATCCTCTTGCATCAGGTAGGCGCAGCGGACGTGCTCGAGGTCCGGATGTCCGTTGAAGGTCGTGACGCCGGAGACCTCTGCCTGTGCCATCCCCATGCGGCCGGCCATTAGGTTTAGTAGCGAGGTTTTACCCGACCCGCTGCTGCCGATGATGGCCGTTAGACTGCCACGGGGCATAGCGGCGGTGACGCCATCCAGCACGGTCTTGTATGTCCGGGTCGGGGATTTTCTGCGCAGTCGGCTCCATAGTTGCGACGGTGGGGTTTCCCAAATGGGCGGGGAGGTTTCGATTCGCAGCGACAGATCCTGCACCGAGATATCGACGGGATTGACAGCTCGGAGAGAGAGGTTGAATGGGATGGCTTCGTCGATTTTGACGTGGTGAGGGTGGGCCTCTTTCTCCATCGTTCACTGTTAGTCCGTACCTAGTCGTCGTTAGTCCCCTCAGACGACGGTCATCGAGAGAGAGAAAGTGTTAAAGAGTCGATGTCGAACATGATTCTTTCCCGTTGGTGTCAGCCTGTCAGGAATGACCAGTAAATTAACAATCGGAGCTAAAAGTGTGGGGATCTCGACTAAGCGTTGGAGCGTTGGGGACGTTATTGGCTCGGAGACGGCAGTGCCGAGTCGTGCTAACGAGAGGGAGAAATAGACGAGGTTCAGACTCAGACGGCCAAGAGACACCCGGATCCATTATTTACTGCCTTGCCTAATCCTATCCCAAAGTCATCCCAATAATCCAAATCATTCATACACGCTGCCTTCGTCACGTCATATACACCTAGAAATACAATCCCATATTGTCTCCGGGGCTGTTCTGTGGATAAGAAAAAATATACGAGAAAGGCACTGCAAATTCCATCCATGCCTGACGCCGGTCTGCGTAGAAGTATATGAGCCCCTGTGTTCCTGTCCTTTTGACCCTTGGTCACCCTCAGATCCAATACATTCCAATCCAGTCGCCAAATCCAACCCTGAAGTAGAATAAGAAAAGAAAAGAAAAGAAAAGAAAAGAAAAACATAAAAAAAAGGGGGATGAGACGCGTAGAAATAGAGACAAGAGAAGACAAAATGATGACATGCATGCATTGAACACAACGCCGTAGGTCACCCTCCAGGAAATAATCACTGTGCAGGAGGAGTGGTTGAAAACCAGTCCAAGTCGAAGATTTCATGGATAGAGAGGAAAGATATAGAAGAAAAAGAAAGAGAAAAATCATAACCAGCACCTCGTTAATATGCAATCATGTAAAAGGCCAGGTACGGAGTAGACAAATTCCACACCCCGCCTTCAAGTGATGAGAAAATCCATGTTCATAGATTTGATGATCTTCTCCCAGTCCCAGCTGTCTCCGATGTCGCTGTCCATCACTTCCCACACTTTCTCCACCACGGTCAGCGCCGGCTGAATATTGCGCAGGTTGGAGTAGGCCTTGAGCGATTCGAATCCCTTTTGGATCCGTTCTCGCTGCTCAGGCACGAATGCAGAACATCCCAGCAAGAAAAGCGGCATCAGCACGATGCTGTAAGCTCCCGCATCCCGTGGCAGCTGATCTAAAAAGGCGAGACCGTCGTCTACTACCCGTGCAATCTTCTCGCTAGGCCGCGAGGGTCGAATCGTCCGATAAAGATAAACCCAGGTTGATTGCCGATAGAGCTGTGCCAGGGCCCAGTTCGGGGTGTTGGGTGGGTGGGATGTTTCCCAGGCTCGGATGGCCGAGTCGATCGAGACGGCCTCACTCAAGATCTGATAGTCCACCGCCGGCTCGTACCCTTCATTGTACCGCTGCCGGATACGGTCGCGCAGTCTCGTCACTTCGGAAATGTAGTTGAACAGACCGTCAAACACCCCCAAGAACATCCCGGCCTGTGCATGAGGGACAAAGTCCGGGAGCCTGAGGTCCCCGTTGAGATGCGCGGGACGTCGGTCCAAAGAGGTAATGGAGTTGGAGACATCGTGATATTGGAAGAACTCGACGATGAACTGTCGGAACTTCTCATTCCGGGGTTTTTGCGTCACTAACAAATATCTTGCAGCATCCATATGCGGTCGGTATTCGCCGTTGGTCTCTCCCTCGCAGATAGTATTGAGACTTAGAGCGATCGTCGACGCAATGATCGGGTCTTCCACCAACAATTCCGGTTCCTCCCCCCCGCCTTTCGATGACGCCGTGATGTTACTCTTTAGATCCCGAATCGCCCGATGGAAATGGTGGTATTTTCGCTCGATAACTCGCGGCTCCGGCTCGAGCCCGGAGAGATGTGACCCTGAAAGACACATGAGGGAATGCATCAAGCCGCGGTGTTGTGTCGCCATCGGAAGGAGGATCTCCTTGAAGGGATTGGAATCATCGTTGATCAGCGTCAGCACACGGCTGAATCCGTACACAAAATGGTCCAGGAAGCGTCGGTCGATATCGCTTTCGATTCCATCGATTAGGAAAGGGAGGGCACGAGAGATCATCGTCTGACATCGGGCTGCTGCTGTTGAAAATGATTCGGTTAGCATGCCATCAGCGGTTGGTAGGGAATAAAAACCGACGAAAGACAAAGAGATGCAGGGATGCTCCGATCGAACATAGACTCACCATCTTCCTGTTTTTGTTTCCCACTCTTCCAGATCTCTTTTGGCGGATAACCTTCACACACGACGGCATTTTTCTGACAATTTAGGCACCTGCGGAATGAAAGGAGGCGTTAGTCTTGGCGATCGCCGGAGGAAAAATCAGAGACAAAGAGGGGAAAAAGGGGGAAGCAAATTACGCTGGCTTGGTCTCGTCGCATTTCTTCTTCCGTCGTCGACACGTTATGCAACCCGTCTTTGATCGACCTTTGGTGATTTTGACTTGACCTCCGGGAGCTGGAAGAGGATGTTTGCGCGGTCGTCCACGTTTCCGTGGAACGTTGACGGGAAGAGCCGTGGAATCCGGATGAGTAGAGTCCGCATTGGCCAACGGATCCACACCCATAGGTTTGATACTTTGTAAATCATCCGCGTCGTCCACCTCTTCGACCTTGGGTGTTACGTCTCCCATCGACAGGTCCGAATCGTGATGAGCGACCATATTGAACTGGAAGGCTTTGGCGGAGGTCATGGCGAGAGGATGGGAGATGTCGTGGATCTTCACTTCGACGTCGGCGACGGGAGAACTGTCGGGACCCTCGTCATCCCACGATTCGGGCGAGTCGTTGGAGTTTTCATCGGTACTAATACTGGCACGATGAGACACGGACGAGTCGTCCATCAACGGGTAGTCGGCGAAAGCGGGGATTTCCGAAATACTGCCGGAGCGGGTGGAGCTGGACGGGATGATGGCGTGTTGCTGGTGAGGGTGGTGAGGATGGTGATGAGGATGAAGCTGTTGCGGACGCCGCTGGTCCCCGTTGATGGCGGAGGACTGGGGGAAGATGAAGGCGGAGCTTTTCTGCATTGACAACATTGATCACACGTAAACCTCTCTCACGGAAGAGAGAGGTTGGTGCGGGCGAAGAAAATGGTAGGCAGCGACGGGAAGCTTGAGGAGGGAAAAAAAGAAGTCGCAGGAAACGCTCGGGTGGGAGGGAACAGAAGGAGGTTTTAATTAGAGAAGAGGATCAAAAAGGACGAGCACAGGTAAAGAGTCGAATCAAAAATAGTACTAAATAAAAATCCCAGACCAAAGAGAAAATAAAAAGAGGGGCAACGACGGAAGGATTCCTCGGATTGGGAAAGATGGGGATGGAATAAATTGGGATGGAGGGGGACAGAGCGAGACGAGACGACGACGACGTCCCTGAGAAAGTGGGGAGGGAAGCAAAGACCAACAAGCCTTGGCTGTGTCAATGTGTGGACTGTGGACGGTGGACGGTCGAAGTTAGTCCTAGTGCTGTCGTATTGCAGAAGGGGGAAGTGGGAATCGTCTCAAGGAGGGGAGGGCGAGAGAGGATGTCATATTCTTTAAGAGGCGATGGGGGATGAAGAGAAGAGCAGAGCAGAGACAAGAGTGCGAGGCTAAGATGTTTTTAGAGTTTCCCGTTGCACAGCCAGACGGGGATTAGATCGTGAGAAGTGAGAAGGAGCTTGGAGAAACTTGATATCAGGGGATTTAAAATCACCGACCGAGCAGGCAGTAACTACTACTAACTACAGAGAATCAAAAATGATTACACAGTAATTCACCCGCATCGCTGATTGGAATGAATCATGACAATCCGTCGGTGGACCCGTGAGCATCGACCCAGTCGATACTTGCCTGTCTGAGACTAGGCAAACCTTGGGATCGACTGGGAGTCACTCGGAGTAGGCCTCGCTTTACTCAGGAGTGTTGGTCCATAGGTGGTATTAGATTGGATTGGATTCTCTGAGAGAACCATTCAAACTCTACCAAGCAGTGGGGAGGCTCAGTACTCCGTAATGTTCAATAGTGGTCAATTGATAGTCCAGATTTATCTGATTGACGGCGGAAGATTTAATCGACGGCAGACAATAATACGGGGCAGGACGGAGCGTGGCATTGAGATACTGATACACGCAGTACCGCCATTCCTACCTGATATAGTTAAGACTAGTAGAGGCAACGAAAGAATGACGAATTACAAATCCAGATTCCCATCGATTAGGATCAAATAATTAATCGTCCGTGTTCGAGAATCATCGCAAATAAGAAAAATAAAATAACATAAAATCAAAAAGCAAATACCACCAGCGAATTCTAAACGACCCAAAACCCGCCCAAACGACACGCATGGGTGACGACGGCGGATGATCCTCATCGCTCGCTTTGGCAGGGACTCGCACCGCTCTGTCGTACCTGTCGGTTGGCGACCGTCCGTCATTATTCCATTCGATGCGTTTCGATGGCTTTTTTTTTTTTTTCTTTTTCTTTTCTTGGATCTATTTCCTCTATGCAGATATCAACCTACTCTCCATACCAAAGCAGATGAAACGCAGGAAACAATGATGAATTGACTCGCATTTTTGTCGCCCATCGGATGACCGATGATGATTACCCAGACCGTCGACAGGTGGAGCCCCTTCACGATCATGAGGAATTCAATTCCCATGCGGCAATGTGTACGGAGGAGAACGGGAAGTCGCTCGGTCACGGGTCGGATGCTAGATGAATCTAGACAAGATGATATACACCGTACTGAAGCGTAAGCAAGAAATTGAATTCCACCGACATCATGGACCTGCCTCGTCCTGCTTCAGTTCGGACTCAGAATTCCTACCTAATCCTACCTAAGAATAGGCACCGTACTGGGTCTGTACGAAGGTCGAAGGTACAGTAGTAACAGTACCACATACTGTAGTACCTACAGTAGTATCCGTACGGGGTGGGAGGAAAGGGGGGCACAGTGTCGCAACTAATCCCAAAGAAGATCTAGTAGCAAAGCCTCTCTACCCTCCCCCTAAGGGCCCTACGCCCCTACCACTATTTAACTAAATTCATAAGAAAGGAAAATAGGTCATAATCTTGTCCAACAGCCCCGTTGATCCTTTTTCCCCCGTTCGGCCTGCTGGAGGTATTGATGTATTACTTGCATACCAGGATGGACACGGCTCAGGGCTCAGCTGGACGCCACCAAAGGGAAAATAAAAATAAAATGAAAAGGCCAAAAACCCCACGCTACCAAATCCACCGGACCTCCCAAGCGTGACGGGTGCGGAGATGGGCCGATGCTCGGGCAGTGACACCGCAGAGGCCACTTTCCCATCGGAGGGAAGATATTCTTCTTACTTGTAAAAAATGAATAAATGAAAATGAAAAAAGAGAAAGCTCCCTGCATTGCAGCCACTAGCGCGATCTATCTTTCTCTCTTGCTCTCTCTCTCTCTCTCTCTCTCTCTCTCTCTCTCTCTTTCTCGCTCTCTCGCTTTTTCTCTCGTTCCATGACGCCCGGGGACCATGATGCTCTTCCTCTCTGTATAACCCGGACGCGCCCGGTCCTTGTTTCTGATTCCCGATCCGATTGTGATCGCTCGACCGAGGACCCTGACAGGTAGAAAAAAAAAAAACAGGAAGATCTCCATGTTCCTTCACGCATCTTGAGCAAAAGCAATGACAATAAAATCGAATTAAAAAGAAATAAAAAATAAAAGCAAAACCTCTCATACTGATGACAATCTGGGGAAAAGTGGGCTTAATCTCCTTTGTGCACCCAGCACGGACATCCGTGTTACTGCAGACTCCCTACCTTCTATCTTATGCTCTGGCTGCCTGTTTGCCTTTCGCCGGTCGGTCAATCGGTCTGTCGGCATGGCATGGGATTGGAACCAGAATAGAAGCAATTATGATCACTAATTTCGATCAATGCTAATGCATTCCAAAAGAGGGGGGATGGATCGCGCGTGGAAGCTTTAAAAGAACCCTCATACCCCTTCGTTCAGTTTCAACACTTCTTGCCAGCTTTTCTTCACCTCTTCCAATTCCTAGGTACAATACTCCCATTTACTTTCCTCCGGGGTAAGTAAACAAAACCTACTCCGGAGTAGGTAGGTAGGAAGGTAATCATCACCTGACCCCCACCCCCCTACCAGCCATCAAGGACTATCCCTCGATCCATCCAGGACATCCCCTCATTCCCGTCATTGGCATTAATATCTCCGAGTGCTTGGACCCTCTCCCCATCCATTGCATTCCGATCCCCAGACAGAGCTTCCGAAACCGGTTGGAATGACCAACTCCCTCTGACCTCATCTTGTCGCATCGCATCGCATCGCGTCTCCTCTCATCTCATCTAGGTGCTCGGCCGGCGGGACGGACGGGACAGGCGAGCAGGGCGGAGCTTTCAGCCCGTTTCCATCCATGGCTTGTGGAAAGTTAATTTTTTTTTTTAATCCTAGGTAGGCGTTCTTGGACGATGTATAGTACTGAGTACGAATTATTTTGTTTTTTCGACTGGCTGGTGAAAATCGCAGATTAAGGTTGGTGATCATGTCTGGGGTGTGAAAAAGAAAACAGTGGGTGGGGAAAAAAAGAAAAAATAAATAAATTAAGGGAGGGAAAACAAATCAAGGAAACACAGGCCAATACGCCGTACGAGGGGCGCACATCAGATGAGCACGGCTTGCCCGGTGAGGAAAGCCGTAGGATGATTAGCCAGCGCTAGGTTATTCGCACTGACAGCTCTGCAGTCAGAGTCTTGACTGGACTGAGGACATAGAAAGTACGACGCTACCTACAGTCAGAGTATAGTATGGTGCACGGTGTATAGCATAGAAAAGAACCATCCAGTAGGAACGTCATACGCCTGGAATTGAACTTGATAGGTAGGTGGGTAGCGACCAAGGAATGACTGCCCGTCAACCAACTAGTGCTCACAGTGCTGTGTGCCTAAAATTCTAGACCAAGTTTTAGAGAGACAAGGCTGTTAGAACGCTCACTAAGGGTGTTTAGTGCTAACTATGTCCTAAGACCGGTGCATCTGCAAGTTATTCAACCTGACACATGGCCTTGAGAATACTAGAGAATAACCGTCGACGAAAGGGAAAAGAAAAGGAAAATACAATAAGATTAATCAAAAAGAGAGTTGGTGAAACAGCCCCATTCGAGAAGAAGGTTGTCTGGGAGAAGCGAGCTGGAGAGACGGTTACGTCCTGCTTACTCTATCCGGTCATTGGTTTCTGGGGACATGACTCGAGGTACAGAATAGGGAGAATGTATGGGTCGGGTTTATCGCCGATGTACTCCGTGGGCCTACTCCATACTGTATCGCATGGAATTATATATTTTTTTTCTACAGGTGCACTGGAGTGATTGAGATTCTGCCACCGATGTAATTGTGCCCCGTTTTAAGAAACTGAAGAAGTGGTGGAAATGACAAGTGGAGCCGGGAGGGAGGGTGTTCCCGGCGTATCCATCCATCCATTGTTCGCTGTGGAGCCCATAAGTTACCTCCGGCGACAGGAACTGAAGGATTGGAAATCTATCGAATCATGGCGAGCTTGGACCAAGGAGCCCAAATCGGTAACTAGGGGGATGGGGGAGAGAAAGGGAAAGCACGGTTTGCAATGCACCTATCTGTGTGTATCTGCAGTTATATGCCGCAAGTACAGATCAAGGTCAATTGTTTATTCTCTACCGTAGTTGGGCAGTAGCTCCAGCAGCTAAGACGGGTAATTAATTGTGGTAGCTACTGGTCTGAACCAAGAACGATCCACTGCAGTCTTCCCTAGAGAAACTAAGACCAAGATCAAGAGCCAGAATACCGCAATCCGTGCGGCGGCAATTAAACTTGCTTCTCACATCACATCGCGACCGCTGGAGTGTCAGTCAGTCAGTCAGTCAGTCAGTCATTTAATTGTCTCCCTTGCGTGGGAAATGCGGAGATGACAGGGGGATGCCTGTCTGGTTTGCGGGTTTTTGACTTTTGAGCAATGTTCTTTGGACGCTTCATTTTTTTCTTATCTTTGCTTTTTGCCCCCACCGTTTCCTCCTTACCCCGTATTGAACCTCAGTGGATTTTTCATGCTACAGGATCTTTCTAGAGAGTGAGATCTGATACGTGCGGGATGTTTTTTCTTGGCAGGTGGCAGTATACAGGAACAATATGACTTGGATTGATAGTTCTTTTCTTTTTCTCTGTCCTGAAGAAGCCTGGTGCATGTGGTTAGTTCAAATCAGCACCGACCTTACTCTGTGGGTATGTAAGATAGGTACAGAGTGCATACATGGGCAATTTCCCTGGCTCGGACTGTAAGGTATGTTTCTAAGTACCTCGGCACCGTATCATCTTTTCCAACCCCCTTCTCAGGGTACACAGAACACAAGAAAACGGAGGAAATACCTCTATGAGAATAGCACAGTAGTACAAGAGTACAGAAGCAAAAGCCTAACAAACAATACGAACAGACCAGAAAGAAAAAAAAAATCAATCAAAAGCATGAGGGACAGGGCGGGGACCACCTGACCTCGTGTCGCTCACGCAAGGAAAGTGGCCCGAGAACGGACCTATCGAAAGCGAGACCGACGATGTGACGCAAGCTAACTGACTGGGAGTAGGGAGCATGTCAGAGACATGTGTGCATACGGTGTATATACCTTAGGGTTGTCGAAGAGTGTTGAGCCCATGATGGCGTCCACAGATACACCACGCTCAGTACAGTGTACATGAACACTGTATGATGACTGGTGAGTGCTCGGGAGCAACAGTAGGGGTCTAGGCGGGGGTGGAGGGCTAGCGTTGGTCTGGCTTTGAACGCTTGACTCTTTGGGCGCAGGTTTAGTGCGATGTACGGAGGGCCATCTGGAGACTGGAGACTGGAGACTGTGGGCCGGAGTGGAGGGAGCTATCCGGTTTGGGAAGGGGATGCAAAAGTACGGCACTCTACTGGAAACGGGTGGGATGGACTGCCTGGTCAATGGATTTCATGGGAGGGACTAAGACCTAGAAGAAGGAGGTGGTTAGTGCAAAGGAGGCCCGAGGATGTCATCGTGAAGAGTGATAGAACCTGATCATATTGTCTGAAAGATAGGAGGTACTCTGTCTCCTCGGTAGGATACATCTAGAGTACTGTATATGAAGGGAATAAAAAAGAGCTGCGGGGTAAATTTGAAGTTCAACTGCATCGCCGAATTCGAGTTCTGCCTTCGTGTCTTCGGTAGCCTCCTTGTCAGTAATTAATTCGACGCTGATGAGGAATGATACGCAGCAGGGACTACCGTAACTACTCCGTACTCTCTGGCCCTCGCCGTAAACACCAAAATTAACCAAGCCACCGTCAGTCACTAATTTCGGAGAAGGTTAGCGCATGATGGCCGTGGCTAAAGTGGAACCGGCAAGATCGAAATGCCACTAAAAATCCTACTAAAATCCACCAAAAGTCTCGGCTCCACCGGAAGCCGTCGAGCAGGCTGATTACTTGTTCGGGACAGACGTACATCCTTAGCTTACGGCAGCGACCTTCCTTGGTCTGGCTCTGCCTGCCTGCGCCGCGGAGGATGTCGTCGCGTTGCCCGGTGGTGGCATCTGTAGGTCTGCCGTTGGTTCCTTGGTCTAGGTAGTTACTGCTTACTGTGTACTCCGTACTGTGTAGTCCTCGGGATCGGAATCAGGCACATGGGACATCCGGGATGTGGTCGACGAAATCTCGACCTGGTACTCTATTATGTGTTCTGATTGTCTACAGGTAAGTGAGCAAGTGGTCTAGTCTAATGGAGTTCTCTAGAACCCGATTAACATCGAAGAAATGGATTGGTCGGAACGATCCCCGCGGCCGAACTACTGTGTAGAAACCTAATGGTGGGTGCCTTACCTTCACTATTTACTCACTTCTATCTACAGTACTATTCTAACTAACTAATGTAGATGCTTCCATCCTCTGGCTTGGGCATCAACCAACCAACTAAATAACCAACCTACAAAAGTACATACATGCGTAGTGGACAGGACTAGAATCTTCTTTTTCTCTTCACATGGCTACAGACTAAGTTATTTCCATCAATCCATTTCCCACGCTCCTTTGAATCACGTTGTTCATCTCTTCGTTCCCTTTTCTCGCCATCCATCCATCCTTATCGGGATTCAAATCCGCAGAGCCCTGTGCACAATCCCAGTCCACCACCACCGCTTTTTCGCACTATCGGCCGGCGGTTTGTTTTCTTTCTTTTTTTTTATCGATCGCCCGAACTCGCTGATGTCATATATAATTAACTGTACACCATCTTTTTCTTTTTCTTCTCATTTCTTACATCATCGTCATGTTAGGGGTCATTAATATTTTTTTTTTCTCCCATTGCCTTTTTCTTTTTACAATATGAGTTCCAACGCATTGACGAGGCATTTCCTGGTTTTTACGGTCTCGTGGTGCACACAGGGGGACGGACGGTGTAGGTGTAGGTACATACATACATGCGTCAAGCGAGGGGCGGAGAATAGTAAGGCTTGATTTGAAATCTGCGCAAAAAAGGGGGGGATGAGGGGTTGGGGTGATGCTGAGTTGAGTTTATGTAGTTTACAGAAAGACAGACAGAGAGACAATGGTACATACATGGTGACTATTGCTTGCAGGGTAGGTAAGCTTGAGGAAGGGGGATGGTTTTTGTTGATGGGCTATGTGCGATTACATACATACGTACGTTCCTATTATACGTACCATTGCATAAAAGAAAAAGCCTCAGCTCACCGCGAGCATAGAAACTCATACTGAAGGGAGGATAAAAGCAAGGCCGGACAGAACTTGATTTTGTTCCCTCGTCAATCCACAATGACCCTTACTCGACACATGTGCAAGACGACTCACCGGGCTGCGATGCGACCCTAGTCGGAATCAAGGCACATGGGACTCGGAGTTGTGGTCGATGACATCTCGAACTGGTGCCTTTCTAGTTTCTTCACCCTGGCGGTCTTCCAATTTTCTACGGAGTACTGAGTATTTGGTCTGTCTGCACGTAAGTGGGCAAATGGTCTAGTCCCATGGGGCTAAGGAAAGAACAAGATTATAGAAACCTAATGGCAGATGTCTTACCCCCCGGATATGTAAAGGTCTACCAGTAGGTAGGTAGGTAGTGATTGCTTATCCATTGAACACAGGTATTCACATTTAATCTTCTATCGTGCACACAGCACTGCTTCAGTTGCTTTACTTATGAACTTACGATATGTTGGCTAATGATAGAATAAGATGTTGCCTGATATTGATGCTCTGAGATAGTTATAATTCACTCTCTAGGCAAATAATACTTAACCGTAAGATCTAGCCCCCTTATCGGCGCTAATACTAAATCCTATAGAAGTAGCAACCACAGACGGATTCCCTACCTTAGAGCAACCTATACTGACCACGTATACTACCATAACCTATGGCATAGATATGTTTCTTGGGAATGATGCACCTCAGTCACACCAAATCATCAATGGTTACTAGATTACCCCGCTTCAATGAAGTGGTTAAAATCTTGAAGGCAAGACCAGATTGTCGATAGAACAGGTCTGTGCTATGAATGCCTCACACATACTTGCAGTCTCTTATATCTTTGTTATACATTCGCGTAACGGATTACTTTAATTGATGGCTGTACTCTCTAGATGTAAAGTGACGGTGCCCGGGGAGATTCCAACTACCAGAGCGCAAAGTTTTCTTTCATTTCAGATGAACGGGCTCAGGTATCATGTGTTATACTGTGTCCTGGATGGGACCCCCAAACAACTTCTGCTTATATTATTTAAGTGCAATAAAATTTAAGATTTGAAGTCTGTTTGAATCTCCCAATTACGAACTTTACTCGGTAAGTATATGCGTTCACAACCAGTCTATAGAGAGGGTTCTCTAGAGTTCTGAGCATCACTGAAGCTTTCCATCACTTTTGAATACCACTCTGGCTTTCTACTTTGAAAAAGGCTGATGGCAGTAGCGAGGTACTGCCGCTTAGCGTTCGACAATAAGGAGTATCCGTCAGTCAAGCCCCGCTCCTTCTCTTTTTGTCTCACGATGGCGATATAATCTTCCCTATCATTGTACCTTTGCCTGTACTCTGCCTCTTTAGGGTTACCGTTCTCATCATACTTCCATGGGATATCCATAGCAGGCGGGACTACCGATATGGACACGGGAAATTCGCCTGACATTTCGCACGGTCCTGCAAATGCCGTCTCCCAGTCGATAACTCCAAGCAGGTAGTATTTATCGTCAAACACAATATTGTTATGACAGAAGTCGTCGTGGCATAATGGAATTATTGACAGACAGTCACTCCGCATTATCATGCACCAGGGTTCTGAAGGCTTTCACGGAGGATAGTATCTCGCTAGCATATGAACCAGCTGCGTTTTGAAGCTGGTCTTTGGAGAGGCCAAATTCAACCTTCGTGGACCAGGCTCTGAAAAAGTCGGCAGCAGTGTTGAAAGGTCCACCAACGGTGGGTAGTGGCCCTAGCTGATATGATCCATCATCGTTGATTTCAACGACCTTTCCGGTTTTCGGCAGCCGAATGTTAAACATATCGATCTGGATAAAGAGCGGTTAAAAGAACAATAATCTATCAGTGTAGTACAGTGTACTGTAGGTACATACCTGAATATTTGCCATGCTAGAATAAAAATCCAACTTATGCTCAGGAGGAAGACTCAGACTCAATTCAATTCCGGAATTTCCCCTGAGATTGTCTATAAACATGAACTGTGCCCCCACGCTGGAGTCTGGATCGGCCTCGAATATATGAACATGGGGAATAGGTATTCTACTTTCTTTTTGAACAAGACACATTGCCTTGTACTCACTCTCCATTATATCCATCGCCTTGGTGTAGTTCTCTTGCAAGTGTGGCATCCAGAGTCTCGCCACCCATTGTGTGCCTGAAATATACCCGATAGTTACAGTTGTAGGTACAGTAAAACTCCGATATAGCAGAGTTTTACTGTAACCTCCTACTCTCTGTGGCCATTTCATATATGCCACACTTAGGAAGACCGCCAGATGACCCTTGTCCAAGCAACGGATTGTTACAGACTGTGCTCTTTTTTGACTTTTGTCTTCCCAATCTATCAAGCCTGCTCTTGGGCCCCTTTAAGCGACCATAACGATCCAACCACCATGTTGTACAAGGCAGGGGGAGAACACTAGGTAGGCAAGAATAAACCCTGAGAGGAAAAGTACTGCTTTGACTCCAATAGCACCAATTCGGGGAAGATACCACCTTGACCCGAAGAGCTATGGCCTTCGACGACCCTCGAATAGCTCAGGACTACGATGCGGCTTCTGCTTCATTATGATGAGATAAGCGAGTTGCTTCGCCAAGATCTCTATGGGAAAACCAGGACCAGGACTACAGCGATGTCATAATCTAACCTGAAAGCACAACGAAGTCTAACATTCAATAAGCCCAGAGGTAAACAGGACCACGACTCCCCTCTCCTAAATTAGATGCCCATAGTGATCATACAACAGACAAGGAGGGATAAAAGCACGAAGGTTCAGAATTCAGACAATTCTTTCTCTTAAGCTAGCCTTATTGTACACATGTGCAAGATTATTCACATCGGCGAAGATGATTGTCGTCGGACTTTACGATCCTCCTGACCTGGTCCTCCCCCGCTGGGGAAGAGGGGCACCGAGAGATCCACCACCGACGTAGGGAACTGTCGTTCATGCAGCGTGACATCTCCACTTGAAGAATGTCCGCCGTTGAGGGGGCTGGTGCTTGTCTCCTTCCGGCTGGTGGCGAGGGGATCGAGGTCGCTGTCGGTGGCTCCCCGAAGGGCCTTGTACAGTGCTGTCGGGGGGTCGCCTCGAGCCGTGGCCCCGAGGGCATGCAGCTCGGCCATCCCCAGTTGGCTGTGCGATCGGACGAATGAGTCCCGGTCATCTTGCATGGGTTGGTACCGGATATCTGGGTTCTTTGAGAGGATCGCGTATACCGAGTCAACTAGTATCAGGACCAGAAGGACGAGGACGAAGGCCGTGTTGAAGACGAAGAAGACGACGCCCATCACCCCCGTGACGATGCCAGGTTGGTTGAACACGTCGGCGAAGAAAAGGAAGAAGATGGCGTTGATGAAGTTGAACGCCGTGATCGAGATGTTGTAGATATTGGTCTTCTTGTTCATCCAGGGTCGACAGACACTGACGACAACGAGCATGCTGGTTTGGATCACCAGCAATGCCACCGTCTGGACCACGGGTGCTTCTTGACTTAGGCTGATGAAAGCTGCCCGGAGGAAGGTGTAGCTAAGCGATGCGACGATGAAATAGTAGGTCGTGGCCTTGTAGTGCACGTAAAGGAATCCCCAGCGACTCAAAAAGGGCGTGTTGGAGTAAAGAAGATATGCCGGGTTCTGATGAATGACCAACGATTTCCGCGCCAGCCTGATAGCCCTAAACGCCGCAAAGCCGACGCTGATAATCATCCCCAGAAGCGTGACCGCCGCGAGCAAGACTTCTGCTGGGGAATCATGCTGCGTGAACTCCCAGAGGCAGAGTATCAGCATCTGAGGGAACCCGATCAAGACCAATCGAAACATGACGCCTTTCGAAACAAGGTTCCACCTTTTCCTCGATGCTCTGAGTGTCTTTGCACCTCCGGACCGAGTGCGAATATCACAAAAGACCTTGAAAGCAGCAACAAGGAGCATCATCGCGGCTACAAAAACGACGAAGAATATCAATCCAGTGAGAAAGATATTGGTGGCTTCGATTCCAGCCCTAAAGCCGACTCGCGGAATGCCTCGAACCATGATTGTGCCTCCATTCGTAGCACTTCTTTTCTGTCCCGCCCTTTTGAGCAACCCAGATGCATGGCGAATAATCTCAGAGGTGTGCCTTTTGGCCACATGAACCGAAGTCACCGTAAGATTGGACAGGATCGTCGAGGGGCTTCCTCCCGTTGATCGTTGATACCAAGTACATATCCTCTCCAGAAACCCAATGTGTATGATCCCCATGCTCCACTGAAAGTTCTGGGTCCACGACTGTACAATAGGTGGCATATGAACAGACATCATCCCGAACATAGCCTGAGACTGCATGAACCCGAACAGAGAGACAACGCTGGCCGTGATGTGCGTGGCGGCTTTCGAATGCCCCAGACTCGAGGTAATCGCGGACGCGGCCAACCCCAGCCCCGAAATTATTGCCGTTGTCCATCCCACCCCGGCTTGATAGACTGACTTTCCATTTGACAGAGCCGCTTCGATACAGGTGATCTCTTCACCAGTTTCGGTAGAGTTGATATGAACGCGAACCGTAGCGTCGAGATCGGGGACAGAGTACGCGATACCTAATTGATGCGGTGCAGTCTTTGTCAGTTTTTGACAATAGAAAGGAGGCATATTTTCTTGAGAGGGATTGAAAAAGATGAGAAGGGGAAAGGAGCTTACGAGGGATCTGCGAGACGACGTTCGCCGGGATCTTGATGTTGGTGCTCATCATGGGAAGTGGCCCTGCTCGGACGGGACACAGGCCATCCAAGCTCATATCGCAGGGGTCCAGTACCTTGCGCAGAGCCTCATACCCATACACCGTCAAGACCAGCTCTGCTTTCACATAGCCGGTGATCCTCGACGTTCCATCCAAGCCTAGTGCCATCGACTGGTTCTGGGGCGTGAAGACGACATTGAAGTGTTCTGCGGTTAGGCTCAGACTGTCCGAGCATAGATTAAGTGCGCGAGACTCGATGAGTTCGAGGGAGGATGACACTGAGGAGAGGAAAACCACGGAAAGAACGAAAAGGAGGTGGAAGCGCATTTCGATGAAATCAATACCGCAATCAACGAGTACGTAGAGGTTGCGGAGGAAAAGGTAGAAACAACGTAGCAATGGATTTGAAATATGTCTCAGGTCATATATACCAGGCGGTGATGAAAGGGGGACTCTCCGTGATGGGCGAAGTCGAGGGAATGAATGGGGAATGTGAATGTAAAAGGTTAATGGGGGAGGAAGGATGAAATGGTGCAGAACGTGCAACTGACGTAGTAGTTTGTACAACAAACCCCCCTTCGACTCTCGAGAAATCCCGGAGTTTTTCGAAATAGAACCGAGTGTCTTGCGACGTACGCTATTATTGGAGTCTTCCTCGAGCTCTTTATTATTTCTTTTTTTTCCCCCTTTTCCCCTCCCTTATCCTATTTGCAAGACAAGCTTCCTGTATTACAACCTCGCGATCATGCACGGACCTTCATCGATGTCCAATATTCACAGACGAGCCTGTTCTTCAGGAAGAAGCACTCGTCTCGGAGGTCCTCCTCGACTGCCATCGCCCTTCGAAAGACGGTTCGCAGTTGCCGGCCACGCCCATTTCTCTCGTTGCTCCTGCGACGCCTTTCGCTCGAAACTGTCCGCCACATAACGACCCAACACAGGTAGGAACTTGAAGGCACTTCAATTCAATTAGCACGTTGCGCAATATAGTGCGATGACCTCAACTTACTGTCCGCTTCCACCCGTTGCCAGGAACAGCCCGTCGTGTTCCGGATGATGGTCCACAATAAAATCGCCCTTAGGAGTATCGGTATACCAGCATAACCGGCGCTGGACGAACGGACAGTCCTTGAACCGCGGCAAGAACAAAGCCAGGCCCTCCCTCAGAGACTTTTCTGCGTCTGCCGGTAGGAATGGTGATTGAGAAGACATCTTGGGAGCGGAGAAAGATGAATTGGACTGCCGATGTGGCGAGTTGGTGGTCGTTTCAAACCCATAACCATGACGGGCCATTTTCAACAGATTGGTGCCGGGAGTAGGAGGGAAGGCAAACCATCCTGTGCTCAAGTTGATCATGACGGGAGAGTTCTGCAACGCCTTTGCTTCCTCGGGGGTGAGCTGCAGAAAGGCAACCGGCTGACCCGTCGAAATTGTCCGATCACCAGTGTCAATCAAGTATGGTGTCCAGGCGCCCGTGGCCAGGATCACGGTATCCGCCGAGACGCTCGTCCCTGCCGCCGTGACCACGCCTACTACCTTGCTCTTCGTTGAATGAGTCTTAGTTATGAGATTATTGACGGTTCCGTGTTTTCCTGTCATGAAGGATACGCCAGCCTGCGAGCATTTCTGGGCCAGGTGCGTAATACTCCCCTCTGCATTGGCCCATCCACACTCGGTGTTCCAGTACCCTTGCATGTCTGACAGATCGCCATGAATACCTGGATACTTGTCCGTGGCTTCACTGCCTTGGAAAGTTTGGATGGTGACACTAGCTCCTAAGCTTTCCAGGTTTTGCTTTGATTGGTCAAGGTATGAATTCTCGGTAGAGCCTTTCGATTCCGCGCACAAGAGACCACTGCGATGGAAAAACGGTGCATATTCGGCGTTCCATCCTTTCACAGCATCTAGTCCCATTCGAGCATAAAATACGTCGGCATAATCTGGACGAATGATGCGAGAGACATCGACGCTTGATCCATCGGGAACAGGAGGGAGTCGACGATCAAGAACGGTGACATTATCGTAGCCACGCTTAGAGAGCTCCAAGGCAGTGGAGAGGCCGAACACGCCGGCTCCAATGATAACAATTGAATTCGATTTCGAGGAGTGGGACATCGTGGAACAAGAAAAAAAAACCGTAAAGTGAGTCAAGTTATGTGCAGGGCGAACATTCTTATATTCAGGCGCGGTGAAGATGACGTCCCACGCCCCGAGAGCCGGTGGGGACGGACCCGGACCGTGTTTTGGAACATCGACGGATGCTTCTTGAATCAACTGATCACGTCGGACTGTAGAAAAGGTGAGAGATAGGATAGTATAAATTTACTTTCTTTTTGCTTTTCTCCCCATCGCAGTGATCGGCCATTCAGAACTAGCAGGAGGCTGCCAATCGAGCCTCTTACAAACCGCCATGCAAGTTGAGACTAGACTGACCCTCTGGACGGGAAAAGATGGAGAGATCGATGTCGCTGAAAAGATCATTGTTCAAAGTCGAATTTGGAAAGAAGACCGGCGATTGAAGTGCTTGATATTCCGCGGAGCTAAGGTAGTCATTGGAATAACCCCTATCGGACACAGAAGGCTCATGCAGAGGAGCAAGATGCTGTGTTTCAACATGCTGCCCACTTGGTGCCACAAGATAGCTAGAGGCATCAAAACCGGAGCTAGGTATATCGGAATCGAGAAGGTCCCATAGCAGAGATTGTTTGAAGGACGGAATTCCCCTGTTTCCGGTTGTTTCGTGAGCTTGTCGCGCAAGGCTTTGTAAGAAATCCAAACAGCTCGCCTTTTGGACCTGTTAGCTCTACATTCAGGTAGCAGGGACAATTCCCGATAAACTTACCGCAGACGAGAATTGTGGCCATTTCCTGTTTACTGTAAGCAAAAGCCGCTGACAATCTCCAAAGTCAGAGCGTGCCCTATCCGCCACAGCTTCGTCGCTGGCAAATTGGAATATCCAATGGATAGTTGCAGCCACGACGAGGAAGTGGCCTAAGAGCGGATCATTGAGCTCGAGCCTAAGATGATCCCATGTACGCAAAAGGCGCACTATCCAGCCCGAGTGAAGGAGCGCCTGGTCGACGGTTTGTTGGAGAAAGGATGGCGGTGGGTATCTGGTGCTGAATTTGCGAGAATTGGTAATGTAGAAAATTGGGTGGTGCAAGAGCGCATTCCCTGCATGAAAGCACACCTGGTGCTGTATCCATACCGTCCAGTAATATCGGTTTTGGGAGAAATCATTTGGTGATATATCTTGAAAACCCACATTCTTTAACCGATGCATTTGCGCAGAACTTGCCTCGAATTGACGATATTTCGCTACCAAGACATGGTAGGTTGAAGAGATCAACCAAGGGTCCTCACCCTGTCCTAGTCGTAACCGTCTTGAATATGCTACAACGTCACCCCATAGAGAGATCAACTGTAGACAGTGTGCGTTGACTCCCAGGTCGGTGGGCGCACTGTTAGCAGCGGAATAAGGCACATTGGAGGCCCCTAGGTCAACGACTAGGGGTGGCCTTGCTGGACTCGGAGGATAACTGAGGTTGGCGAATGGGGGGCTATCGCTCTGGAGTAAAGTTGGGCCTGATGTAAATACCCTCTCAAGCACGAAAACACACCATAAGCATCTTGCCTTTTCTTCCGTCTTTGTCGTAGTCCCTACTGGTGACCATTGAGGATTTTGGGGTGCAAGGGCAAGTCGAGAGGCAATGCCTATGGTCATCCACATCCTCGATCGACGGCCGGCTAAATTAGATTAGCTGCGGATTCTGTGCACTCTAGTGGGAATTCCTACCAGCGAGGTCATTCAAGGCTAGTAAGCAAAGAGACTGCAAGATCTCCACCGACGAGTTTCCTTCAGTTGCCAGATACATCACAGTACCTCGAGCCGAACGGATATAAAAGTCAATTGCCTCATCTTTCGCAACCCTATAGAAAGCATGCTCCGAGAAAAGTAGTGTACTTGCCAAGAAGCTACGCAAGAGAAAAGGCGGGAAATTTAGAATTTGTGAAGACAGCGTGTCGACATTGAAAATGGATAGAGGTTGGGCGTGAAGTCTGACTTTGTATACCTCGACAAAGTGTGAAAGAACCTCGGGCGGAGGATGAGGACTGTGAAAGATGGTTAGCCAACGATGTTCTTCTCTAAACCCTTACGCCCACATACTATCCAGAAGCATCAAAGCAAGGCACCGAGACTTCCATAGTCTCGCCGACTGTCTCCCGGGGCCCATCTGTGACTTCTGGCTGTGTTTGTGACGCCCTTGCATCTGATAAACTCGGGTCTGGATTTCCGCGCTCAGTAAGGGTTCTACCATAAGTTAAAAAGTCATACTCCAGGTCAGTACAACAGTATTTCGCATTACTCACTGTAGAGCGTCATTCATTCGTTCCATTTGAGATTCGAGACGACGTAGTCGCTCCTTACTATCATGCTTGCACTTCAAACGGGTTAAATGAGAACCGCACCCACACGTGGTGGGAAGAGAGCTCGTCTTACTTTGAGACCCCGACCAGGTTCATCCTTTCTACTATATGTGCATCGTTGATTTAGTCTACGGCAGAACGAGCACGCCGGCTTTTCGCCTGGACATTTCGTCTTCTTTCTTCTACGCGGGATCAGTTGTTGGTAGAGCCACTAGAGCAATTCTTGCGACTGAACTTACCGACAGGGTTCACAGGCATGTCGAGCCCGAGACTCAAGGGGAGACGCACGATCATTCATGATGCATGTTACGTAGCATCGGAGAATTGAGTACTTACGAGGAATGAAGACCCGATCGACGGAGAGCCCGGAAGGCCGTCCGCCGCTCACGTGAGATACTTCTGTCCGGCGTCCGCTCACGTGATTCAGAGGCGATCATTGTCTGGTGTCGCCGCGGATATACACTAGAAATAACCCTTACTATTAAGGGTTGACCCTTTTTAGTGTAGCGGTATTTTTTCTGCCACATCTGGGATCCAGCTTCATCCCGCCACACGGTAATTTGATCGGGAATATAGAGCACGAAAAAATGATACTTCCTAACTCTCATGTGATCGCATGATATTTGCTCTACCACAAGCTACCAGCGCAAGCTAGAGATTGTTAGATGACGGATTTGCAACTAATCAACAGCCACCTGGAGCCATGGAAGAATGGCCACTTGGTGGATACCCTGGATGCAGCTGGATGACGCCTTTTCAGCCAATTACCTCTAACCTGGGGATATCAGTCGTTAGTGGATGTTGCTCCTCCATACGGTGCTTGGATGACGCCCTTTCAGCCAATCACGCCGGGGTGTGAAGTACTCCGTACTTACGAGCTCAGCTTTGATGGAAATCTTGGGTCAAATTCTGTGTCGAGAGCCGGTCTCCCGGACAGTCTCGAGGAGAGCACAGTCAATGTAGCTGGTATTCAGATAGGGGTATTAAAAGAAAGGCTCTTCGCCAGGTCTGCACCTCCCCTCAGCCTTCTATTCACTGTTCATGGAATACCAGACTGCCCTGCTTCAACTTAATTTGCATTTCGCACTCATGCCTCCATTCAGCAGTCAGGATATCCCCGATCTTCGCGACCAGGTCATAATTGTCACTGGGGGCAACGTGGGTCTTGGTTATGAAACGATCCGCCAGCTCAGCGAACATAACCCCGCGAGTATCTACCTCGCTGCTCGATCCCAATCCAAGGCCGAAGAAGCCATTGCAAAGCTAAAGGAGGCCAATCAAACTTTCACCAATATCCGTTTCCTCCAACTGGACCTTGCGTCGTTTAGCAGCATCAAAGCAGCTGCGGCAGACTTCCTTCGTCAAGAGTCTCGCTTGGACATCCTGATCAACAATGCCGGCATCATGATGACTCCAGAAGATGTCACGGAGGACGGATACGAGATCCAATTCGGAACGAATCTCCTGGGTCCAGCGTTATTCACGCAGTTGCTATTACCAACTCTGCGAAAGACGACAAAGGTGAACAGTCAGACACGGACGGTTATGCTCTCTTCTGCCGCCCACGCCAGGGCGCCTAGTGACATTTATCAGTGTGACGAGCTTCGAACGAGTGTCCCCGGCCGACATACTACCAAGCGATACACAACGTCCAAGCTCGCCAATCTTCACTATGCGCGAGCTTTGGCGGCCAGGGAAACAGAAGTCAAGATCATCCCGGTTCACCCCGGCATGGTGGCGACCAACCTTCACCTTGCCTCAACGGGCACTTTTCTCAAGCCCTTTCTCAATGCCGCCATTTGCTTGGCTGCTACCTCGGTAGAGAAAGGCGCCCTTTCTCAGAATTATGCGGCTGTGAGCCCTGAGGCGAAACACGGACAGTACTATGGTCCTGTTGGCAAGGCAGAGTCGGGCTCGAAACTCAGCCAGAATCATGAGCTACAGGAAGAACTGTTCACATGGGCCCAGGGCGAGCTGTCAGCACATGTCGAGACGAACCTTTAAGGATTGTGTTTTCTTTTATGAGTGTGTAGAGGGTGTGCACCAGATCTTCTATGGTCATATCTATTGTTGGATACTTCTCAATCTTTTCTTAAGCTCTTGCTCACATAAATGTATGGTTCCGTTGAATTATCAATATTCAGTGTATCTTTGCTTACGCGGGCAGTATTGAGGGGTCTAACTATATCCTGGCTTTACATTGAAAGTGACCAGAACGTGTCATTTTCTCGCATCAGTATTCGATGGATACGTGATGGTTTATGTTCGATAGCCATTGCATTCAAGATTGTTTGGAATACATCATTCGGCGTGAATTGATAACTCTAGAAGGTAGACTAATTCGGTCGGTACTACAAGCCCGGCCTAGGCAATCGTGAAAGGGCATTTCTAATTCTGAAGAGGAAAAAGGGTCATCTTGTCAATGTAAACGTTACTAACAAATTGCAACCGAATACCCATTTTTTCATCTTACCTGGTAACCATGTACACCCCAATAATACTACTACTAAGAAGCAATCACATCTCAAGTGTTCAGAAGCAAACAATCTCGAGGAAGAAAAGTAACCGGAGACTTCGGAAATCCATCGTTGATGATGATGATGTCATCCCTCCATTCCCATCCACCGGACCACTCAAGCCCTACTTCAGTCAAGTCAAGATCGTGAAGCATGCCTTTCTGGTCTGCGAACTGCATGCTAGGTGATTAATAATTACTAATTCTGATGATTGTTCTCGCCAAGATATTGACAGCGAGTGTGCTCCGTTCTACAGTCTTACAATAATGGACAATGGACACGCTTCCTCGTAGATGCCTCACGACCGAATGTAACCTCAACCACCAAAAGTCATGAAGTCAGTCATCTGCGGGAATATTTTCCTCAAAGGCTATTTCCAACTTAATTATACTATTCATCAAGAGCAAAAATTATGATAACAAGAATTGTGAACCTAAACAAGGACAGTGACACAACTAACGCTGACTAACCAGCCTCCTTGTCACCGTAAACTGTACTCAGTAATGACCGAGTTATCCAAGATCCACCAACGAATCTAGACTCGCCACGCACAAACGAGTAATGACATCCCTCACAGTCAAGAGTCTAGACTCCCTCGCCTGAACAAGGATTGGCGCTAAAAATGCCTCATTGTTGAAGTCCTCAGGGAAAGTCAAAATAAGTGTCTGTCTAACGGACACACAAAGCCAATGAGATCAAGATCAAGATCGGGTGGACTCAATCGGCGCCAATCTGACTGGTTAGGACCGCATGGCGTCAGGGGTTCCACTTTAGCGTCTGTTTGCCTTTTAGTTCGTTGGACTGTGACTTTTGGGAGGGAGGGAGGGAATGAGGCTATGAGCCCGATAAAGGGATCCACTGTGGCCAAAACACCGGTCAAAGGCTTGGTTCTCGTTTCGCTTTTGGTGGGTTTGGCTCATGTCAGCCCTAATGGTTGTGGCCTGGGCTTCAACGTTTGATTCTGGGATTATTACTCAAGTGTTTTCTTTCTTTTTTGGTGCAGGATTTACTAGATGAGATCGGATGTTTGTTTCTTTTTGTAAAAAGTTGAATTGTATCAATCAAAGGTATCGTCGAAGGAAAGTAAAAAGTGAAAAGAGAAGGTAAAAAGCAAAGGAACGAAAGTCTGTCTCTTGAAATCAAAGTCTTTCGCAAAAAAGCAAATGTTCCACCCAACTCCACAAGTGTGATCTCAAATCACAGCCCAGTTTTCCCATTTTCCCATTTCCGTTTCCGTTTTCCATTTCCATTTTCCGTCGTAGCATCAAGTCATGTTCATAAAGATTGAAGGAAAGAATAAGGAATGCGGTCATTGGTTGACATCATCCTGCATCATTTCCCGGGAGCCACTCATCTAGAGCGCATCTTTTGTTCGTCATGAGGTAATCTAGTTACCCAGGCTCAGTGAGAATGAGGTATCGATAGGGCAGCCGTGGGTAGCATGGTCATCCTTAGGCTGGAGGTAAGCCTCGGCGCAGCTAGTGTCGCCAGCAGCGCAGTTAACGCTGGGGCAGTCGTCGCCAGTCTGGCTAGGCTCGACGGAGAAACCGTGCTTAGTGAAGCTAGAGTCGCTGCCCATATCGATGCAGGACATGTCCCAGAAGATGGTGTTGCCGGACTGGGTGTACTCGAACTGCAGCACGTCGGACTGGTCTTCGGACATGGACAGCTTGATGGAGATGCCGCCGCCGTTGTCGTTGCTTTGCCACGATTCCTGGTAGTTGCCGCCGCCCGCAGAGAGGGTATGCATGTGACTGACTCTATCAGACACAGACCACGCGTAGACGTTGGAATCCAGGTTGTTGACGATGTTGACGCCGCCGCCGCCGCCGCCGTCACGACGGATGATGGTGCTAGCAGCGGTGCCGTTGGTGGTGGCGTTCAGGTAGTAGGGAAGGGCCGTGGCGAGAGTGGCCATGAGAGGGAGGGACTTGAACATCATTTTGATTGAGTTTTTTGATGAACGGTTCTTTCTTGAACTTGAAAGAATGATAGTAAGTCTGAAGAGACTAAGTATAGAGAAAGTGGAATGTAGAGAATGAAGTCTGTACAACAGACAAGTAAAGACTGATAGTCAAGAAAGACAAAAAAGAAGGACGATTCGAATGAATCAAAAAGAGATAGACTGATCAAGAGAATGTTGTTGTTGAGAAGAATCGCAAACCATCGACGACGGACAGGATATTTATATGTCATTCCCCTCCAAATTGGCTTCGGTGCCTGTCCGCCACGAAACACCGGATACCAGAGGCGCAGGGGCAACAAACTCTAACGGCCATGGCGAAGATGAAGAGTTCCCCACCGTCAAACCCTTCGTTTACCCTCGACCCAGACAGCCGGCGAGTTTGGAAACCAGTTGGAGATCGGAAGGCCTGGATCGTTGAACTGCCGGGACTGGCATGAAACGCCGGGGAGATGGAGTGCCTCTGGTTGGTTGTGCCCACGTCTTTTTCGTGGCACTCTCGGCGTGTTGTCTACAGGAAAATGAGAGAGAGCAATGCATGCTGTCTACGGATGTGTCAGGTCGGTGAGATTGCAATCCACCGTAATCTAACCTGCATGCATGCGCGCTGTCATGTCCTTCGAAGATGGGACAGGATGGATTTTTAATGTGCCGTACTTGACAGACATTACCTTTCTGTTCGTAGACTACAATGAATTAATTGATTGATCTATCGGTCATTCAATACTACATCCAAGAAAGGCCTCAAAAAGAAGGACAAGAAAGACAAGACGTTCTCGACGCATCCATCCATTGATCCCGGTCTATCACCAACAAAGCACCAAGACTTGGACCCGACCCGACCAGACCAGGCCCTACAGGGATCAAAGATCACGAAACAGACAGAGAGACCAAGGCAACTCCAACGGAATTCGACCGTCAGCCAAGGCGAGTGGCCAGTCAAACTCTGCGTGGCTGTTATGTCGTGGCAATACTACTATGCCCATATAACGCCGTGCACACAAGTCTATAACATGTAACAAGTGCGTGCACCAAGAACCCTAACCCTAGCGACCCACGGAAAGTCCCTTCTTCTGCCCTTCTTTTCCTTTCTTTCCTCCGGCGAGGCGCCGTCTCTTCCCACGGATCCACCGCCATCTCCAACGAAAAAATCCCCTCCGATCCACTTGACATTGTTTTGCCATTGGATCAAGTCTGCATATTTATGGGGAAGGATGACGCTGCCAGGCTCAATGCTGTCCATGCTTTGACTGCCCTCTCTCTGGCTAGCTGTGCCTCTCAAGTTCGCCATGTGCGGATATCTTCCATCCTCTTTCTCGTCCGTGGGTCCTCTGGCCGGGAAAATCCTCGGTAGATTTACTTTCCTTTCCTTTCTTTTTTGTCTGTGTTTCCTATTCGATGCTTCCGACTGCGTGTGAACCAGAGCACGCTACCGACTGGGCACACCCAGTGTAAGGGGTTTTCTCGGACAGACTGATTATTGGGTTCTCAACGTTCAGAAGACGGAGAATCAGCCGATTTGAAATGCAGGTACCAAATCACCGTCCATAGGAGTAGTTGTTCTCTCGGTATTTGGGGTGTCAGTCGTTTGCCGATCGTCTTTGGTCCCTTTTTTTGGTCCCTTTTCCCCTTATGTTCCATTTCTTTGCTCTTTGTGGTTCCGTGTTTGAGATTTTTTTTTTTCTTTTTCTTGTTCTTTCTTGTTCCTGTAGATTCCCAGACAGACTGACACTGCCCTGACAGAGATCGCTCGGTAGCCGAAACTGTCACCGACTCGACCGAGAGTGACTTGACTTGAAATGACTAGACTAGGCATCTTAGTCGATACTTTATTTTCATTGGTATGACTGAGGATCTCCACTTCTCTCTCGTATCTGTTCCTTTTTCTTTTTCTTTTTCTTTTCTGCCTTATTTGCCATCGCCTTGGGCCCCTCTGCTTATGGGTGGCACATGACGGCTTTGGTTCAGGGACAGGGTCAAGAACAGGGACAGGGACAGGGACTTTCTCCTCCCTTCCCTTCCGAAACAGAGTGCTCCAACCAGAAACTGTCCTTTGTCTTTTTCTAAAAAGAAAGAAAAAGGAACAGGGTATGCGACCATGGTCCTGACCTGGTCCAGGGTCTGTCTACAAGTCTGGTTGCATCCAGCCATGCTGATACCGTTCTTTCTCTCTTCTTTCTTTCTTCTCTTCCCTTCCATGACCCAAGAATTCGACGGGATTGGTTCGCACTAACGTATACTTATCTAGATAGAAAAAGGTGAAAAAAAGAAGAAGAAAAAAAGACAAGTGAAGGAAGCTAATAGGCTGTACCAATTCAAATCGAACCCTCTTCTTTCACTACTACATACATTCCCCTCTCTCCCCTCATCCCCCCTGTCAAATGACCAAGTCTAGACCTTTCCCCAAACTACCAATATGGGGCCCGTAATCCAGCCAGACTAGTCAAGGACGCGTCGGCCGAGGCATCCTCTCGCTTGCGATGTCCCGCCAGCTCGAGGTTGATCTGTCGGTGGACGTGGACCAGCCAGTCCACGTAGCTCTGCGCCTCGTTGTTGCGGTCCTCCAGCAGTAAGCGGGCGAACTCGTACTCCGCACCGTCCAGACCCTGGCGCGCCAGCTGGATCGTCACGGCCTTGGAGCCCCGGATCGTCGAGAAGTACTGGACGAGGTTCCGCACCTGGGCGTTCAGATGCGTCTCCAGCAGCGGGATCGACGATGTCTGGGGGTTGAGGGCTTGCAGCGAGTTCTGGCCCTCGCCGAACAGGTCCTCGAGCAGGTTGGGGGACACCTGGGCGTGCAGCCACAGTAGACAGACCTGTCCGTTGTCCACGAGATAGACGCCTCCATCCTCGATCTTAGAGTAGCTGGCCCGCAGCGACGGCGGCACCTGTAGTTGTCCCTGCTCGTTGGGGAATCCGTCTTCCGGCTGCATGTTGTGGATAGGAATGATGCGCGGATACAGGTACAGCGAGAGTTCTGTGCATCCTATCGATCGGAGCATGCGCATGTCGTGAATCCGTCGGTCTGATGCTTCTTGTCCACCTGTTTGGGTTTAGCATTTGTACTTCGGTTTTGGCCTTGTGGACTGGATCTTACCCTTCAGTGCTCGCGACTTAAGCAAGCTCAACATGTACATGGAAAACTCTTTCAAGTTCTCCGGCAACACCAGTTGCCCCGGCGGATGCGACCCGGAGAAGATCTTGCGATAACCGCTGAATATATCCACCGTTTTTTCCGTCACGCTGGCCCGGATGTCCTTGAGCGACTTGTCCACCGTCTTGGACGCGGCTAGATTCCAACAGTCAGCGAAAAACCATAAGATCTCATTGACAGGAACACCTACCCTCCTTGGCCATGATGCTGACCACTGCGTCCTGGTCGATATACTTCATCGTTTCCAGACCGCCCTCGTTGACCGCCGCCACTGCGTTTATGCAGCGCACCCGGCGCTGTCCGTTGGCCGACGTGTACAGTAAGGCCGCCTGGAAGTGCGCGTCCAGCTTGGGATCCAGCTTGCCGTCATAGCTGAACATCACGCCGATCGCCTTGTCCGCATCGATGGCTCCGATCTCTAGATCCGCCCCCAGCGCATGTTGCACGAAGTTGCCGTGGTATCCCGACACCTGCAATCCGTTCGAGCAGCGCACCTTCATCAGAGCCTGGTATCCGGTCTCGCGCGTGGCGGCATGCGCGATCTCTCGCGACAGCTTCAGGAGATCCCGAGGCGCGTGGAAGTTGGGGTAGAAGAACGTCTCTCCGCCCGTCACTTCAGCGATGTGGCCTGTCTCGAGTTTAGCCGTTGTTTCAGGCCATATCTTCCATTGTCAAAGTACTTACCAACTGTCGCCACATCCACGTAGGTTCCGCCCGGCGCCGCCATGAACAAGTCCACGCCGATGCCCGCCTCCGCCAGCTTGCCGGCCGCGGTTCTCCAGTCGGCCTGCTCGGTCGTGAAGAGCTTCCGCTCCGCGTCCGTTCCGTGTACCTTAGGGTCTTCGCGCATAACCAGCGCACCGGGACCCGAGTTGGGGAGGCTAGACACGGCAGCGATGACCTTTCCACCGGTCGCATGCAGCGCAGACAGAGCCGCATTCAGCGCGGGCAGTAGTGCCACTTCCGGCGTCTTGAGGTGGGAGAAGATGGTGGGGATTTGTTGCAAAAGAGAAGTAATCACATCCCTAGGACGTATGTCAGTATCAGTTTAAACCACTGCAAAAGACGAGTTGATCGCGTACCTAGACTCGTAAGGATCGACAAACAGTCCCTCGCTCAAGGGGACAAACGGCTCCTGCAGATCGGTCATGACCATCATCTGCGCGCGCTCGAGTTGCGCCTGGTTCTATGGGTCAGAATCTGCGGTTATCTTTGCTAGCACTCAGAGCGTAGACAACTCACACTTAGGTTGTAGAAGTGCACCTCTCGGTCAAAGGTAACAATTCCGATCTTAGCCCCCTCGGGTATTCGTTGCGGCGACTCGCCCTCCTTGGTATTTTCCGTGTCGTAGAGCGCGTTCAAAATACCCTTGCATGCCCCCTTCAAGAACCCTCGGTTGATGGACTCCTGGCTGACATCGACCATGAACAACAGCTGCAGACCCACGGGCTCCTTGTTCCAGTATTCCTTGGGCACCACAAATTCGACGGTTCCCATCATCAACTCCGGACGCTGCATGCGGTCGATGCGCGACCCCGACGGGTCCACGGGGGCAAAGTATTCGGGCGGCACGTCGTTAGGGAAGGTACACATGTTACAGACAAACTTGTTTCCGCCCGATCGGAAGCTCATGAAGGGGTTGATGTAGGTACGGCATCGGCGGCATCTCGGCGGTCCAGCGTCGCCAAAGTCCAGCACGGGGACGGGCTGTTCGCCCGGGTCCTGACGAGCCAATGGCTGCAGGATCATTCCCAGCGGCAGCGCAGTTGAAGTGAGGAAGTCGGAGGCGGAGGGGATGTTGTTGAGCGTGAGACGGGCGTACTTGGGAGATGAATTGCCCTGGTCATGGGCCACGAAGGGCACGGCGGCCGGCGGAGGGAGATGGCGTTCCATCGTAGGGTAGACATGGTTGAAGTAGTACTGGGCGGGGAGGTCGCGAGATCGAGGGATGCTGGGAATCTGCTCCGGATCAATCTTGCCTTGCGTCGGCACCGATCCTGGAGCGCCCGTTCCTGGGAAACCCGGTTGTGGTTGCAAGCCCATGGCGGGACTGACGCCTCCCACGGCCGGAGAGACCGACCGCGGTGCCTGGTTCAAACCCGTATTCAAGAACTGCGACGTCGGTTCGGGGGCCAACATGCCGGGCATCTGCTGCGGAACCGAGCCCGACGCTGAGGCCCCGCCAATCTCGTGGTGGGCATGACGATGCTTCTTCTTGGAGGCGCGGGCCCCGCCCTCGCCCACGATTCCCAACCCACTCATCTGCGACGCCAATCCCGCCATCGAGGGGTCCATGGGAGGGCTCACTGCAGCCTGGGGATCTGCATTGTACCCGAATTGCGGACTGGGGGCGAGACCGCGCGCCGGCGGGGGTTGTTGTAGTTGCTGCGGATGTTGTTGATATTGTTGTTGCGGGGGAGGAGCGCCGTAGGTAGACCATTGACTCGGAGGCGGGCTCCCGTAAGGAGCACCAGGCTGAGGAGGAGAAGGACCGGGAGGGAAGCCGGCAGGAGGCGATTGCATTCGATTAGGATCGGAGGGATCTGCGACAGGTTGGCCGTAGGCGTTATACATAGGGGGATAGTCGGCCATGGTGGATCATAGTCGGGTGAAGATTCGGGTTGGTTAGAGAAAGGAGGACCGAACAGACGGGGAAGAGAGGATGGACGGCGAGACCAGGAATGCGAAAGCGAAAGAGAAAACCCAGCGAGAGAATCGCGGGTGAAGCAGCGACGAGGAGCAGCGAAGCGTCGAGGTCGAGGGCGAAGACGTGAAGCACATCTCCATCAAGCAACGTAGACAGAAACAGCCCGGATCAACGTTGCTCCGCGCACGAGGTGTCCCTTGCCCTAGAAAGCCTCGAGGGACTCTGCTCTGTCCCCAAAGTACTTCTGTCTGACTTCCGTCGGCAATTTTGACCGAATTTAAGACTAATTAATGAGGTTTCCATGAGACAATCCGGAATAATGTCTGGCTATTTGTCGGATATCTTCAATATTCCCGGCATGCTGGTCCGGTCCCTTGCTTCCCACCCGTTTGTTTGCCCCTGATAAGCGCTTCATCTGATCAATCGCTTACAATTGCATTATGTCTCTGCAGGACAAACGGGTCGAGCAATTGACAAATAGACCGACTCGGACTGTTACTCAACGTCCGATTGCCGCTGTGATTGACTGATCGACTTGGCGGGGCTCTTCTTCACCGTCTCTTTAGCACCGGCTAACATCATCCTGATGGCCGAGATAGCACGTAATTTCATTCTTATTCTGTTGGCATCCCCTAGACAGTATCAGTCCATCCTGACAGATATTTAAAACTAAATATCATGGTCTCCATATCCGACGACGATGAGCTCCTGCTCGCTCGAATCGGCTACAAACAAGTCCGCCCGCCTGCCCCTTTTCCATGGTCTCGGTCTATCCACTAACCTAGTATCCCCAGGAACTGAAGCGTGAATTCTCCAAATGGTCCACCATCTCGTATGCCATCTCCATCCTCGGCATCTTAGGCTCCGTGCCCGCCACTTTCGGTGCCCCCCTAGCGGCCGGAGGACCCGCCGCCGCCGTCTGGTGTTGGGCCGTCGGCTCCTGCATGGCGTTGTGTATCGGCAGCTCCGTGGCTGAATTGGTGTCGGCCTATCCCACGGCTGGTGGGATGTACTTCGTCACGAAATACGTGGTGCCCGAGGAACATGTGCCGGTGTTTTCGTGGGTGCAGGGTTGGTGCAACCTCCTCGGTCAGACTGCCGGCGTGGCCAGTGTCACGTACACGGTCAGCCAGATGCTGTTGGCAGCGGCGAGTATGAATTCCGGGTTGATTGGGGGTGGAGAGTATAGATATTCGCCGTGAGTTGTCTGGTCTTGTTCGTGGCCGATTGATAGTTTTAATGACGTGCAATGGCACAGAACTGCATTCGATACGGTCCTCTTAGCTATCGTCCTACTCTGCGTGCTGGGTGTAATTTGCTCGCTGACAACGAAGACGCTGCATCGCATTATTTTCTGGTTTGCGCCGATTAACAGTACGCTTGAGAGAAATATCATGCAAAAAGCCGAACCCAGAGCTCACTTTGATTCTAGTCACCGCGACCATCGTCATCTGCTTCGTCCTGCTCTCCTCGCCCGACAAACAGTCCGCCAGCTGGGTCTTCACGCACTTCACCGACGGATCTGGATGGGGATCCAAAATCTTTTCATTCCTATTGGGATTCATCTCCGTTGCTTGGACCATGACCGACTATGATGGCACCACCCAGTCTGTCCCCCTTTCTCCCTCCCGCCTCTTCTGACACCTCAAGCCCACCAAAACACTAACAGAAAGAACAAACAGCATGTCCGAAGAAACTCACGACGCAGCCTCCCTCGGCCCACTGGCCATTCAATCGGCTGTCATTGTCTCCGGGCTCATGGGCTGGATCCTAACCATCTGTCTCTGCTTCTGCATCACCGACCTCGACGCCATCCTGGACACCCCTACCGGCCTTCCCGCCGCCCAGATCTTCCTGAACGCTGGCGGCCAGACTGGCGGCACCATTATGTGGGGGTTCGCGATCCTCGTGCAGTTCTTCACGGGCTGCTCGGCCATGTTGGCGGATACGCGCATGGCGTATGCCTTTGCGAGAGATGAGGCGGTGCCGTTTTCGAGGTATCACTCTAATCCATCCCCTTTTCCCTTTCCATTTAAGGAACCCAATAAACCCACTAACCCAACCTCCCCTCAAAAAACAGAACCCTTTCCAAAATCAACCCCACCACAAAAACCCCCCTCAACGCCGTCTGGTTCGTCGTCGGGGCCAGCATCCTCCTAACAACCATCGCAATCGGATCCACGCAGACCGTGACCGCCATCTTCAGCATCACGGCGCCAGCGCTCGACCTGTCCTACGTCTCCGTCATCCTGGCGCACCGCGTCTACCAAGACCGGGTGCCGTTCGTGGAAGGTCCGTTTACGTTGGGACGGTGGCGAGGAGTCGTTAATTGGGTGTCGATCGTCTGGGTGGTGTTTATTAGTGGAGTGTTGTTTTTTCCGCCCAGCATGCCGGTTACGGTTGTTAATATGTATGTTTTGTTCTTCCTCTTCTGCTGTTGACTCCAGTTTGTTTCCCTTGGGGGTTCTGGATTTGGAGAGTGGCGGTGCAATAGTGGTTGGTCGAAGGATTAAGGCTGACTGTCTATCGACTAGGAATTATGGCATCTTTGTGGGTGCTTTTATTGGGTTGTTTGCGCTGGTTTGGTGGTGGGTTTCTGGGAAGGGGTGAGTGCTTTTCTTTTGTTATATCTCTCTTTTGTTATTCTTATGTAGTTGATTTACTGATATACTGATTCAGGAAATATACCGGTCCTCGAACCAATGACTATAAACAGGGCATACCGACGGAGGATTTGGACGACGACTGCTACGGCACGTTTCATTGATATTACTTGCATTCAATGCATAGTAATACAATAACCACACAGGCTTATAGTCTACAAATTGACAGGAAAGGAGACTAAACCTTTCCACAACCACTAGAATGAAATATACTTTGGATATCCCTGAGATGCTACATGGACTTTCACCCTATATCACATCACATAACATAGCATACAAATACATCATTAAACGCTCAACCTCATTCCAAGTCCCCGGACCCAAAACTAATCAATCAGAAGTTAACTTCCCGCAACCACCGCGAGACCCTCGTATATCTTCCTTTTAACGGCAAGGAAACTGCCTGCGCCGCCGCGTAGAGTCCCCGCGGTGGCTAACTGGGCAGCTGCTTCGATCTCGATCCTCCCCGTGCCGGACTTGCGCACCGCCACCATCCCATCGATCAGGAGAGTTCCCTCGCCGCGGAATTCCGCCTTGTGGCCGGCGCCCTGCATGAGCTTGCGTAGGTCGGCAAGTCGCAGATCGCCGACGTGCAGGGGGCGCGTCATGGACCGAGTCCCCGCGGCCATATTGGCCGGGAGGGTGTCCAGCATTGGGTAGACGTCCGTCTTGTCTGTTGTCGTTGGGGGCTTGGCCTCGTCCGCTGCCGGCGGCACGGTCTCGGGTTCGGCTTCACCGGCCAGGAGTTTTTGCTTTTTATGGGGCGAGTCTGTCGCATCCTCGTCTGAGCTCTGTTCGGGTGCCCGCAATTGTCCCGTGAGTGTGACGACCCCAAGGCTGCGGACGTGCTGCCATTTCAGCCGGCGAACAAGGCTGTTGCTCAATTTGACCATCCAGGCATTGGTATCAACGCTGGCATCGATGACCTCACCATTAGCAGGAGTAAAGATGACAGCCAAATCCTCGTGAGACACGTCCATGCCTGCCTTCGCGACGAGGAGTTTCTTGCATTCCGTCGCCAGCGCGGTGGTCTCTTCTTTCATGCCGCCCACCAGGATCAGTTTGCGCGGTTGGATCAGCGGGATGAGCATCTCCAAACTTCGCTTGTCATGCAGACCAGTGAAATCCACATACGCCAGACGCGCGTTGATCGTAAGCGAACTCTTCTCATAGACCGCCTTCGCAGGGCCTTCAAAGGATTGCTCGTCGGTAGCATCAGGCTCCGCCGCAGCATTGGCGTCCTCCTTATCTTCGTCTTCCGAGTCCGTAACACTGCTGTCGTCTGCCGCGCCTGTGTCTCTCCGCTGGGCGCCATCAGCCATGTGTGCTCGCTTGGGGCCCCCGCTGGGTCCGGTCTCGTCCCATCGTCGCTTTTGACCAAGTTTTGTCTGCGAGTCTGAGCGCCGTTGTTGCATGTCGGCCTCCTCACGTTCTTCGGCACGCAGGTATTCCTCCGGTCGAATGAACTCTCCGTACTCGTCTCCCTTCTTCCGCGGTGCGACGTACGGGAACATTCGCTCGCGACCCTTCTTGCCGCGAACGTCGTAATCGAACACATTCTTTCGCCGTAGCAGAACGTTGATACCAAGATCTTCGTCGCTAAGTCCAAGTTTGTTCCGGTTGACGTGTGCCAAAGAAGTCGAAAAATTCAACACTCGTCCCTGTTGTTCCTCTTCGGAATCTTCTGATGACGAACTGGACCGATCATCCAGTGCATCTGCTGCAGTGTCCAGGGCTTCTTGGCCCCGAGCCTGCGAAGTATCCTGGAGTTGTCGTTGTGTGGCGAGATACTGCTGATAAATGAGCTGCTCCCCAGCGTCTAGCGGCGCTCGCTGGACGTCGGTCCAGGCTAGCTCTCGTCCGCCACTGTGAATCTGCTCGATTGTCTCACCATCCGACGCCTTCTCCAGCGCAACTCCGTCTTTTCTTTCTTCGTACCATTCCCAGATCATGCTTCCCAGGGTCTTCCGTTGGGTTTCATCCTGCTCCACGGGAAGTCGCTCCTTGTGGAGCGACTCCGTCAGTAGCAAGAGGTTGTTAGGGCCCTCCGCCACCAGACGAAGAGATTCCTTTGCGAAACCCCAGTCGAGGGATGTGTCTGACGCAAGAACGACTTTGGGCGTAGGATCACTTAGAATCTTCTCCAGTCGCTTCCTTCGCTCCACGATCTTCAAATGCTTGAAAGTGAACGGGGCTATTCCTTTCTCTTCGCCCTTGCTGTTTGCCTGGCCGCCAGAACGTTGGCCATCGGCTCCGGACCGGGACTGGCCCGTCGTAGCATCGACACCCTCGGCTGCTTCGAACTCGCGCACGATGTTCTCATCCATCCATTCTATCATACTCCGCGCAAGTCTCATCGTGGTGTGAGCCTTTCTCCCACCCAAATACAGCCCCGCGCCTTTCAGCGCATCGGTGCTTTGTTCGTTCCCCGCAGCATCGCGCCACGCGTGCTCCAGCGCGTAAGCAAGTTCCAGGACACGCGCGCTGGTATCGGTTGGGATCAGAACAGTCCCTCCTTTAGCAAGGGAGCTCCGAATCATATCCAGTAAGAGATCATCGCGCTTCTTACGGCCCCCAGGAAGTGCGAACTTATCACCACCCCGGGTGCTACAGACTAGAGCAGTAGGTTTGCGCAGCTGCTCAATGACTTCCGCCCCGCTGGCCCCGGATCCTCCGAACCACGCCGCACCGGCTACCACGCTCTCTCGAGCCTGGTTCCAATCGACGGCATACACAATCGACTCCATGCCATGTTGCACATGCCATATCGTTCCACCCACAGTATGTCCAGCATTGTAGGCCGTCAACGTCAGGCCGTTCAGCGGCGGAGAGAAAGGAGAGGCAAGCGGTTCGTGAGGCTGCGAGTATTTCAACGGGTGAATAAAGGAGAAATATCGGGCAATATCTTCGTTGGTGGGCGGTTGAAGCAGAATCCGTTCTCCCTCCGCGACCGATGGCCCAGCCGTGGACGCCCCAGACTCGGTGACCGAGGTCGTCGGTAGAAACGTCGCTGCTAGCGGGGAGGATGCATATAGGTCCTGGAGCAGCGTGCGACCGAGGGCGATAACGGGACCGGTAGCGTAAACGGGGATCTGAGTAAAAAGGGGAAAGGCCTTGCAGCAGTGCGCAAAGGCACCAATATGTGCCGGGGTCGCGTGTGTTAAGAGGATCAGAGATAGGGTCGGAATATGTCTATTTCAAAAAGCATCGTTAGAGAGATCATTGCAACTTCTCACGCCGGGCACGGCGGACAAAGAGGTGAAAGAGGGCGCTCACTTTTCCAGTTCCTGCAAATCAAGCGGATCAAAGGTATCGCCCCAACCCACGTCGACAAGGATCTTGATTCCCCCATCAAGCTCTAGAATCGACTGGGAGGCCTTTGACGATGACGACTGAGCCCCCAGTAAAGGCGTGAATGTGAACATGTTGCCTGGTCTCTTTGTTTAGAGGTTCAGTATTCCCGGAGTGCGCCGACCGCACGATGGAATCTGTTGTCTGGAAGGACTCTACGCAGGGACACTTGCACCGTGAGTCATCAGCCCAGACACAGGAAATTTGAGCACAGCAAGACAAGAGGCTTCCAGCTACCGTGACATATTCAGTGGCATGGCACAGCAATGGGTGAAACGGAGAAGATGCGATGATGAAAGACAGCGCGGAAAGGAAGAACAATGAGCTGGTTTATCGGGTTTGTCTGATTTGCACTGTTTGCATTGGGTGCCCGATCTGGCTTAGCCCCATACCTATCCAGCCAGCCCTACTTGAGCAGTACAGATGAGTAGTTCTACCAGTTCAATTTGAAGCAAGATAAAAGTCCATGCGAATATTATTGGCTTGATCTGTTGGTAAAGGCCCGAAGCAAGTAATACAAACTATTTATGACACAAGAACGCCATGGCAGCGAACTCCGTTATCAACCTCTTTCAAAAGGCAGCATCGAGCATCCACTATGAGTCCTGAATGCTTTTTCTATTCCTCCGCTTGGAAAGACTTCCAAACTTCTTCAAAACCTTTCCTGTCTTTTCACGTAAGCGCCGAATCCTAAGGCCATTGTGAGTCCAATGTATATCCAAACACATTCGAAGAAAGACTTCAGATCTTACCTCTTCTTCTTCGCAGGATTGATCTCCTTCTTCGCAGGATTGATTTCCTTATACTGGCCGAAATCTCCGAGATCGTGCACATTGGATTCACGCCTCTGCTCTTCTTCTCTAAGGCAAAGCATGTGGCAGTATGTTGCAAGCAAGCTGAAAACCCAAAACGACCTATTCCGAGCGCTATGTTCGTGAAGCCAGCGCTGTTGCATGTCGGGAATGCCGAGCTTTCGGCACATTTCAGACGCGTCATCCTCCGATGGAACAGATGTATACAACTCTTGCTTCTGGCACCAATCCATCACTCTGGTTCCTCGATCTACTTCGTTCACATCACCGCGGATAGCGCTGGCCCTGCCACTGGACACCGCAGGATCTTGGTATCTCCTTTGGGAACCCTCCTCTATACTTTCGGATCGGGATAAGGAGGTATCTTTCAAGTCACGCCCATCTCGAATACCTCTTAGCAAATCTCCCAGATAAATCATATATTTGTCCTCGCCGAATTGACTCAAGAGCTCAATCAGGAGTATCTAATATGCGCTGCTTACCATCACCGGGCGACGAACTCTCTTCGGATTCTATCGAGAAAAAGCGTTAGTTCCTAGAACCATTCAGGGGAAAGGAATGCGGTATGCAAGGGGGGCAAAAGCAAGGAATGCGACCTTCTCCAGCCGGGGGATATGTGTTATCAGCCATCTTTTAATGACCTATTACAACGACGGGCTAAATATAACCATGGAGGGATAAAATGTGGTTAAGGGAATGACAGAAACGCAGTAAGTAGTAAAGGTAGTACTAGAACCGATCGCTAGATGATCTTGAACGCGTATAGAAAAAGACAGAGAAACATGCTCAACACAAGCAGGATGACAATGAACCAGATCCATTTGTACTCACCGATGGAAGTAGACGAGGTGCTGTTCGCGCCTTCCTCGTCGGATTCGGCATAGAGTCGGGGGATCCGTCTCGGGGGTGTTCGGTTGTTCTGATATAGACTCCCGGCCTTGGGCACTGTTTCGATGTTAGTCAACTGTAGATAAGCAAGGCGACTTTTATAGACATACGGGCTCGATCTGCCAAAGAGGGGCGTTCATAGTTTGGGAATTTGAAAACCCTTCCATCCCAACTGCCCGGAGTCGGGCCCTGGTCCTGTCGAGTCACATCGACATTAGGTGGCGGAGACGGAAGTGACGGTATGGGGTCCTCGATTTCTTGGAAGTTGCCGTCTGTCCTACTCCAGATGTCTGTTCTGATATTATGTCTAAAGACCGGATTCTCCAAAGTGGTTTCCAGAACCCCATATGCGTATTTTCTCAACCAACTGTTCTCTGAGTTCATCGCGTACGCAAATGGCCCGGCATCAAATACCCATTCTAGTTCAGCCAAGTCCGGCTTTTCCTCAGACTTCTTTGTGGGTTTTAGAAGCCAGCGGGGAGCAAGATTGTTATATCCATACCCGATGCGGAGGGTCATACACGTGGGATCGAAATGTATACCATAAGGTAGAGTTGTTGGTGGGTTTGTGCTGGAGGAATGTGAAGCCCCATGTGTCTTCTGGGTGGCGGGTACCGTTGGCGGTGGTTGGTGCGAAGTGGGTGACCTTCGACGGTTTTCTGGTTGCTTGCTTCCAGGGCTTTTGGTGAGCTTTTGAAGTGTCGCGCGGGCATTGGCGAGGACACGTGGAGGACTGGTTATGTTTGGGGGACCGGTAGCTCTAGGGCTGAGTCTTCCTGAGCCCTTCGACTCGACTTTGGTGCTTGCTTCTGGAGCCTGAGTGACCTCCACGTGTTCAACATGCGGATTATCAAACTCAAAGGAGTCTCTATTCAACTTGGGAGGGGCAGGCGTCTGGCGTTTGCCAGAAAGGCCGGTCATGATTGCTGAGTGAGGCGTTATATATATCGAGAGGCCAGATAGAATGACAGAGCTGTAGCTGCGTTGAAGGTCTGATGGGTAGAATATAGGGATTCCCGATGTAAATAATGTTGAGCACTGTCGCCAATAGACGCTCGCACTTCAGCAAGAACTATAAGACCTGTAGAACGATTAGCACTGCGATGCGATAAATCACTTGCTTTAACATGTGGTGTAGAGAAGCAGGGACAAGGGTACCAGTGGTATATTTGAGAGATGATCTTGTCTTCGCCTCTGAACCTGTTGCGTAGCGTTTACTAACGGCAGAAATAGCACAAAGAAATGAAGTGCAGAATGAACGGTTTCTCTGCAAAAAAGAACTCAAAGATACGTAAATGCAGTGTGGCTCTGGAGATTCTTTGTTGTGTCAGTAGCACAAAGGCACTAATAAACCGCAAACCATTGAGGGGAATGGCCAGTACAGCGCGGCAAAATGTTAACATCTTCCAAGAGCCGAGGAATTATAAGGAACTCGACGGACTTACCCCTGGAGAGGAACTACATCGGAGTCAATAACAACAACAACTACAACAACAATAACAAAGATCCAGCCAGTCACCGGTTACATCCCGGGGGCTTCCACCAAGTTCCTGTCTGCATCTATCAAGGGCAACAACGTTCCTGGGGTAAGGAAGAATTGCAGAGCTATTCTGTTTTCCTTGGCCAGGAATTTTGTACTCCGGCTGCGAGACCAAAAGCCTTGGTCATGAACATTGCAAGGCCCTGAAATGTCCAAGATGTCCGAGCGGCTACCCCTAAACTTCGTGTCAAAGATCCCATTGGCCAATATTCAAGGAACAGTCAATGACCATAGTCACAATGAACCAGGGAGAAGCAAAAAGTAGAAAAAAAATCCTCTCCCTCTTCTCTCCTTGTTACCAGCAATCTGGTAGGAGTAGATTCCCTGCCTCGTTAGGAAAAGAGGTTAGCCTGGTGATCGACAAAGAAAGGTAAAGAGCATTCCTCGGAGAATTGCGGCCGAGTTGGACCAAGAGATTCCAGGGACAATGATCACGAGACCAGGCGAGAATAAGTTTGTTTTCGAGTCATGGAGAGGCCAACCGGCTTGGTGCGCGAGTAGATCGTAGAGGGAGCGGTTTTGGCTGTGCCAGGGATGTCATGTTCTATAAAAGCATAATTGAGTGTCTCAGGAAGCCGGATTTTGCCGATCATGCCGTGACCCAGACCGGATGAGATTATTGTGTCTCACGAACAAGGACCAACGTGTGGAGTGTTGAGCATAACATTCCGCAGCCTGTCGCTGAACAAGATAAGGTTTTCAGGGTCATGCAGCAGGATGGTGAGTAATATATCCTAGCTAGTCAACTCTTACTGTATACGCGTGGTATCGTTTCAAGGGTTGGCTTGGTAATTGACCTTAGTTGATTCCAAAAATTAAATACAGATATATATCAACTATAAGTTCTTTTACAGAGTCATAACAACTAGAGCTAGTAATTAGCTATGAGAGTACTAGTGTGCTCGGCCTATGAAAACTTGTACTCAATGTGTTTGTCAAACAAGAACATAGAAAAGCCGAGTGCTCGAAGAAAGGATACACCTCCTCGCTTCTTTTGACGCCACAGAGTCGATAGCTTATTGCCAGTATCTGGGTTCGTCAAAGACATGATAGCGGTGACCACGGACACCTTGGCCGCGGAAAAGTGCTGGAAATTGTCGACCCTGAGGCACCATTTCCTCTCCAATGCGCATCTCATTCTCGGGCTCAGGCTCTCCTACCACAAACTTTCCGACCTGTTCATATGAAAAGAAGCAATTAGTACAAAATCAACGAAAAATAATTTGGGATAGTTATCAACAAAGGGAAGATTTTGAAACTTACCTGAATTTCAGTGTCCGTAATAGAGTCACGGCTGACACGAGCATAGCCTGTTCTCTTCAGCTTCTTGTAAAGGATGTACTCGCACCATCGGTCCCAGTCAGTGTTGTCGATATCCTTCATGCCACTGAGGTCGCTGACGTAGGTGTTGTAGTTGCCTTCCAGCGGCTTGGTGACTAGGTAACTGAGAAGGATCAAGGGGCGCGGGGACTCGCCCATCAATTTCGACAGGTACTCGGTCTGGAGACGACGGTCCTCCGGATCCTCTTCCTGACCGGAGTGGAAGACCACAACGTCAACCAGTTCGCCATACATGTCCAGAGTGGCGTGGATAGCAGGAGCAAGCTCACCAACGGGCGATGGGAGAAGGTGGTGAGTAGAGTTGACAATGGGGAACTTGGAAAGCAGGGCGGAACCCCACGTGTGCTTGTTGGGGCCAGGTCCGAAGTCGGCATACATGCCCATTTCCTCGGCCAAAACTTGAGTGACGTCGCGATTGCCCATGATAATGCGCTGGTTATCCGACTCAAGCAAGCCGACCACGTCAAGCTCAAGTTCCTCGATCACCTGGCGCATACGTTGCTCAGAAGACCACATGTCGTTGTCAAGGCCGAAATGGACCGTCCAGATACCGGCAGTGACAACCTTGTCATCCTTGTGGTAAGGAACATAATCATTGGTGGGGAAGCGCAGATAGGCGATGGCAACGGAAAGAAGCTGCAGGGCTGCCAGGACGTAAATGTAGTACGATCGCTGTCGGCGACCACTGGGGCTGATCGTCTTGCTCTGTCTGTTAGACGAGTTTGTAACGGCAGCCGAGAAGACACCAGCACCGATGGAGAGCATGGTAGTGATCATGACCCAGTCAGTGTGCTCTCGCACGAGGGGTCCACCGGGAACGAAGGCGTAGGCCACAACCCAGACGTGGAAAAGAACCATGAACATAAAGAAGATGCCGCCAACGCCGAAGGCGGTAACGGGCGAGTGGCGAACAGCCGATGCGATCAAGACTGGAGTAACCGCCAAGGTGTAGAACGCGAGGATAAGACCACCGTAGAACCCGGTCCAGTGACTGTAGCAAGTAAGCAGAGCGGCGCCCAAAGAACCAATGCCAAACGCCGTCCAGCTTCCGGTCAGAGCAGGATAGTAGAGACCAAACACAAGACCTGCGCCCATTGCGAAGATCGTGACTGCTCCGTGGGGAACTGCGATGGGGCCGCGCACGGGGTATCCTTCCCAAACCCAGGAGATCATAGTGCTGGAATCAGCCAAAAGAGAGGACATAACAAAGGTTATGCCACCAAAACCGATACCGGCCAGAGTCGAAGAACCTTTCTTGGGATTCGGGGGTAGGTAGTCACCTCCGCTAGTCGGGCCTCTCCGGTGTGCCCTCAGAACAGAAAGAATCGCAAGTAACAAACCAAGCTTGTTCCAACCTCCGTTTCCGGGGTGCATCGTTGGCCAGACGGGGTTGTTTGTCTTGAAAGCAAATTTGGCGATGCTCGATAAGATCAGACCCATGGCCCATGCGGTGATCCGGGACTCGAGTCTGGCTTTGTTCGCCCTGTCCGCATACAGCTGACCAGTGAATGAAATACTGCCACAGCAGACAGCAAAACCGGTCACAAATAGCCGGTTGGAGGGGGTCTGCACCTGGTAGGCCAGCAGACCAGAAAGCGATAGGAAATGAACAAGGCGAGGGTTTTTGGTGACCGCAGTTTTCAATCCGGGAATGACAAAAAGAAGGGGCGAGGCAAAGCAGACGATAGCAGCCTCGTAACCGGAGATGCCCATGTGCCACAGAGGGAAATCTACAAGTTGATCAGAGCAATTCCCTGACAGACAAAGAGCCAATAACACTTACACCAGACTAACAGTCCAAGAGCCGTCCAGGTAGACCAGAAGACGAACTACGTCTTTCTGTTAGTAACGAATCTGCAGAAAAGGGCCGGGGCATAATTTACCCCGTTGTAAACATCCGCTGCCGCGTCAATGATTTCCGTCCAGAAGAAACCTTCGCCAAAAGTGTTGCCAACGGGCTTGCCCTTCCTAACTACGAGTTAATTGCCAAAATCGTGATTGCTCTGGAGATCAGATTATACACACTCTTTCTCAAGGACGGAGTCCGCCGTGGTCTTCAACTGCCTGAAGGATAAAACTTTAGAGCCCATTTTCTTTTATCAAAACCAAGCGCTGAATTTTCGAGCCACTGTACATTTCTTCTCGTTCTGGTTTATTTCGGAAGCCACTGTACATACCCTCTGCTGATTCCTTTGACATCCCTCACCACAATCTCGAAGGCCTCGAAATCCAATGCGGTCACCGCATCAAATCCGACATCAAACAAAATGAGGGACCACTCGAAAAAGGCGTACTTCGTGTAGGCTAAACGAAGATGGTTTGTCAGCAACGACGTCTCTATGGGCCGTAAAAGCACTATACTTACCGCCAGGGACCTTGTGCACTTTGTGCTGAATGAAGTAATAGATCAATGGCACCAAGGTACCAAAGAAGAGGCTCGCCATGACCTTTCGGTACTTGACAGCACGGCGATTGTTGGGGCTCAAGGCCAGACAACCGAGCGTCCACGGCAGCGTCGCAACCAGGTAGGAGATCATGAAGATGTCATGCCAGTCGTGGTCGTCTGTCGAGGTCACGTAGGTCCAGCCACCACAGGTGAATGTCCGGAACAATCCAACACCAGCGACAATCTTGGGGAGCGACGAGTTCGGGCGCGCGGTCAGGATGTACCACAGGAACACGAGGGCGAATCGAGGACCGGAGGTAATGGCAATGAAGACTTGGAAGAAGGAGCGTTCGGGGTAGCGATCCCCAATGGTGGCCGACACGGAGGGGAACCATTCATCGGGATATCCGTAATGTTCGTTCTGCACAATCTTCCGGAAATGCAGGGCCATTCCGACTATTAGAGCACTGAAGAAGGCCGTGTAGGCAACGGCAGTATGCGTCCAGGACACCCATTTCCCGTTCACCTGCGAGATAGTCAGCAAACCACCAGGCCCAATGGCATTGTATCCATTAGCACTAACCGCTACGACAGCATCTCCGTCCTTATATCGAGGTGCCATGGTAGCGCAGGAGACGCAGGGTCGGTCTCCAGGCAGTGGATTGAGGCCGAAGGGACGAGATAAACAAGGCTCAATTTAATAGTAAGAGGACAAAAGAGCGTCACGAAAAAGAAGCATCGAAGAAGAAAAAGAAAGGAAAAGAGAGAACGGATCGACCAACGAAAACCGCACGGCAAAGAGGTCGCTAAAACCCCTGAGGTAGCAGGCAAACGCAACGTAAGATGGAATTGCGGACGTGACAGTCGGTTCCTTGAGGCTCGGCAACTTGCGGGCACACTAGAGCTAAACGGGCAGGCGGCCTGGGAGAAACTTTGGGGTGCGGGATGCCGACCACTTTTTTTTTCTTGACCTTGACTGGCATTGACGAACAACTAGACGCCCGTTGCGGCCACTGCAATCATGTCCGCCGCTACTGACAAGGCCCGTTTCTTTCTGGAGAAGTCTATTCCGGAACTGAAAGAGTATGAGCGCAAAAAGCTTTTCAATAAGGTAAGATGAAGATCTTTCGTCTTATCGTAACGCGACCATGGGACTAACAAGGCCTTTCGTGTCTAGGATGAAATCTCAGCCATCATCAAGAAGAGGTCCGACTTCGAACACAAGCTTAATGCTCGAGGAGCGCAACCCTCGGACTTTGTACGATATGCGGAATACGAAATGAACCTGGACATCCTCCGGCGCAAGAGAGTGAAGCGACTAGGTATCAAGTCGGCGGGATATTCTGGACAGCGACGGATCTTTTTCATTCTGGACCGGGCGACTCGCAAATTCCATGGTGACATTGGACTGTGGGTTCAGTACATCGAGTATGCGAGGCAACAAAAGTCGTACAGAAAACTTGCCACCGTCTTCACCGACGCCCTTCGATTCCACCCAACCAACGCCGAACTGTGGATATATGCAGCGCAATACAATGTCGAGGATCACGCGGACATGTCGCAGGCGCGAAGCTTCATGCAGCGTGGATTGAGATTCTGCAAGAGCTCGAGGAAGCTCTGGATCAACTACGCCAAGTTGGAATTGATCTACACGGCCAAGCTCATTGCTCGCCAGCGTATCTTAGGCCTCGATCAACCGCTCGAACAGTCCGACCCAACGCAAGATGTCTCCATGGATGACCACGATGCCGACATGATCGCGCTACCCAAGATCACCGGCGAAGACATTAACCCCAGCGAAGGAGAGGCTGACGGGGTGGACCCGCAGGCTTTGGAAACTCTGAACTCGACACCTGCGCTTAGCGGAGCGATCCCCATGGCCATTTTCGACACCGCAATGCGCAACTTCGACAACGACGCCAAGTTCGGTCACGAATTCTACGACATGGCTTTCGAATTCGAAGAGGTGCCATGTCTACCCAAGATTCTGGAACACGCCGTTGCGGCGATGCAAGAATCTAAGCCCACCAGCTATCATACGCAGATTTGCTATATCAAGCTTCCTACTGCCGGCATCCGCGTCACTTCCGCTGAATTCCCACGTGCTCTGGGTACATCCTTGACCCGCCTGAGGGACTATCGGGACCAGCCGAGCATTGCCAGAGAAGTCGTCGACTGGCTGCAACCCTTGGAGAAGACAGAAGGCCTCGACCCATCCTTGCGCATGGTTCTCGCAGCCACCGTTCAGAAGGCGGAGCAGGTACTTCAACAGTAGGACGTTTTACAATTTCGCATCTCATCCACAAGAAAAGGCGTTCACCGGGGGTTACCATCTTATTTCCATTAATGAAGCAAACGCAGAAGATTCAAGTCTTCGTCGGCATAGATCGAGAAAAGTTAGCATCTTAAATCATTCGTCATATTTACTACTACCCCGTCGGCTGCTTTTTTTGCTGCTGTGCAGCTTTTTCGTCTTGATTCTTGCTTCATTTTCAGCCTTTTTTCTGTATGTACAGTACATGGTCAGTTTCGAGTTCCGTAGCCAAGTCTTTTGACGTGTCATAGGGGCAGAGATGAATGACAAGATAGTACGGAGTACACCGAATGCATTCCGGAAAAAGGCACCTACAATTTATGCACGCGATCTCGTTGCTCCGGCGAGGTTTCCCCCGGGATCACCTCCTGTGCGGTACTTTTGAGCAGCTGGTGGAGCTTGTCATAACAGGACTCCACGTTGGCGGCTTGTTTCCGCGACTCCTCGGACTGGATGACCAGGCTCTGGCTACGTTCTGCAAGGTAGCGGGAGGAGCGCAGTGGCGGATGTAAAATGGCCGGCACTAGCGGCAACAGCGATTGCAGCGGTACCTTGAGGGTCGCCTTGGAGTTCACCCTGTGGTAGCCACTTTAGCGATCACGCGTTCGGGGCACCGTAGCGTCGCGGTAGTTCAGGTGGGAAGAGGGAGAAGGTCTAGGAGAGAGGGGGGAACGGACTTGTTTACATTCTGGCCCCCCGGACCACCTGACCGGCTGAAGGAGATTTCACCGATATGACGCGGGATGGCGTTGTTATGGAAGGTCCCCAGCCATTCTCTCGCCGCCGCGAACTCCCCGTCGGCCTCCTTATCCCCATTACTGTTACTGTTGCTATTATTGATAGCAGCAGCGCGTCGGGAAGCAAAGGATCTCACGGCGAAGGTGGGGCCCGAAGAGAAAGGCAGAAGAGGGGGAGGATGGGAGAAGAGCCGCCGGAAACACTGGACCGCCATGGTTTGTAATACGGGGAATTTTTGGTCCTTTATGCTCCCCGGAAATTCGGTCAAATCAAGGGACAATAACCGGAAGGTCAGGAAGTAATGGTACACGGTCTGGTTGTATATACATGCAGTAGTTCCAGGTGACGGACGTGCAATTGGGACATTGAATTAAGGCCGTGATACTAGCCAGTAACAGGCACGGGGATCACCCAAGAAACCCGAACTAGTCGGAACCAAGGACCCGTACGGTCAGGTAAGCCGTAAGGACTAACTGAGGACTCGAGGAGCGTCCTCCTTCTGCCAGGGCCGGTCCTTGGATATGTCGGCTGCCATGCCAGGTTCTTTGCTGCTTCTTTCTGTTTTGGTTTTTTTTTTTTTTTTTTGTCTATCTACGTGGGTCGGAAAAGTCAGTCAGAATGACAGCCATCCACAGGCTACGGAGTAGACATATACATACGGAGTACACAAATAACATAACATAAGATAAAAAATAAAAAACGACGACGGACAGGCTCCGTGGACTACAGTCTATAGGACACACGTGTAGGCCCGACGAGTCGCTCATGGACGGGAAGTGCTCCGACCGCCGACCGTGTTGGAGTCTAGACCTGACCGAGTGAGGAATTTATTCTTAGCTCCGAGCTGGTTTGACTAATAATTCCATCTTTGCAGTTCCATCAGTTCCAGGAGAAAAATCCAGAGCACGCCTTGACCCGCCACTAAGGGTGTTCGGCTGGCCACTCATCGTGCCGCGTCCACCACCTGCCCAGCCCGATCGAGGCAAGCGTGGAAGTTATGTGAAGCTGACTTGCGCAAACTCTGATTTTCTCTCATTTCCACCCTGCAGACCTTTTTCTTCCCTGTCCTCTTTTTGCCTTTGCTTTTTTTTTTTTTTTTTTTTTTTTTTTTTTTTTTTTTTTTTTTTTTTTTTGCTTTTTTTGGTCCATATCCCTCCCTCCCCTTCTGCCTCCCTCGTCATTCTTTTCTGATTTTCTTTTCTCCATCCCATAAATAAATTTTTTAAAAAAATTCCATCTTAAAGCAAACTAACCGCTAATTGTTCCCTATCCACACCTGGGAAAATTGGAGTTCCCACTACTACTGAGTACTCGTCGACTCGATAGGGAAGTCCCCTCTCCCATTTCGGTGTGTTCAGTTCCATGTACTGTACTCGAGTACATGTACAAGTGCAAGTACAAGTTCATACAAGTAAAAAAAAGTAACCACACCCTCACAACGTGACCACCCTCCGAGTCTCCTACCGACAGATTGATTGGGATTATCTCCTCATTTGCATCCTTCCGCTCCTCATCAACCCTTGTGCATCATCCGATAATCCCGATTGACTGAGGTTGTCTCGACGAAGGTCCCGGTCTGCTCTCATCGAGTCATCATTCTTCCTTAGTCTCGTTCCCGCCCGGCTACTAGATCTTTCGACGTCAATCCCCTTTCTTCCCTGGGTTGGATCGGCCATAGCTTCGGGTCTTTTTTTTTTCTCTCTTTCTTCCATTTTTTTTTTTTTTTATTTTCCCTCCTTTCTTATTTTGTTCCTGTCGTCTCGGGGTTGAACCTTTTTTCTTTTCTCTGTTTTTCCCCTGTCTCCGGGTGTCAGTTAGGATTCTTTCCCTCTTCTTCCCTTTCCCTTCATCCCCCCCTCTCTCTTGCTCTCTTGCCCTGGGGTTGGCTCTACGGAATACTTGTATTCCTCACCTTCTCCTTTACCGCCCCGGTACTCCAACGGTCCGGTTCTTTTTCCCAGATAGCCCCACCTTAGCTGTGCCGATTTTGAAATTCTCCATCTCGTGTGGCTCGTTGCGTGTTATTTTTTTTTTCTTTCTTCTTCTTGTTTTGTTTTGTAGATGAATCTATTTCACACCCTTGGTCTACATGACGCCGAGTTCCCCAGATGAAGCTCTTCACTTCCGTGGCAAGACTCTGACTCCCGAGAGCCCCCGCCCGCTTCACATCGCGGAACCGGCCAATATCCCGGTGCTTCAGAATCAAATGGACCCCGTTTTCAACGATACCTCGACCTACGAGACGCCGGAAGCCGCCGTTGACAACTTCGCCTTGGTGCCTCGTCACGATGGAACTTTCCCGGCCCCTCATGCAGGGTCCGCGCATGCAATGGATAACGCGGCTTCCGTGAGGGGCTCGGACCGACCACCACAAATACAAGGTAGCTTACACTCTGGCTCTTCTCAGACGAAGAATGGGACGCGGTCCTTTTCTTCCTTTACGGCCTCGTTTCCCCAGGCGTCACCCGCAGACCATTCTGCTCCTTCCATGGCCACTGCGACTCCAGCGGATGTCTGGACATCCGCAGCAGCAAACTCTTCTCTAACGGCTTTTCATCCATCAGATCCCGCCACCTTAGCTCATCCCGTCCCCGATGTCCCTTCCTCTTCTTCCCACCCTCAGAGCATCCGTACTGCGAACGAGGTAGACCCTGCTGTCGCCAGCTGGACGGCCGCGCCGCCGCATCGCCTAGATACCCAGAACAGACCCGTTGATAATATTGGTGAGGATGGTGTGGACTTCCAGAACCTCCTCGATAATCTCCCCCCTCCCTCTACTGCCGCACCCCCTGCCCATGCGGTGATGGAGACGGCACCCTCGTCTGCCAATGACGCCACTGCAGGCCCTCATGCAGCTTCTGACGAAGCCCTCCAATCTTCCCTGGGTCTTCCTCCCCGTCCCCCGCCCCAGGAGAAGCCCTCGATCCATCCCAATTACTATCCCAACGATGATATACGTTCCTATCATCAACTCCCCCCTAATACCCCCAATACTTCCACCACCTATCCCACCCAGCAAAGTAATTATCAATCCGGCTCGGGAGCCTCTTCGGTGGTTGCTGCTGGAGCCCCAGGAACTTCTTCGGGGGCCAGCGCGTTACCCCCTCCTCCGGTCCCTAGCTTCCAACAATCTCCCACCAATTCGACGGATTCTCAGGAGCCGTTTGCGCCGGGGGCTAAGCACGCCCGTACCGATGGCAAGCAAGGTCGACCGCCTAAAGGCACCGATGAAGACGCTCCATGGGGTCCTGATGTGCAAAAGAAATATGACGAATTTCTTCACAATGAAAGAATATACGTGACGGAAGGCCTCTGGGATCGTTTCCCGTCGGGTTCTAGGCTATTTGTTGGTCAGTACCTACTATCTGTCCCGTCATGTCCCGTTGCTGGTATCGGGCAAGGTATTAACGCGCCAGGCAGGCAATCTACCCACCGAGCGAGTAACCAAGAGGGATCTCTTTCACATATTCCACAAGTACGGGAAACTAGCCCAGATATCGATCAAACAGGCCTACGGTTTCATCCAATTCCTTGATTCTTCGGCCTGTAAGAAAGGGCTCGATGCAGAGCAAGGCGCGGTGATTAGGGGACGGAAAGTCCGTAAGTGTTTCAGCCATTGGGACTACAAAGCGGCATGCTTGTTTACTCACGCAATTCGTTAGATCTTGAAATTTCGAAGCCTCAACGGAACACTCGACCTGGGCCACCCGTGGCAGAATCATCCCGCGCTCCTCCCCCTCGGCGCTCGCGGTCGCCAGAATTCAGTAGAAGTGGACCTCCTCCCGCCAGTCGCAACCCGAGGCCAGCTGGAGACCGCTATGACAGACCTTACGAGCCGGGGAGATTGCCGTTCAGCGATTTCCGTGACGAGCCTACTCATCGACGCCGTGATGATTACCGACCGCCTCGATCGCCCTCGCCCCGTGGTTTCCGAGGCCGCGACGGCTATCGGTCTCGCGACCGGACTCCAGAACGGTTTGATAGGCGGGAGAGACGGCGTTCGCGGTCTCCATTCTCTAGAGAACGCAGGTATCGCAGTCTCAGCCCTCGCGCGCGCTCTTACGATGGGGATGCGGACTTGCCCGTGCCTAGGCGAAACCCAAGAGATGTACCTGAGGTGCAGGTTCTGGTGTTGGAGGAAGTGGATCGGTTGGTTTACCGTCGCCTGTTGGGGTTCTTCTGATGCTAATCCGATGTCTCTAGCAATTTTATCTTTCAGGTCGAAAATGCCTTCCGCAACCGAGGCTTGCGGGTTGACATTCTGGTGCTCGGGCCGCGAATCCCTCTCAACGCCGCGGTGCAGCGACAGATTTCTGAGGGTGTCCTCGCCGTGGTGAGACTTTCGCGTCCCAATCAGTTCTCGCGGAAAATTCCCCTACAGGTGTTCGACCGGAGTGGCGGTGCGGAAAATGTCCGCTTCAATGGTCAGTCCTTCTCATTCTCCCTATATAGGCTCCACGTTTGATTTGCTCACACGTTAGCAGAATACCCTGATGTCGAACCAAGCATTGCCGCCGAAATTGTGTTCCACGCACAGTCAGTGCAGCGTGGCGCTCCTCCAACTCCCTTTCCTCCTACTATTCCTTTCGCATTACCACCCATGCCTCCTGCGCCGATCCCACAAGCCCCAATGCCGGCGCTCTCCAACCCGCCCAACATTGCAAACATGATCACCTCTTTGGACGGTCCCACTTTGCAGTCGCTTCTGGGTGCGCTTCAGCAGCGACCGCCAGCCGTCCCCACTGCGCAGCAACCGCCATTCCCAGCTGCAGGCAGTCCTCAAACCCCCGCGGACCTTGCCAGTCTTCTCAGCGCTGCCACTCGTCAGCCCGTAGCGGCTGGTCCGCAGCAACCTCTCCCCCCTCAGCCATTCCCCATCCAAACCCCCAACGCACCGGTGGTGTCAGACCCCAATCTGCTCTCACTATTGACCAAGGGCCTCGGGGGGCAGCAACACCAGAATCAGGCCTCCGTCGCGCCCCATGTACAAAACATCATGAACCAACTGGGCAAGTGGAAGCAATGATTTTATGACTCTTTTTTTTTTTTTTTCCCATCTATCTATTTATCTCCCTTTCCTATGTCACCTTTCTCATCTTCTGTGGGTTCCAGTCATTTGCACAGTATTGCGGTGTTGGGCGTTTGATTTACGGGTCGAATTCTCTCAGGGCGTGGTTTTGGGCCATCGGGAAATGGTAATGATGGCTATTTGGGTTTGCTTTGCTTTTTTTTTATTCAATTTAACCATCGGTTGAGCGAGCGAGTATCTGCAACAGGGGTCTCATGGTTTTTTCACTTCCTAGGAATCTTTGACACACCTGCACAATAGATATTCAGGGGATTATCATGGTTTGCATTGCGGTTCATTACAAGTCCTTTGCGATTCATCAGGCGCGTAACGGTTAGCGGAGCAAATGGCGAAGACAATTAATTATAATACTTGATCCGGACTGTAGTATTCTTTGAAGCGTAGTGTAGAGCCGCTTAGTTTCATTATGAATGGAGTGTGATATTGTACAGGAACCTGTCCGGTCTATCGTAACAACCTTTTTTTCGTTCTTTCTTTCCACTCTTCCCCTTCTCTTATATTTTCAGCCCTATTCATCTCGATGCCCGGCCCTGCGATTTCAGATCTTGGACCTTGGCCGCATCCTCTTGCTTGATCCGCTCGATGGTCTTATCGCGGTTATATTCCATCACGCGCTTCTCCTTGAAGTACTTGACCTATTCGAACAGTGTGTCAGTAAATTCCATAACATGTGCTCCATATATAACGGATTGTAAACGCAATGAGAAGATAGTATAGGGATTAATAGCCAGTTTGAACCCCGCAGGGCCAACAATAAAGGAGTTGCACTTACCCACGTCTGGGAACAGGCCGTCTCGAATTCTGCGATTTCCTTGCCACATTTGCGACGCGCTTCTTTATCATCCTTGATGGCATCTATGATATTGTTGTCGTCGAGACAGGTGAAGAAGAGGTCACGACCTTCCCAGCAGCGCTTCCGCGACGACCGGTCCGGAGCTATGCGGCCGCCGTCGGAGGCAGTTTTGGACTCGGAGGAGTTGGAGGACCAAGGCAGCCAACCCATTATGAGCGATTTCGACGAAGAGGACGACACGAGGGGGAGAAATCCGGCAGAGGTGAGAGAAGGCGCGAGACGGAGGTGCAGCAGCTCCGCGGTGTTCGGCGGTCATGCATTTCTTGGCGGCGGTGCTTTTCCAGTGGCGCTAAACCACTTCGTCTTTCCTTGCTTGGCCTTTCTCCATCGCTTTCTACCTCCGACTTGCTCGCTTTCATCCATTCCGTCATTCCTCGAATCCGGTCGCTGAGTTCCCTGTCTTGCAACTTGGCTTCTATATACCGCGTCTTTCCCGGTCATTCGCTCTTGTCCGACTCGAGCCCTCCAGGGTAGGGGTGAACTCTCCCAACCTCCGCGGAGCTTCGAAGCCCACTCACCACCGGTCTCTTTCTCGCGCTCCACCCCCTCCAGCGCACCCTACCTAGATCCCCTCGACTCGATCCCACGTCGGGTCCATACAATAGTTCATGCCCCCGCGCCGACGTCCTCCTCCGGCGGGGGCCCGAACTGAGCTTCCGCCGCTGAAGATCGTGCGAAAGATTCTCCTACTCCAGCTGGCCTATTATGCTTCCGCAGCTGCCTTGATTCTCTTCACGACTCTGGTATACGGTACGGCGTTCTCGCTGAACCTCGTCTTCAGCTGGGATGCATTGCGAGGAGACACCACGCTAGGATGGGTGCTCGGGCTAGTATGGATGCTGAATAGCGGAATTGGGTGAGTTGTTCCGTTGCTACCTTCGTTATGGTTGGCCAGGCGAGCGCAAGCTAACATCTAACCTCACGCGCAGGGCCATTTTCCTCCTCGTTCTCGTCGCTCGCTCCAAGCTTATCCCCGATTTCTCTCTCACCCTGCACTTCTTACACCTCATCGCGACCACCCTCTACACGCACTCGCTCCCCGGCAACTGGCTTTGGTGGGGTCTCCAGTGCGCCAGCGCGGCCCTGATGACCTTCGTGGGCATGTGGGCTTGTCAGTGGCGGGAGCTCAGACCCATCACTTTCGGTGGAAACTCAGGACAAGCCGCCGGTAACGGGACCTCCGGGTCTCAGGCCACCGAAGGGAGCTCGTCTCGAGGACGTAGCCAGGGTGGTGATGAGTACGAAATGGCGGAGATGAAGGGCGCGGGCGATCAGAACGTATAGCCTCGTTCCATCTCTCTCTTTTTGTCTGTTTTATTTATTCTCTACTTGCCGATGACCTGCATGTGCATTTATATTTGCATCAGCTTCATGTATACCCTAGCTGTATTGGTCTTTATATAGATGGCGTTGTTTTTCTCTTTCTTTTTTTCTTCTTTTCGTGACGACGTCCTTTTTTCGTTCTGTCTTCTCCGATTTTGGGAAATTTATGTTTTTTCAAACTCAATGTTTTTACTATCTCTTTTATCATTATATACATGCGGGTACATGGAATATATGTTGATAATACCGATCAAATTTAGATATATATCAACTGCAATGAAAACTTCCAATCCAACAATTGTACATCTATCTAGATCTAGAATGCCTCTCCTACCAAGACAGTGATTAGGGCTGAGCTGTCCATCTACTTCACTCACCACGCAAACATGATCCATCCTGGAAACCTCCCGTAAAAAATCCCCATCACAGCCTACCCATTCACAACATCTAGATCTGACATCGTTTCTTGCGAATCCATCAGGCGAGTGCCCACCATCAGTGAAGACCTATATTCACAGATCCCAGCCTGAGATTGGGTATATAGAATCCCCCCCGGTCCTCTCCAATCCAAGTCTTGTAAATATTTTCCTACCTCCTATCTTCTTTGTAGAAGGTCATAAAACAGAATGGATTGCTTTATATATGTTTTTTCTATGCTTATTCCTTGTCTACTTGCTCAGGTGCAGCTCTGCTTGTACATATCTTGCCAGCATGATATGCAGATATTAAGATTTTCAAGGCACACAACACGCCCACTGTACGCGCAATAGAAATGCCTTCGCCTAGACTGTTCTGTTCACCGTTAGCTCCTTTCTCGGCATCCCAGCATGACAACCAAAATTACAAGCAAAACAGTACTCTGGAAAAGACGAAGCGTGTGCCCATGGGAAACAACGCACGCAGCATGAACAAAAGAATGAACCCTTATCATATGCCTGCCTGTTCAACTACAGCCCGTTTCACGAAATGGGAACCAAATGATAATCATGAAGAAGTAGTTTCCCCAAGACGCACAACACGCGCAGCATGGAAAACATGCAGTATGGAAAAAAGAATGAAACGACACCGGTTGTCATGTCGTCTGCTGCCCGTTTCGAGGCGGCTCTTGGCCCCGCCCTAGGGTTACAATTCAAAGGAGAAGAGCCACAATCTTGAATCATCGAGTTCCTCATGTCCACTTTTCCCATACGGTCCTGTGCGCCCTTTTGAAGAGCCTGGAAGCATTGTTCGGGGCATCTAGACCCTTGAAGCATCTCCCTCTACAAATACGGCCTTGTTTGAGGGCTCCGGTGCTCTTTAATTGGCACCGCAAGATGGATCATACAAATTCTGTGAACCCATGTCAAGGACTCTCATCGGCCTTCTTTTCGTGACATCTACACTGTCATTGAAGCGAAGAAGGCCTCAAATTCCCCCAAAAGCCAAGTGCAGGCATTACTCGACTGAAAGACCGGGAATTGGTCATGTCCAAGCAACTATAAAACGCGTTGGACTCCAATTGAAAATCAGCTCCGAGCAGACGCACAAGCCGCGAGGGTATTCGGGGAAGGGGACGAAATCTGGCTGCTCCCTAGTCAGCAGAACGCGAAATTCCTAGACAACTAATCTTCCCCTCTGATGTTGTTTACTATCATTGTGAGGATACCGAATGTATTCAAGAACATCTGGCCCAGGTTCTTTGCATCGGAAAAAATCATACATCCTCTATTTCAGCGGTGCAGCCATAACGACCGCGTTCACAGAGATATCTGGCACGGGTACTTTTCTCACTCGCACATGACTCGAAAAATCAGCGATATGCGACATTATCAGGTTTACGAAGCGCTCATGAACACGAAAGGCTACTCATAGCCCAGGACAGACATGATATATTCCTCGTGATTGCCTCATACGACGACGACTATGTTCGTTATGACTCTATTCGACAAAAATGAACGATAGAAGAAAGAACTAGGCCATGCGACTGGACTGACAAAGGATTAATATAACGGGATTATGGACGCCCAACGCTGCCATAATCAATAGGACTGAAAAGGCTGTTGGTTACTCCGAGCAATGGCTATTGTAGTCATGATCAATCCGTCCACCCATTGCCCAAACTTCGCAATATACCAGCAGAACAAACCAACTGCCGGTTCAGACCAGCTCTACTGAGATGCTTCGACTGATCAAGGTAGTCGCAAACATGAGAGTACTACAGCATTTTGAATTCCACATGCAGCAAATCCTTTTTAGGCAGAGACGACTCATGGTCGTTCTCCGAGACTCGGAAACACCAAACAAACTATCCACCCATCAGAGGATCGAAAGGATAATCTTAATATAAGACCTGCAAAATACCGCAAAGCAGTTGAAGAGAAAAGACTACCTGTTTACGCCTACAATCAGTCTACTCTCGCCGAGCCGAATTCTGACAACTACGCCGACCTAGCCGCCCTTTGTGATGAGGACATCTAGTAGATAGGTTCACCCAATGATTTTTTTCGGTTCATTTCACGGTTGCAAATCGATTTTTGGAATCAAGACGATACGAATTTCCTTTGTTTTTTTCCCCATCATTCCCCGACTGAGGACTTTTCTCTTCTCTCTTTGATTATGACCAATGAATTCAGTTTATATCTAAAAGTTATTGCAATTCATGAGCTCCGAGTCTTCTTTTTGAGAGAACTTCCTCCGTTTAACGCTCTATGAATACGATTCCGTTTAGGACGATCTAACTCTGCAAACCTCCCATATCGAAAGCGCACTAGAGCTAATCGGCCACACATGCCACAGTTGAAGCTGCGACGTTCGACACTGCCACTCACAGCTTACCTCTAGAGAATTGAATGGCGGTCCCCCTTATTACCGTCCCGCAGATACGAGCAGCACTGCCTGGTGGTGGAGCAAATATGAGCTCAATGACTTCAACTTCATGGATCGCGAATAATGGGTCGGTTGTCGAAAAACGGCATTTCAGATGGTTTATGCGTACTCGATGCCGCAAAATTCATGTTGAATTACATCCACCCCGAAGAATTGATGTGTTAGTCATTTCCTATACTCGACATTCGAATGCCACTGGGGCAAGAACAGTCCAGCGCCGATGGGATACACTGATATCGTGCCATAGGGCACGATATCACGAGTTTAACCGAGTGTATACCCACCGGTTGCAAACGGGATCAAGGCTCGAATCGAGGTTTGGATCCCCTAGTGTATCTATTCCATTCTTACTGCTATTGGCTCAAACGAAAGTGTTGAGAGCCACCTCCGCCACCCATTAACCTGCTACAGGAAGCGCTTTCCTCTGCTTGCAGCTTTAGATTAGAGTGAGAAAGAACGTATTCTTCCGAATCATATCGCCCAACAAGCTGAAGTCATGGGCAACAGAAGGTTTTGGTTCTGAGGAATGGTGCAAAACGGTCCTTCCACAACACCACCAGCCTCAAGGATTCCGCTTACAACGGCTTTCTTGACACGAATCGTCCTACAGACTATCCATCACACTAAATAGCGTCCTCTCATATGTTGGTGATGTGCAACGCACGTTGCACATCACCAACAAGTTATAAGCCCTCTACTCGACCAATTTCATCGAGAATAGACTCGTTTTTATCGCTGTGTATCCGAGGTGGTCCTTCGTTAAATGTCTTCACTTTATTTCATCAATTTTCATCGAAAAAATAACGTTTTAGCCGTGGATCGTTGACCCGCCAGGCTCATAAGTGCGTTACACATCACCAACATCATCCACTCCGACGCGCTAGGAAGCAATGTTTCCTCCGAGACGCCACGGGGCTCAACTACGCGAGTGGTGGGCGACCCCTACGATCAACGCTATGGGGAACAGCCATTCAACCCGCAACAACAGCCTCTGGGTGGATACGTTATGCGAATCTGCTCAGAAAATTGTGATAGAACAGGTCTAGTATAATCCAACTCAGTCTCAGCAAGGCGCCAACCTTCTGGACGCCTATGCTCGAGTATGATATCACCAAACCAACGACATATCCACCAATTTGACCCCTTCGCGGACCAAGTACTGACAGAAAGTGAGAAACTAGTCCACAGTGGGTCCAAATACGGACCGGATAGTTTCCAAGTGAAGGTTGAAAAGCCCTACAATTGCGATTTCCCTGGTCCTGTCCAGCATCCATCTCCGAAATGCCCGTATTCCATGCAATAAGATCGATGGAGGAGTCAGAAGCCTGCGTTTGAAAACTCGATACACGCGTAACTGAAGACATTGACGCCCTTTCCAAGGCCTGCAACTATCTCCAAGGAACCCTGTCTGCATCCCGTCAGGGTCGTTAATCTTCTGGAACTCAGCACTGTAAAGAACACCGTCGCGAGACAAAATGCAAGATAGCTACCTCATTGTTGATTTTGTGACAAATGGAGGCGTTGGGTTTGGTCGGCACTTTAACTTTTCGTTTCCGAAAATCCGGCTGCATAGGGACGTCACCTATGCGCATACATGTCGACTTTAACGAGGACAGGAAACTCCCGCTGTTCGCTCACCCCCAAAGTTGGGGAGCACGGCACATTATAAAACGGCTTTTTTCATCGCAATCCCTGCCAACGTGACTCGCCTATACAGGCACCGCTTCGCCGCCGATGGCTTCTTTATCTCGAGAAACGCCAGATTCTATTCTTCGATGAGTATGGCGGCGTGGAGAACTGGAAAAACCATCGCAGAGACCTTATCCTTGCCTATGGCGAACGCGTCCATCCAGGAGCAGTTTGACACAGAATGGGCAGAGTGGGCAGAATGGGTCTTCTTTCTATAAGAGATACTAGTTTTAAAATTGACCTGTTGAACTAGGAGATACTCCCAGTGACGCTTAAAGCTGATAATCAAGCATTATGGCCAAAGACTTCCTCCCAAGGAAGAGCGAAGACGAGTCTATCTATCTTCAATGACCCTAGGTCATCTGCGGAGAAAATTAGGGCAACATGCAAGAAATGGCGGCGATCGATCGTCATCTTCGAGTGATCATCATGTGCGATGATATTGAAGAAACCATACCTCCGTCTAACGCAAACAAAGTGGTAATACGATATGGCCAGCGATCGCACTTGAGGTCGGCTACACAAAATCCCCAGCTTCCCGTCTCGTCGCCTCTCCTCCTGCGACAATGGACAAAGGGTCGAGTGATAACGTTGCGAAGGTAACAAGTGATCTTCAAGGTTTTACGATTGATGGCTCATATTTTTGGTAAAGAAAGTGACATGTTGCTGGGCATACGGACCTTCTGGCAGTATTTAATCTGTCTTATAATACCTGCTGGCTTCGGATCCGTGCTTTGCCGCTCAAAGTCTTTCTGTTCCTGGAGCGCGAGCTCCGTGCCCTCCTTGCGGCCTGGCAAGCCGACCACCCATCTGAAGAGACAGTGTCGTGAGGTGAAAGATGCGAGAGCGTTGCTGAGATTCGCTTCTGCAACTTCGAACACCCTCTACGTGAGCCTTTCAACGTCTCTGGTTATTCGGTTTTCTAATATAACCAGGGCGCTCCTCACCATCCTCCTGTTCGCAAGCGCAAAAGTCCGAAGTCGAAATTCGAGGATCTCAAGCAGGGTGCCGAGTTGCTTCTACGAGGATCCGAGAGTCAGATCGAAACAGTGATTCCTAACTTTAAACAACATGGCTTACAATACATGGCTCAAGATTCCGCTAGCTTGTAATCGCTCGTTTTCCCATTTTTGGGAGATAGATATATCCCTGGTCATATCTCCTCTGAAAGAATAGGGGTTTTAGCCGCGATTGCCTCTAAAAAGAGCGTGGCTTCTCGCAAGAAAGGAAAGCGCTCTGCACGCTCCTAATCAGCGAGAAAGACAGATCTGTTGGAAATGCGAGCATCATCATATCAATTTCTACGATTGTGATATAGAAGCAATCATGGGGGGATATGTGTTGAGTTTCATTACAGAGGATAGAGACCCGAACTATCTGCGCTTTTATGTGGGACAATCCAGCAACCCTGCATATCGCATCAGAGCGCTTATCCATGCGATCACAAACTCATCATAAGATACATTACACTATGATGTTGTCTTGCTGCGGCGTTGTGTGATCAACATCGGATGGGAGAAGCACCCTGGTGAGTCGAATTGTTTCCTCGATCGTCTTGACTGTCAATAGATTTATTCGGCTAACAGTTGGTTCTTCCTCTAGCCTCCTCCGTTGAGCCCAACCCCCATTCCCTCCAGGTCGGACGTTCGTAAGCGTCCCTTGCCCGGCAGCGCGTCCAAAGACCTTTTGAAGAGACCGAAGATTTATCCTGGCTCCCCGAACGAGGGCGAAGCGGATGCAACCGTCACCAGTCGTTTGACCGAGTACAACCAGCAGCTTGACAGCAAAGAATCCATGAAGAAGGACATGCATATCCGATAACTCATTGCCTAGAAGCAGAAAATATTATGCATATCTTCCGAGAGAAAGGTATATTTGATAATCTTGTTGGTGATGTGCAACGCACGAGCCCGGGTTTGACGCGACGGCATTCAAGAAAGAACTGTATTCAACCCACAGTGGGCAGTCAACCACCTGGCGAAGCTCAGCGATCATGCCCTTAAACTTCTGCACAAAGGTGCGATGATTCATGGAATCGGCGTACACCAAGCTCGAGAGTTTGGAGACATTGTGGCGACAGGATTGTGAGGTGTGACGCTGATAATTTGTCGCAGGCGGAGGATGCTAAATCGACCTCGGGATACGTCTTCAAACTTGCTGGCGCTCCAATTTCGTGGTCTTCAAAGCGGCAGACCTCAGTATCACTGTCATCTACTGAATCTGAATACATTGCGCAAGCCTACGCCACCCAAGAGCTTATATGGATCCAGCTACTGCTTACTAAACTCGATATTCAGCGCTTCGATCCCACAAAAGTCTTTCTTCCAACTCCTACTACCATTCAAGCCAACAATCAAGGTGCTATCGCGTTGGCAAAGAGCCCGGGCTCATAGCCACGTTGCACATCACCAACAGATCTCACTGGCGAGAAAAAGGTGCCGCGGCTCTTGATATTCTGTGAGTATCCGCTAACGGTATGATTTCTAGAAATACTTTTAGACTCGTGGTTGACTCCGACTATTACAATTAAGTCAACTGCAAATAACTCGCAGCGGAAGAAAACAACTCGGGCCTTTATAAGCGAGGGTTCAGAAATTGCCTGTGCTGGCTGCGCCTCGAAGTCTCCGTTCTCGGAGTGTATCGTTGTCCCTGCCTTTGGGGTGCATGCAGTCCACAGAATGGCTTATGGCAATTGTTTATGGGACTCTCACGGAAGCAAATGCTCCCACCGGGCGGCGAAGGTTAGGAGAATACATTCCATGCGTAAGTCTCCTTTCTACTGGGTTTATATTCATTTATTGACATATAGCTACAGGAGTGTGTTCGAGCAGGACGGTCTCTTGAACGCGTTGAAGAAGAATCCTTAAGCCTAGAGTCGCGCTACGATGGGGGGAGGCTAATACAAACATTGCCTTCAATTTTGTTACAACTTTGGCCATGGCCAAGGAAATAGGGAACATTGCAAATAAAGGTATAACGTGGGAAAAATTCAAGGGGGCCGTCAACCGCTCATAATCCTTCAGTGATGTCGGAGAAACTGACAACAGCCGGTCCAGGTCACTGTCGGATTGTCTTAGAGCGTCATTTAATCTGTATCAACAGTTGTTCCGCAGACTTAAAAACTGCCTTAAAGCTTTTGGGTTTATCACTTGACAGCCTTTCAAAGTGACGCTGGGTTATTCTTTAACAATCGAGTACCCGATTTTGAGATCATTAAATTCTGTTGTCATATATATTTCCGAAAGGATTCATATTATCTAGAGAATATTTGTTCAAGTAGTAGTTATAAGGGGTCCATGCGGATACCTACTGAAGTGGGTGTCAATGGGCAGCAGGAAACTACATGTGCGGCTTCCATGGCTGGCAACTCGTGAGTTCCAAGGTCTTCCTTTTGAATCTTTATTACATGCGTACTAATTTTCAATTTCCAATAGTATACAGTACATATATGCCCCAGCGTTAATGTAAATGCTCTTTTTCGTCCTCTTTCGGAATGCGCACGAAGATTGCACAAATCATCCCGCCAACAATGCTGCAAGCAAGACTGAACCACCATATCGAACGCATGGCATGAAGATCCAGATTGTATCCCTCCCCGCTAGACACTTTCTCTCCTATCGAGTCTCCCACGGCCGCGAAAACAGCCGAGGAGATGCTCTGAGCTGCAATCAACAGGCCACCCGCGGCTCCTTGAAAAGTATTCGGGACGCGAGAGGTGATGAACACGGAGATAGCGGCGAAAGACATGTCCGGCCCGAAGGTGGCTATCAGCAAACAAGGGAAGGAAAAAGCCCAGTATATCGTGTTGGGAGTCTGCGGTAAGAAAAAAGCGGGTCCACATGCGAATGCCAACATACTACCCACCAACACATAGTGTCCTGGTACTTTATGTAGTGTCCGAGAGACGACCCAGCTGGCGACCACGCCCGAGACAGTCATCGGAATCAAGCAGCAAGCTGCGATAATGGGTTGTTTGTGCTGTTCCGTCAGGAGGAAACGTACAGCATACAACAACCAGGCTCCCGTAAACGCACCATATCCGAGGAAATAACTGAGCATGAGTGGAACAAACCCTTTGGTAGTCCACAGACGGTTGTCAATCAGAGGCCTTCGGACATGATTCTCGACGAAGGAAAAGGCGACCAGAAGGAGAAAGCCGACGATTATCGTCGCGTAGCTATATGGTGCCCATTGAGAGGGAACACCTTGCGTTAAACCGAATATGAGAAGCCCGCAGCCCGCTACAAGCACAATCGATCCGTATATGTCGAAGTCTTTAAATGACGTTTCACTCTGCTTGGGATCTCGGCTCTTTTGTAGAGAAGGTATACACCATAGAGCTGCAATTGTGCACATGGCAGATAGAATTGCAGTTGAACCAAAGATCCACTGCAAATGTGCATTAAAAGCACCTCCTTGAAGCGCACCGATACCAAACCCAAGGGGTATCATTGCTCCCATCGCCGAGAATACTCGGTTTTTTCGAAGCCCAGGCCGATAGATCCGACCTAGTAAGCTCATCGCCGTGGAACAGAGAACTCCAATAGCAATGCCGATCATAGCGCGCACAACGAAAAATAGTACAGCCCTGCCTGGGTGGATAGAAAAAGACCCAACGATATTCCAGATGGTCAACCAGACGAAAGAACCAACCATCAGCCATTTGGGATCCCAGAGATCTGCCAATGAGCCTGATACTATGACGGAAATGCCAAGTGCCTCAAGAAATGATCATATGAACCAGGGAGACAGTGTTCCACTGATCTGTAGTGTCTCAACCAGTGTTATTTGCACAACAAACATGTTTGCCAAACAAATGGCAAATAGGAGTTGGCCCATTGTACACAGGACAATGAAGACTATCTCGGCAAAATGCGAAGGGAATTGAGGAGGCAGGCCTTGCATGGCCATGGGAGTAGCGGCGCCTTGAGCATCGTTTCGATTATCGTTTTGGGGATCTTGCGATGGCACCGGTGCCTCTGGTGTTGGCTGAGATTCAAGCTGCATAGCGTTTCCTGTTGATGGACAGCGCTCGAGGTCGCCGCGTTCCATCCTGTATGTTTGAGGAACAACAAGTCGAGGATCAGGTTTTATTGGACCAATGCGGTGTACAGTTCGAAAATCCAGATCACAGTCTGAAATACATACCTAGTTGGAGATGATCGTTTGCCTCCTGCAGGGTTGATTGGTAAGCATCTAGGGCTCGTTGGAGGAATCCAAAGTATTTGCCGTAATAGGTAACCCCCAAACTATGCAAAGTTGTATCTGCATCCCTGGCAACCTGTGGGTACGGGGGGGGATTTCTGATCGAATAATGAGATTGCCTCTCTTGATACATGGTTAATCTTTGTGGAATTTGCGTCATAGTAAGTCTGCACGTGGGACCATCGGTGACTTTTCAACCCCAAGTCTACAGTTGGAGAAACACGTAATTTTGGGGAAGTGTCCCGTTCGGGCAGTATACTCCATTCCGCTCATTTTATGACGATCCTGAAGCCTTTGAGATTGCATAAATATCGGCTTCTTTATCGTGTAGTTAGAAGAATTAGGACCTTCATCCATTTGAATATGATCATATAAAATCGGTTGAATAATCACTTCTTCGGTAGACCCACATATTTCTGCCACAGCAACTATCTACAATAGGAATCAAATTATTTAATAAGAGTATAATATTTATGTATTTGTCTGTGACTGGAGCCTGATATGCATACCAATTCACTGGTTTCCAGGGTTTGCAGTTACCAGGGAAGGAGAATTATGAATACTTCGGTTTTTTGAGGAACATAGATCCTAGTAATATTAGGCAGCAGTTGTTGACTTTACCACTGCACTACAAGCCCAAAATGGCACAATGAATGACCAACATGTCATTCAGTCAACGTACTATATACCAGCCGAGTCAGGATCTGGGGTCCTCTTTTAGACAGACTCTGTCCTCTTCCTGTGACAGCCCATGTTTGGGAGGGCGAAAAAGGTCTTAGCGGGAGGTCTTTTTTTGCAAAAAGGGTATTGATACTGTGCGAGCAAATTGAGAATAGAAACGAAACCAGACCTCTATCCGATCCCGCCGCAAGACAGACTATCTGTCTCGTAAAGGACTTTCTTTGTATCAGTGTGGTAGATGCATGCAAATTCTTTTATCCATGACCCATTAAGCGTGATCACCAAACCCGACTGTCAGTTGCCAGCCACGGCGGCCAAAAAAGGCTTTGATGTTGCGATTGTGGTGATTATGAACAGTGTCCCATACGTACGAGGATTCCATCTTTCATGTGGCGGCGCATTGGCAAAGTAGATTTCTTGGTTATTGAATAATATGCCTTGTGATGATACGAACGTGAATCTTAGGGTTTTCGTCAAATTAATTTATTCACTTTGCCCTAATTAACGTAGGATTTACAACCAGATCTCGAACCAAACTAAGTCTTAATCAGTTGCAAAGTTTATCCTGAGACCGCGATCCTTACCCTTGGATCCCATCTATCGTCTATCAATAGAACGATAACAAGCTCCATGCGATGTTTCTCGAAGAAACAAAACCGAAGGCGGATGACGATGCAGGAGCAACTATCATTGTTCTAAACGAACATAAGAAAGAGCAATATCTGTCCTAGTCAGACGTGGGCTGGCCCGAGGACATACCCTACGCTTCCGTCGCTGCCACGATTAAGAAATCGACGTTTTTCGCGTTTCCGAAGATCATTTGATATTTTTGGGTGGTGAAGGAACTATGCATATTCACCATGAAGTTGGATTACCAGCTTCACCAGCGTCATCAACGCTATCAGGAATATTCCCGCTCCCGCTACAAGAATGCCCACTGTTGCATTTCTCAGAGACTGCTTGAACCATCTTATCCCCCTTATGGACTACCATCACGCCACATTACGCCATGATGCCATGAGCCATCAACAGTGGATACTAGAAGAATTATTGAGCGTTACCCATTACGCTGAAATTCTTTGATTAGGGCTGCAAATGTGCTCAGATCCGGGGGAGACCACACCCTCTCAGTCAAACACTCCTTCGATCAAGGATAGAATACAAAGCAATTAGGGAGTGGAGCGAAGTCTGATCTCAAGGCTCCAATATCTGTTCCGTTGCCTGAATATAGGGATCGCATGGGATTCTTTTCTTCGAACATATGTCCGAAAAGAAGTGCCCGCATCGCATTTATCGCATTTATTCTCATACAAACAAATCCAGGGACCCATGGACGCTATCTTTGGGGGAAAAATCACCTCCAGAGCACTTTCCCGCAATAATCGGATTGGTAGTTGTCTTTAAACCCCTCGAACAATCACCAAGGTCCATGAAATTGAATGTCTTTTGATTACCAGGACCGTACGAATTCGAAAGAAGAAAAAAGCGTCATTGTCACAGGAAGCCCTTACTGGTATCAAGGAATTTTCCGATTCGGGAATAATGATCATTATTCCGGATCTGGTGCGAGACCGTCGCTGCCAATGCTTCTCAAATGGACAGAGCAAGAGGTCCGAGGCTTTAAAGTCCGGATAATCGATCCCAGCGAGCTGACAGCAGGCACGACTACCCTGACGAGCCCGAATACTGCAGTCATAATGGCAAATCATTATCCACCGATGAATCAGGGAACAGGCCGTCCCGCCGAAGAGGGATCGACTATCAGGCCCGATGGCGAGTCCATTGATCCCTGGATATGAGGCGCTGAGAAACTCTCGCAAGGCCATCCGGGACTATATATTGACGGTCGTGATTTGCCTAGACAAGCTAACCAAGGTGATGGATACGGCAACCGACTGATGACGACGTTCTCGAACAAATGAAAGATCTTGCAAACCCGCTATTACCGCCAGAACAGACCAAACTATGCGATCATTGGATCGCCAGAATCCTAACCGGCGATGTTTCCATTTCATTTACGAAACATAAAAAGTAGCCGTTTGATTTTGATTCTAATGGCCATGTACGGAAAATCAGAAGGCCAATCGGTCGCCTGGTTCATCCCCGCCGTGGCTGGTGCTTATCGGCTATTTTGTGCTCTATTGAAAGATATGATCTACAACTAAGCTTTTCTTCTTCCCGAATTCGCGTCTATCCGGGCAAGGCGAAGGTGATATGGGACATCAACAAATATACGGTTAAAGTGAAGACTCCAGATAATGCTCTGCCGTTGGAGTTTGTCGAGTCGAAAACGAAGCAAAAGGACGGCCATAGGGCTGTAAAAGCCTCGGATGCCAGCAAGAAACGAAAACGGAAGCGACTCGCAGTCGAGACCGATTTAGCCAGAAACCTACAAACGCAATAATTGGGCCTCGAGTCTCTAGATCAGCCGACTGGTAAGCGCCCTTTCTTCCCTATAACGCCATTTGCTCAAGTTTGCCTCGCTAATTGACATACAGCACCGCCTTTGTACATATTGAAACAATTCCTCAAGCGACATACTCATTTGATCCAGACATGGTAGTGTTCATCTGACTATCGTGTATTGTTTTCATTATCATCTCTGGATGACTCTCAAAATCTTCAGGTCGTGGAATATCACTACCTTGGACCGATTCAACGTTTTCTGTTGGTAATACAGGTGCTCCAGGAGTGCGTTCGTTAGAGCAATACCGTGATGGGATAGATAGCCAGCTCGAAAACACCACATTTGGAATGGACTACAGTGGGCCCCTGGCAAGAACCAGGCGACAAGGTTCAAAAGTTATGGGACAAAAATACGGTCCAAATCATACTAAAGGATCTACCAAGCACTTGCATACGCAGCCAGTTCCTTTCCTACAACGGCTAAGAACCTTTCTTGTCTCAGATAGAGCACCATTCGATTGACCGCGCCCATAAAGAGGTGCAAGAAGGCCAGACCAGAGACGTATTGGCGCGGACAACATTTGCTCTAGTGGATATCGTTATTTAAAGACACTATACAGGGCCGTGGTAAGCAGCACAGCGGCCCCCACTTTCTCGCCGTATCGGCCGCGAGAGGGAGGGGGACTCTCTCTTTTTTCAACCAGGCTAATAAAAGGAGAAATATGGGTACTCGTGAAAGAGAGATCGAAATCAACAAGGAATCAATGCTAGCCTGCAACTTTATCTCCCGCGTCCGAAGTACCTCAGCTATCGGCAAGAACACAGATCGAATTGACATTGAAAGAAAGCTTCAACAAGGTTATGAAGTCTTGTGAGCTTTGAGAGAACTCTCCATTGATCGAGCATCGAAGACATACAACTGGTTGCTCGGGATTCCCCGACAGCCTAGTCTAGATAAGCCAGCCACTCGATCCCGAGAAAATCGGTAAGAACAGCGTCTGTCGCTGGGCCAGTGCCCCGTGTTGAAATGACCGGGGACATACACGGACGATTATGGTAGCCGCGAGAGTGCAGACTCTACTGTTTTCATCTTGACAAGAAATCTATCATTCTTGGACTCAGAGCACAGCAATATATTGGATCTGACTTGGACAGTTACTTGAGAAAAAGTATGTTAATACTGATTTATTAAGGTTACATTCAAAGCCACCATCATCAGTTAATCACCACCGCCATGCAGTCCGCTGGCATCGTCAAAGTTACATCAGAAATCGCAGTTATGTCCCTTTTACGCTCCCCAGAAGCAACAGAAAACGCTTTGCTCAGTTGATAGAAGCCATGAGAACAAGGCGTGCTCACGACGAGCAGACGACTTCAAACCAGAGCTACATGGATGTCAGATAACCGTGCCTCCTTGAATATTTCCCCCTTAATTGGAGCGCTTCGTGCGCAGCGTGGGCCGGCATAGAGCTACTGTCAGTTAATCCCGGACATTGCAAGCCACCGTTACAAGGACCGCGATAAGTTTAGGGAAACTGAAGTCGTTCGACCAAGACCTGAAGGGGCTCACATCCAATTTCCTTTATAGCCCCGTACCCTTGGTAGCGCGACTACTAACCCGGTGAAAGCTCCCGCCAAACGCACCCGCGAGGCAAGTGTTTCCTCCGGAGACGTTTCTGCTAAGAAGCCACGAGGACCGAAGGCAGCTAGTGCTGTTTCTCCTTCTCCTCTGGGAAAGGGTCAGCTTCGCGATGATAGAAAAGGAACTTCAGGCAAAGAAGGACAAGTGCAAGTCTCAGGCCACCGGCAAGGCTGGATAAGCACTGTACACACCATGTCCGACTAACAGTCAATTATTCTGTTTATGCTACTACTATATGTTCTTACAATGTCTGGTACAAGTGGCAAAATACCTAGATGAGTACAGATGCAGGTAGGGGTGCCGGTATGGGTGCAAGTGTCGGTACGAATATAAATCTACTTGTACCCACAAAAGAGCCACCTTCGTCAAACGTGTTGACTGCGCCTTGCAGTATCTCCCGTCATCCTGGGGGAAAATATCGCCGACGTCAATACCTGCAGCGTGAGGGAATGCTTCTTCTTCCTGGGGGCCCGAATGAACCGTGTTGATTGGAAATACCACGGGACGAAAGGATGGTCAAAACTTGTAAGAAGATTCTGGGACCCAACCCCAACGCCCATGGAAAGGAGACCGATACTCGGCATGTTCCCTTTGTTCGGGATTGGCTAACATTCGTGGATGGCTAGCAAAACTGGCATACCTCTGGATCCATACGACGAAAAAGCGCGCGGACACCGAGCCATCGAGATGGAGAAATACAGCACAGCCACAGCCAAACCCACAGGCTCCACAGACTCTGGGAGTGAACTCTGTCCCAAGGGCAGCAGGAACAACTGTAGGTGGTAACATTAGTGTAGCGCAAACAGATCAATACTAATGAGACTTAGTACTACACAATCCCGGCGACTCGTTCAGAGATCGACAAGATCAGAAGAGAAACCTCGGAGGGCCATATCAATGGCATTTGGAATGCTATTATTAATTACCCTCTTGACGGATTGTTCAAAGTCGCGGTACGGCTCTTCAAAACAGAAAGTCCTGAGATTCTTCGTGTCCTGAATGGACGCCTGGTCTATACCGGCAGTATCAATCAAGTCAACGGCGAATGTTGAAGCAATCGCGCAGACAGGGCTCCATAAATATTCTCTCTCGCTAGGACCCTTGAAACTTAGACGGGGAAAAGTACAGAATTGTTGAGCGCAATACCGAATTCTGTCCAGGCCCCCTGTCCTCCGCTCGGAAGTCCGAGAGCAGTTATACCAGGGGCAACCAGGTGAGTTATCGATGCATCCAGAGATGCGCCAATATCGCAGCCCCGATGAACTGCGTGTGGGTTTAAATCGAGCAACCCCTTGTAGGTCATACGAGGCGCGAGTCTGATTCCAGTGGCTTACGCCACCAATATCCTCACCTATACTCGCTTCCTTTCGGTCACAAGAAAACACACAGTATCGCGGTCTTAGAAAGTGGGGGCGGTTAGGGGAGCGAGCGATTCCTCATTGCCCCTGGACCAATCCCCTTGACTATCAAATACATGCCGGTGGTATTCGATGAAACTAAATTGAACAGACACCAGCAATCCCTCGAAGACATTCAAAAAGATCAAGACTCCATTCTAAGTCTGGTGGTATTTCCTAAACACCAGCATGAAAGCATCTTTGAGGAAGGATATCAAAGAACGAAGAAGCCTTTACGAAAGGTCGCGCCCGACCCATATGACCGCCGTTACGGAGAAAGTCCCTTCGGCCTCCAACAGTTGCTGTCCCACACCACCGAGATGGGTGACAACTCATCGCTAAGCATATCATATAACTGGACAAGGTGGGCAGAGTCCAGGGTCTCGGTATCTCCGACACAAACCCGACTCCGGCGAAGCTAGAACGCAAAACAGTCCCCCGATCAGAGTGCAGAAATCAGACGATATTGATACCAGACCTGCGAAGTCCCGTAGGACAGTTGGTGAAAAACGACTGCCCGACTACAGCTCCGACCAGTCTGCTCCCGTCGAACGTACCAATTACCAACGGCACCCTCGATTTCGCCGACCCGAACTATCACCACCACATTACCAGTTCTTGTACAACCAGCCGTCAACAAAACGCAGAAGACAGATATTTCCCCGAAATCCTACAATTCCATTGAATCACACAGCTAAGATTCCGCATTTAGCACCAAGGACAATGTGAAATATGAGATTAACCTCAAGCATAGCGCCATATAAAAAAGTGCAAGATGAGCAGCCAGTAGCTCCAGGGACGCACTTATGGCTCGTTATCAATATTATTGACTCAGGGACTCTCATCGAGGTCAAACCCGTCATCAGAGTATTCATCTGTCAAAGTCAGATTCAAGTGCAAGAAACAGAGTGCACAAATGGTTGCCTGAATCAAAAACCATATCAACGCTCCATTAGACAATCTACAGGTTTCACTATCTTATATCTTCCATTAGACCTGCAAATGATACAAACCATCTCAGGATTTCCCAGGCAATCTTGGCAGTATATTTCAGCTTGTTCCTAGCATTCTGGTACCCTGACTGAGGCATCGTCCTGACAACATGATATCTTATATTAAGACTTGGAACAATCTTTTGACTGGGTTTCTGATTCAATGCTCTTTTTGAACGGTGTATATCGATCAAACTGAATAGAATCGGGAGATAACCAGCCTACCTGATTGCATTTGAAATGAAGCGTCTCTCCCGGACAACCAATGGAGGCTGGTTTGATATCATACCCCTACTACGCGAAATTCGCACGGCTCAGTCCTTCAAAGTGTTGAAAATGTGCTTCTATTGCAAGCAAGAGAGATGATAAGATACCCACCACATACATAAGATGGCATATGACGCATGACCGGGTCAATACAGAACTTTTGAACAAAAAGATAAACTCGCGGCCTATCCCCGTCGTCCTTCCGCAAAATCCCCAAGACGAGTGGCCCTTCTCACGGGGCCTTGATGACCCCGAGACAAAGATGTCGCCAAATTCACAAAGCTTACGGATCTACAAGTAGCGCAGCTCATCGTAGCTGCGCAGTCTTCGAAAGGGTTCCAAAAAAAAAAAAAGGCGCTGAAAACAGACTACAAACACGATTTCGATGCAAATGCGGCCCCGCAGAGAACGCACATGTCCCGGGGTCATGCGGTGGTCGTGCAGTATCGTGGACGGCTGTTTATCCCACGACTTAAGTGGACAGTAGGGGGGGAAGTCTCAAGTTACCTATCACGATGGGAGAGTATGGTAAACTGTGGCTCTGTATTCTACACAAAATTGATTCGTGCACGGGGATGCTGGCTCTTGGAGACTATCATTACTACTATGTGTGCACCCAGGTAGACAAGCAACGATGGAACTGTTGGCGTGCGGGATACTCGCAAACGAATTTAACGGATGAACAGTCGAATAGGTATCGTTCTAACAGGGTCTTGTATAAGTCTGGAGATGTTGATTAGCAGGAATGCACTACCCAATTTACTATTGTCTGATTTTGAATGTACTACGGAGTTCTCTATACGACAATCGACTAAATTCATATGATCTAAAAAGATTAAAAAGATATAAGCTCCATTTCCAGACTAATATTATAGCCAGTCTGTATCTGTATTGTAGATATCATCTATGAAAGATATCCCATTCCATTCCACCCGATCAAATAAAAACACCATTTTGAACGCCCCCGAAGACGCTACGAAGTAATAGTAATAAAGAAACCCGAAATAATACCCCAGTCAACCTCGCCTAGCACAGCCAAATCACGAACAGAGAAAGCCTACAAAGCCTTAATACCCTGAAACACCTTATTCCCCTTCAACTTCTCATCCGCCGTGACCAGATCACGCATGATTTGGCGCTTCTCTTCAACAGTCAAGCCCTCTTTGCCCGGGGCCTCGACTTCGGCTTTCCATTTCTTCAACATGGATTTGAGAAGCGCACTGCCTTCTTCGATTTCCTCAGGGGAGTACTTGTCGATGACCATGGCGGATTCATCGTTCCTGTTTTGGTGGGAGTCGGACGTCGTGGTGAAGTCTTCGAGTTCTTCGGCCTTTTGCCGCGCCATGTTGACTACTTTGTCCGGGAAGCGGACCAGTTCGGCGACGTGGATACCGAAGGATTGGTCGCAGATGCCGGGTTCGACGCGGTAGAGTAGGGTGACTTGGTTGTTGCGCTTTTCTTTCTCGTCGTCGGCGGAGATGTTGTCCGTTGTGCCGTCGCCGATGAAGGCGACTACGTGCAGGTTCTTGACTGAGCCCGGGTATCGGTCCGCGAGAGCGGTTAGCTCGTGGAAGTGGGTGGCGAAGAGGCCGAAGCAGCGGATCTCAGTGACAATGTGTTCGGAGATGGCCCAGGCCAGACCGAATCCGTCGTAAGTGCTCGTGCCGCGGCCCAGCTCGTCGACAATGATGAGCGACTCGGAGGTGGCGGACTTGAGGATGTTGGAGGTCTCGAGCATCTCCGCCATGAAGGTTGAGACGCCCTTGAGCTGCGAGTCGCTGGCACCAACACGAGCCAGAATGCAGTCGAAGATGGTCAGCTCCGCCTCGGTGCAGGGCACGAAGCAGCCGGTCTGGGCCATCAGCGCGATGACGCCGATCTGTCGGATGTAGGTCGATTTACCGCCCATGTTGGGACCGGTGATGATGAGGAAGGATGACTCGTCGCGGACCAGAGCCACGTCGTTGGTGATGAACGAGATGTCGTCTTGCATTTCCATGCAGGGGTGGCGCGCCTCCTTCAGCACCGTGTTGCCCGTGCCTCGCGGGTGCATCTTCGGGCGAACGTAGGCCGTCGGCGCGTGGACGGCGGCATGCGCGAAACTCACGATGACATCCAGGTGCGCGAGGACCCCGGCGAGCTGCTCCAGGACGGGGCAGTACGAAGCGGCCACGTTGACCACCTCGTTCACCAATCCCGTCTGGGTGCGGTTGTAGTTCGACGACAGCTGGTCATGTTCCCGGCGCAGCGTCTGCATGGTCGAGGTGGTGAAGTACACGCCGTTCTTCTGCGTCGAGCACTCCTGGTACTGTCGCTTGTTGCGGATGCAGCCCGCCTCGTTGCGGGTCAGTCGGAAGCACCAGCCGTGAACGCGGTGATTCTCCAGGAACAGCTTCTTGTCCATTTCCTGGTCGAGGTCCTTGGCCACCGTGCGGTGCTCCACATACATGTCGTTTCGCAGCTTGTCGAGCTTCTTCCGGATCACCCGCAGGCCCTCGTCGAACTCGGGCTTGATGATGAACTCGTGGTTCTCCAAGGCAGCCAGATCGACCGTAGTCTCGACCATCTCCTCCAGCTTAGCCAGGCTGTCCGAGTGGCCGCGCAGTTTCGTCGTGTACTCGGTCTCCAGCGGCGTCTGATACTCCTCGTCCATGACATTCTCCAACGAGCCGACAAACCCGGGCAACCGGATAGCCACCTGGTAGACACGCACCACGTCCTCCAAGTTCGCTTGCTTGCGCTGGAACCGCTTCGCCAGGCGATACAGGTCCGGGATGGAACGCAGATGCTCCTCCTGCATCATCTGCCGCAGCTCCGTGTTCACAACGAACGCCTCCACCAGCTGCTGACGCTTCTGGATTTCCGTCAGATCCATCAGCGGCTGCTTCAGCCACTGCGCCATCAACCGGCCCCCGACGGGCGTCTTGCAATGATTCAGCAGGCCGAACAGACTCATCGACTTAGACCCATCCCGCGGGCCCGGCATCAGATTCAGCGCCCTTAGCGCCGACGCATCCAGCTTCATAAAATGCGACAAATCATGCTGATACAGCTGATACTGGCCGAAATTCGTCGCGTCCGACATGACCCCCAGGTACTTGATCAGGGCCGACGCGGAGCCCATCGCCAGCTTCAACTCCGTCTGCGGCAACGTACCGGCAGACCTCTCATCGCGCAGCAAGCGGGTCAAATCCTGCTCGATATCCCTAACCCCGAAGTCCGCCACAGGGCGTTCCGAGATCGCAATCCCACAACTATCCGCAATCGTCCGGATCTTACCCAGCTCGGCATCCTTCCGACTCGCATCCATCTGCACAAGACACTCCTTCACGCCCAGCTGAATCACCAACGACTCAAAGTTCGAGTAGATATCATTATCCAGGAACTCGCTCACGCCAAGCTCCCGGACACTCGCATCCGCAAAGCACACCCCAACACTCCGCGCCTCGGACGCCTTCGCCGAGATCTTCACGGCGAGGATAATCGGCGCCGAGTCCATATGGCCCAAGCCAGCGCCCACGCTTCCCAACTCGTCCTCCACGTCCTGCAAATTGCCCGGACTGGCCTGCTTGACGAGTTTCCAGTGGCCCTTGCCGGTACCGACGGAGCCCCAGATCTCGACCCGTCGGTTGAGTCGGAAGAGAGCCTCGCGCAGGAAGTTGCGGAACACCGTCACGCTCATCGTCACGGAGGGCAGGCCGCCGGTGTCGCTGCGGCCCAGGTTCCGGAGCACCGAGGTCGTCTTGTAGACGGTGCGGGCGATGAACTCGGCCTCGGCGCCGTGTGCGGAGTACCAGTCGCCGCGGTCGAAAACGCGAATTGTCTCGTCGGTGGCATCTTGGGAGAGGGAGCGGTAGAAGCGGATGAATCCGACTTCATCGTCGACCTAGGATGAGCCATTCTAGTTAGTCAAGGAGCTGTGTGACAAATTTCTGAGATGCATACCCTGAGATCTGGCCGAGAAGACATTGTGCCAGAGTATGGGAATTTGGAGAGAAAAAGATGGGGGGAGAAAAGAGAGAGAGGGAGCTGGAGGCAGCTGTGCACTCCGTAGCAAAAGGCCGGTCTTGGCGCAGTACAGGACGCGCCTTGGTCACGTGAGTACGCGTCGCGCATTAAGTGGCCGCCGTAGACATACAATTTACGATATTAAGGTGGAAGGATATTCAGGACAGGGTAATTCAGTATGACCGAAATGTCTGATTAAGGTATCTATCTATGCTGCACAATTCGCTAGCAGATATGTCGCTAATGGTGGTGGTAAATGTACATGATAACGCCGAACAAATGCAATGCTAATGCCGGGAAGTATAGCGAGCTTCACGGATGACATCCAAAACGAAAGATCCAAGATGACAAAATGCTTCAAGCCCCGGATGCAGGAACCGTCTCTCCCAGTCCAATCTTCAATTGAGACACCTTTGCCCCGATATCCTTGGGGTTGACATCGGAACATGACTTCAGAACCACCGATTTGAAATGATTCACGGTGACAAAATTGACCCATTGACCAGCAATGTCGGGCCGCGACAAGATCTCCAAACACACCTCCACCTCCTTCTCGGAGATCGGATTCCGTACGGAATCCTGCACGTTCTGCACGATCATCCCCAGCTGGAACGGCTTCCGCTGAGCAGCCACCACCGCCGAGGGACCACTCCCCACGTAACCAGCCGGTCTCAACAAAGAGAGCACGCCGGCCACCTCCTCGGTCCGCTGCGCCGCCGCTCCGCGCATGATCATCTCCTTCGACGGCGGTGGCGGCAGCTTCGACTGCCGCAAGGCCTTCTCCTTGATGCGATCCAGCAGCCCCATCTTGCGCGACGTCGTGGCGGACTGCGTCTTCACGGGAATCTGAGTCTCCTGCGAATCCGTCGTGCGCATCCTCTCCGTCTTCAGCTTGATGATCCCGCCCTTCAAATCCTGCAACCGCTGCTGACCCTTGCGGAACGTCGCCATCGGCGCCAGTGACTCGTGAATCACCGACAAGCCCAGCGTCGCCATAAAATCGACCCGGGACTCATCCCCGCCTGCCGCATCCAGCGCCTTCTCCCACAGCGACTCCACGGCCTGCTCAAACTGCGCCTGCAGCTCAGACTCGTTGACGTGATCCACGAGCCCTTCCTTCTTCGACTTCCGCTCCAAACACAGCTTCCCCAATCCGTAATTCGCCAGACGAAATCGAGGGCCCGTCGTTGTCGGCTGCTGTTGTAAATGCATCTGCTCCCAAACCCACACCAAACGCTGCAAATCCACCACCACGACCTTCCGCTTCTTCCACAGACGCTCCATGTTGTGCAAGAAATCCCGCAAGTCAGCCGGGACCCCAGGACCCCAGTGCGCAGCATGGATCGTCAACGCCTTGACAAACGCCGCATGCAGATTCAACAACTCCGCCACACACGCGGGCCGAACCTCGAGCACCGGCTCAGGACGCGGAACATGACTCTTCCGAACTGAAGAGGCCCTTTTCACGGGGGATGCGGGTGCTGCTGTCGCAGACACAGATCTCCTGTCACTCCCAGCTCGCGTAACACGCTCGGAAGTCGAGGTCGAGGTCGAGGTCGCATAGTGGCCACTTCTCGGTGTGCACGACTTAGTCCGACGGATAGATTTCGAGGGCTTCAAACTCAAAGAACCCCCTTCCACCTCCTTGATTAGACCGGTGTTGGTGAGCGGGGCTACCGAATCCTCCGTCGTAATTACCCTGCCGCAGTCGACATTCTCCAGCTCATTCAGTTTTCGTTTCTTGGAAGGCGAGACCGGAAGAGTGGGTGCTGGTGTCGTCGTGGTGGCCTGCTTCTCATCGCAGCTGCCGTCGAGGAGGGTCTTGGGGGCGGTGATTCCCGGCTTGGTGGTTCTTGTGAAGGCGTTGATGGCGGCCTGGCCCCGGGGAAGGGAGGAGCGTGTTGAGGCGCGCGGCATCGTAGTTTCTTTCTTTTTCGATGGACTGGCTGACGCTGCCTCCTTTTTTGGGTTATGACGCTTAATACCTAGTGGGTAAGGATTAAGGTAAGGTAGGTAGGGTATTATAGAAGGTACATAGGATTTAATGCGGGGAGAGAGTATAGGATAGGTTAGGTAGGGTAATGGGGAGGAAGAATTGATATGGAGACCGTGAAGAAAAAACGAAGAGTGGATTCGAGGTGTCTTTAGTAACTCATTAAAAGGGGCGCCCAGTTTTTCCCGGTGGAGCGCGTCCGAGCGCGTCGCGCGACGTGCCCCAAAGCGGTTAAATGGATTTAGGTGGAGTCGCCCGGTTCTTTTCCTGTACTCCGGAGTAGTTCGTGATTTTTTATACAGATTTTATCTCTCCTCGTGTCGTATATTGTAGTATCATAGTGGACTGGACCAGACTATATACTCTGGTGATATCTTCCGTCTTATTGTAGTCATGTCCCCCCACATGACATTCCTATCACTACAGCAATGCCTGCACCCGCGGAATGCCACATACCAGCTCTCAATTCCAGAACACAGACACTCATAATTGGGTAACTATTGGATAATTCAATAATGGCATTAATTCATAGTGCTAGTTTCATCGAGATGGACTCCACAAGGAGCCCAGACTAATTATTTAGCATGCATAAACTCGTCAAGAATAGACATAGACTAAGAGCCGTAACCCATAAAACACCTTCCGTTCCGATCATCTCGACAAAGCACTCCCTATTGCAATGAGAGAGATCTATTTCTTCCCACTTCCAAACCACCCCGACAACGTCCCCTTTGCCTCGGCAGCCTTCTCCTCGACCGCGTTATCGAACTTGTCGACATTCGAACGCACCTTCGACGAGGCGTCTTGTCGGTACTCGTCCAGCTTGTTGACGCCGTCGTGCGCCAGCCCGGAGGCCTGGGATTGAATGCCCTGTGCCTTGTTGACAGCCGCGTTTTTCTATCCGTGATTCGTCAGTCTTGTTCTCGTTGACATATCAATGGACTAAGATAAGTGAAACGGGGAGAATAACCGCGTCTTGGAGCTGAGCCTGCGCATCCGCACTGGCCTGTTCGCCTACTCGTTGGGCGTCATTCACGGCGGGGGATTGGTTACGGGCTCGGTCGGCGTCGTCTGTAAAGGAGTTAGCATTCAGGTGCTCTTTTATTCTATCTTTGTTTAAGGAAAATGAAATCCGCTCTCGAGGGTTTCATTCCAAACCCCCTCGAAGGACATGAAAGGCAAGTGCTATAGCATGATGGGAGCGTACGCTTGATGGCCTCCTTCGCGGCATTGGGATCGCCGCCCGCGCGGTAGAGGTAGTAGCCTCCTGCGCCTGCAACGGCGAGAGCGGCGTAGATTCCGGTTCTATTTTTCGACATTTTGCAGGTGAGGATGTGTTGATTATTGGATGAGATGTGTGAGGCGAGAGAGCGATAGAGGAAGAGAAAGTTGTTCGTAGTAGATGTTGTAAAAGACGTATAGAACAGTTGAATTGAATCTTCCAAGGGTTCAAGGTCGTATTTAAAGTGAAAGATGGCAAGCAGCGACAAGGAAACCAAGTGGTGGATGGGGGTATGACGTCTGTACGTGGGCAATTCCTGGGTCCAAACTGCCGGGTGTTTCTGATCACTTCCTGGGAATGAGTGGTTCTGGAGGTCTCGCTTGGTGTTCACCTACGTCGGGGTGTAAACGAGACAAGATAACTTGTTCTGTGTCAAACCGGGGAAATCAATTGCGCTCGTTTCTTCTCAGGGTGGTATCTAGAGTAAGCAGGAAAGAAGCACGCAGAAACCCTCCCATCTGATAAAATATCTACGGCGTAAGGAGTACAGAAAGAGGAAGCGACGGGCGGCAGTGGCAGCCCTGCACGACGTCACCGCGCAGTCATCGGCCGAAGTAGTATGACCGCCGTTGTTAAGACCTTAAGACCTTAAGACCTTGACTAACTCTTAGACTCTTAGTCTTAACCTTTTAAGGCACCGCCGGTCGATCCGTGTGGGGTAAACGTCATACCCAGACACTCGGCCGGTTTACACTTTACAGCATCAGATGATCGTTCCATTTACCTGGTGGGAAATCGGCTTAGGTTCTCGTAGTAACACATCCCGGAACAGAATACCAGAAAATTCCATGTGTAAGTGAAAAAAGGGTTCATATAAACAGGCCAAAAATTAAAGGGGAAAGAAATTGGAAAATTTGGAATAATTCCGAACGATCAATCAATGCCACACCACGACCAAGGATAGGAAACTCCACGTCCATAGAACCTCGCAGCTGAAACTCGAGATTGAGGCCGGGTATCTTCATGCACTATGAACAATATCCCACAAGAACAAGACTCAACGCAAGAACCATAAAGAAAACAGGACAGGTAAGAAAACGCCCGAACATGCAGAACAAAAGACAGCCCGAAGAAAATTTGGAAACATAAGGAAAAGAAGAAAGATGTGGGGGGAAAATGGAACACCCCGAAAAGACTGGCAAGTCACAAAGCCCCCACATGAGAGTCACTTATGCATCATTCATCAGTCATCAATTCATAATGATTCTCGCAGCCAGACCGCGGAGTGTGTAGCTTCGAGTAACGAGAGGCCGCTCTTCTAAATAAAAACTCCGTAGCTATATCCAGAGAGAAAAGGGACCAAATAAAAGGGGAAAGAGTGGTGAAGAGGGTGGAAAAGGAGGCCAAGTGACTCATACTATACAGCACCGGCAGGTCAAATAACGACAGAAAGAATGTAGAACGAGAGAGAGGACAGGTAAAGAACCACCAGGATTTTAAAGGTGGTCCATCTTCCGATCACGTAAAACCTTTTCCGTGGGACACTTCAGTCCCTGTCATCTAGCACACGAGTTTGAGTGCAATCAAGGAAGGTCGCAAGCTCATGCGAAGAGCTTCGCGGTTCCTTTGTTTTCGCTCGTGGCAACAGCCACTAGAGCTTCAAGTCGTCCCATCCCAGACTCTCTTCCAGAGGAGTGGTGGAACAGATCGGATCGGGGGTCGGGTTTTCCTTGATAACCATCGGACTGGGGTGCCTGCAGTACAATTAGTGACCTGAGGGCAGTCATCGGGTCTGCGGGTAGCGGGTGCGTACTGCTTGAGACGTGTCGGATGAGAACGGCGGATGGTGGGCCTCAATGTATCCGCTGTTGTGCATGATAGCCGGATGGTATTCAAGGGACGCGGTCGACGGCGTATGGACCCCTTCGCTGCTGCTTGAATCCTCGGGCGACGTTCGCGTGGCCTGCGAGGACGTAGTGGCATTGCTATAACTTGGGTGATGACCACCGCGGGGGCGATACTCCTGCATGTTCGGCTGGTACGACGAAGAAGGACGAGAGCCAACGTTGTGTAGTTCCGCGATAGTTTGCTGGCTCCAGTGCGACGCGTCCTTCTGCGCCTGCGGGGGTTTGTCTCGGATATGCAAGCCCGTGAGGTTCGTGTGTAAAGACATATCCCACGAAACGTGTCCGCGGCGATGGCCCGGCCCGGAGACCGGCGGCGGCGGCCGAACCGACGATTGCGAGTAATTGAACCCTCCACCGAAGGCATAATTCGGGGAAGGTTTGCCTGTCTGATCGACTTGCATGGGACTGGGTCGGCGGACGGGAGGAGTAAGCGGGCGCTGCGAGACGACCTTATCGAAGCTTTCGATGCCCGGCAACCGCGGCGGCTGATCTCCCCCAGTTTGGGAGCCGAACGACGGATGGTAGGAGTCTGGCGTCTGGTAGCTGCTCAGTCCACTCGTGGCCGGCCGATGAAGGGCCGAGTAAGTGGACGGATGCCAAGTTCGCCGGCGCAGATCGGCATCGGACACACCGTGCGCCGCTTCGTCCCGAGACATCGGGTAGTTGGAGCTGACTGGACTGGCATACACGCCGCCCGAAGGAGGAGGATATGCCGCCGTACCGGCGGCCCCGGGATAGCCATGCGGAGGGTAAGCGTTGACCGGCTGCGATGCGAACGGGTTGCCTCCCGTCGGAACCGATAGACGGCGGGCGGCCGTTTTGCCTTCCCAGAATCCCGAAGCGTGTGATGCCGTGGACATGGGCGACGCTACGTGAGGACTACCGCTACCTCCGGCGGAGAAGATGTGGGACGATGCGTAGGGGGAGCCGGTCGCAGCGGGACCGGGAATTCCGCGGACCTGACCGGGAGGGGTACTGGGCGGGTCGGCCATCGTATCCATCGCCAGCCGGGCTCGTCCGTCGTTCGCCATGATCAGGGGCGGAGGTCGACGGCGGAATTCCTGGGGTTGACTATAAGTCGACGCGGTGGACGTGATGCTGGAGGCGGAAAGGTTCCTGCTGTGGCCCCGACTATGCGTTCCCTGGCTACCTCCTGTACCAGCCCGCGCCCGACCCGGCGGGCGCACGCGATCGGTTCGAATCTGGCGTTGAAAGCGGGTGCCGGTGGCGGCCAAGGAATCGCCTGGAATCTCCTCGTTGACGTGTACGGTCTGAGCATGTTGACGCAAGTTGTCGAGTCGAGAAAACCGCCTCGAGCAGTGGCACTGGAACGGACGCTCTCCGGTGTGTTTTCGAATGTGTCGGGCCAAGTGTTCACTCCGGGTGAAGCTGAGACTGCAGGGCGGGTAATCCGTACAGTAGAAGCGTTGGCCCTTCTTCTTCTTGGATGGGGGAGCATTTCCCTTGTGATCCGATTCAGCGTCCGAGCCCTCCCGATCGCCGTCCGAGTCTGCGTGCGACGGGTCCTCAGATGTTGAGGGGACGCTGTGAGGTTCTGATAGTCGAGAAGTGGGATCGGTGCTATTTACATTGCGAGGGGTGTTCTCGTCCTTCGCAGCGTCGGTCGGCCGAGGGGGGTTTTGCGCATCCGACGGTCGAGGGGTGGTTGGCGTGGTCGCATCCTCCATCATCCGGTCCGGGGGTGATGAGATGGTATTAACGGGTAAGAACGAAGACATTTCTGATGGCGACGCCGATCTGGAATTCCACGTATGTAGATAAGGAGGTCTATGTACTGAATCGATGGCGGGGCAAGTCGAGCGATGCTCGGCACACAACAGCCGATCTATTTCACAGGGAAAGAGGTTGGGTGAAGGTCAAGGAGGTGAGAAAACGCGGTGTCGATCGGACGATGCTGACTACTGGACAGATTTGCGCAACACCTGTCAGCTTGAAGACCATACATTTGGCAGGAAGTGACCGGAAAGGTAGGATTTTTCTTTTTCTTTTCTTTTTTTTTTTTTTTTTTTTTTTGTTCGGGTTCTTTTCTTGACTTATAATGGTGTTGTTGTTTTTTGTGTCGGTTATAACTTACAAATGGAAGGAGGGGGAAAGGAACTTCACCATCCAAGGGGTGGGTTTATAAAAGAATGGGGGGGAGGGGGGATGTGGAATGTACCAGGTTGGAGATGAATGTTCAGCCGAATGCCCGACGAAGATGGCGAAGCAAGGGCAAGGTAGTAGTTGTACACGATAAGCGGTAGAGAACGACCATTAGAGACGGGGAGGCATCTCTTGCAGATGAGCCTGACGAGGAAAGGAGGAGGAAGGATGACAAGAGAGATGCCTGATCGATGAACGATAGAAAAGGACGAAGAAGAAAGAAAAATAAGAAGAAGAGAGAGAAAGAGAAAGACGAGGAGATGAAGTTTCGGAGAGACTCGAAGATCGAGTCGGGTCCTGGGTTGTGGGTATGACAGTGAACAAGGCCGGGACCCAGCCAAGACTGGAACTAAAATAAACCAGGAGAGAAAAAAATAAAAATAAAATAAAATAAAATAAAAAAGGGAAAATAATAATCAGTCAGAAATAATCAAAATGGATGGATCATGAACAGGTCCGTTTCTCGGTGATCGATCGGCCGGCAGAAACAGATATAAGATCACGGTGGCCAAAAGCAGGAATTGAATCTGCAATAAATCGCAGGACGTAAAATATAAAAATGAATAAAATCACATCAATCAGAAACGATAATTCGACGATCAATATAGAAATTTCATAGAAAAATGGGGGACGAAATCCATGCAATCAAATGAAATTAAGAAAAAAGAAAAGAAAAAGGGAAAAATGTATGACGTATAGAGGCGGTGGGCGAATATACAGGAACCAGGGCCAGCGGATCAGACGGATCGGTGAAGCATCCAGAAATATGGACAGAGCGAGTCAGGATAGGGGAGACCGGGAGGGAGGAAGGGAGATGGAAGAGTAAAGGAAGCCGAGGTGAAGGCAGGAAAGAGGAGAGTGAAAGAGAGAGAGAGATGGAAGGCGAGAGGGGAAGAAGGTGCGACAATACAAGTACAGGACTGGGGCCAGTGAAATGCAGATGAAATGGTGACGAGGACGAGAGGCTTATCGGAAACAACGGTTGGCGGACAAGCGGCGAAACGAGGGGCAGAAGGAGGGGAAGAGA